TCGTCGAGAAGGCAAAAAGCTTTCTCCTGAAGATGACATCGACGCCATTCTCGTAATTTACTCTCTTCTTCAGATTCTGATTGGGTTTTGTCTATTGGTTTAAGCTTAGGAATCAGTGTATTGGGTTCTACTCTGTTTATAGGTTTATGAAGTATAATTTGATTAAAAGAAACTTCTTTTAGTACAATAATTGTAACAACAAAAAAAGTTAACATTTTGAGGTTCTGTAATATTGTATATTGTTTATCAGTTGAGCATACAAAAGGAAGAGGCTAAGAAGAAAGAGGTTCATGTTGAGGAAAATGTGCCAGCACCATCTCCTAGGTCTAACTGCTCGGTTAGGCTCTTACTCTGTTTTTCTTAAAGATTGAAACTTTTTTTATCTAAAGCTATTGAATTTTGTCAAATCTGTGCTGATTGATGTGCATTTATGCAGCTCACTATAAATCCTTTGAAAGAGACTGAGTTGATACTCTATGGTGGGGAATTTTATAATGGCCAGAAGGTTAGCTTTGCGCAATCTTTTTTCTTCGAAGTTTTTATTCTTTTTGTTCAGGAGTGTTTGATTATATGATCATATGATAAAAATTGGTTTTCATGTTAATGCAGACATATGTATATGGTGATCTCTACCGATATGATGTTGATAAGCAGGAGTGGAAGTCAATTTCAAGCCCCAACAGTCCACCTCCTCGTAGCTCTCATCAGGCAGTTGCTTGGAAGAATTATCTCTACATATTTGGTAGATGAAAGACATTGAGTTATTTCGTGCATCTTTATTCTTTTCGGTTCATATTTGTAAGCTTCATTTTTGTTGCTTAGGTGGTGAATTTACATCTCCAAATCAAGAGCGGTTCCATCACTACAAGGTGAGTAATATATTTCTGTGAGTTTGCCAGTCTATTACTATTTCATTTTCTCATTTTTTTAACAATGGGTTTAATCTATAGGACTTTTGGATGCTGGACGTGAAAACTAATCAGTGGGAGCAATTAAATTTGAAGGGGTGTCCTAGTCCACGTTCTGGTCATCGTATGGTAAGTCTTTGATGTATCCTGACCAATATGCCTTACACTAAACAATGTATGTCGCTAACATGCTGCTGGATTAAGTAGATAGAGTATGACTTTGCATTTACTATTCTTCCTCTAGGTGAAACACGAGTGGTGACTTTGGCAGTTTATTATTCAATGACCAAGCACTGAGACTAATAGCAGATATTTAAGATTATAGAGATTCTCTCTTCACATTTGTCTTATATTTCGTACATCAAGGTGTGAATCTGGAAGGATTCTGCCTTATGTGCGGCTTAATTTTCAAACTATCTTCTGTGATGGCAATATAATTCTGCATTCTGCTATATATATTGAGCTGTCTTCTTAGTGGGGTTGTACTTTCATTATCAAGCAGTTCCTGCCCTCCCTCTAGTAACCAACCCGTCAAGTTCTCATCATGCTCTGCAATAATTTTCTTTGTCAGGTATTATACAAGCACAAGATTATAATTTTTGGTGGCTTCTATGACACTCTACGTGAAGTAAGGTAGTAATTTACTCATTTCGTTAGAAGTATATCAGGATCTTGATGTTATCTCTTCATTGGTAGTTTTTCTCCCTTTTATCATTCCGATATCTGATATCTGATATATCCTTTTACAGTGAAGTAAGCAAGTTTAATAAATGAGACTAGATAATGTAAACCTTTTCTAGTATCTCCAACTGAATTAGGAGATTAATGTGATTGAACAAACATTTTCTCTAAGCGTTTATTTTATGTAACATGTTTATAAGTTAATTTCTGCCACCCACTGCTCGTTTGCAGGTATTACAATGATCTCTATGTGTTTGACCTGGACCAATACAAGGTAAACCTACATTCCGTTGCAGAAGTTTCCACCCATTTCAATTCTTAGCTCTCCGAATCTTACTACACTTTTTAGTGAATATATTTGGTGTCTCTTTGATAGTGGCAAGAAATAAAACCTAAGCCTGGTGCTATGTGGCCTACAGCTAGAAGCGGCTTCCAGTTTTTTGTTTATCAAGATGAGGTTAGTTTACTGTGCACATATCTATATCATATTCTTCAAATCCAAGTATAGCCATTTATTCATAGGAAAGCCTTTCATGCTGCAGATATTCTTATATGGTGGTTATTCAAAAGAAGTCTCATCCGAGAAGAGCTCTGAGAAAGGAATTGTTCATGCAGATTTGTGGTCTCTTGATCCCAGGACTTGGGAATGGAACAAAGTATGTAATTCTAGATGGCATCACTTTTAAAGTTACTCCTTGCACTGTTAACATGATAAAACTGGTATCACCTGGAGAGTAATACCCACACTTAGTTCATTTTATGTTTTGCAATTTCTATCAATTAGAAGTCTTAACAACCCAGTTGATTTACCTATTTTCTTTCTTTGTAATGTAATAATACTTGCTGTACTTAGGTGAAGAAAATTGGGATGCCACCTAGCTCCCGTGCCGGATTTTCGGTATGTGTCCACAAAAAGCGTGCTTTGCTCTTTGGGGGTGTCGTGGACATGGAAATGGAAGGTCAGGAAATGGTATTCTATTATCATTTTTGTATATCAGAATCTGTAAATTGAATTCCTGACCTCTGTAATATTTTGGCAGGTGATGTAATGATGAGTTTATTCCTAAATGAACTCTATGGTTTCCAGTTAGATAATCGTCGCTGGTAAGAATCCAATTGATGTTATTATGAGTATTGTGACACTATGAAGTTTCTTCTCAAACGTTCTCTTTTACTCCTGAAGGTTGTAAAAATTCTAGTTATTTTGAGATGCTTAGTTTCTCATTTTGTATCACTTACTCTCAGTTTCTGTGGAGTACAGGTACCCAATAGAGTTACGAAAAGAAAAATCATCAAAAGATAAGGTATGACTACATCTACTATAGTTTTTGCCGCGTGCTGTATTTACCTGTAACAGACAAAAACCAGCTGGTTTTTCTTTTGCATCCACTGTTCAGCTTTTATCTAGTGGGATGAGCCTTATGGTTAAGACGTTTCAAATGAGTAGAAAGCTTCTCTTCGTTTTTTACAGGCAAAGAAGACTTTAGGGGCAAAACCTGTGGCATCTAATAATGATGATGAGATAGATTCAGCAGAAGAAGATGAATCATCGGCCATGATTGAGCAAAGCGATGGAGTAGGCTCCTCGGATGGGATATCTGAACGTATGGCAACAGGTCTAACTGTTGAAGGAAATAGATCTAATGCTGAGTCTGATAAAAGTAAGGCTCTGCAGGGAGCAAAAGCTAGACTAGATCCACAAGTTTCGGTCTCAGAGGAGGTTTGTTTTGGCAAAATTCATTAACATTGTGTAACTTCCGTTACGAGCTTTGGTGTCATCTTGTAAATCGTTGCAACTATTTCCTTGCAGGTTGTAAAACCATGTGGACGTATCAATTCTTGTATGGTCGTTGGGAAGGATACCTTATATATATATGGTGGCATGATGGAGATAAAAGATAAAGAAGTTACTCTTGATGATTTGTATTCGCTTAATCTTAGCAAACTTGACGAGTGGAAGTGTATCATTCCGGTTTGTTCGGCACCAATCTCCATTTTTCTGTCTTTTGATATCAGTTGATAAAATATTTTGTAGACAATAAGTTTCTTGGTATGTCTTTACAACAGGCGACTGAAACTGAGTGGGTGGAAGTATCAGAGGACGAAGAAGGGGACGAAGACGAAGATGAAGACTATAGCGAAGATGAAGGAAACAGTGAAGAGTCTGATGATGAAGATGACGAAGAAGAAGTAGAGGTACTATGGTTGTTCCTTTCCTTCTTCTCTTAGCTTCTTTATCCCTTTGTCTCATCGGCTTTGAATCTAGAGTGAGTCTACACTATGGGTATATTTGACTTAATTTGGTTATGTTAAATCTAGGCAATGGATGTTGATGGATCAGTGAAAGTTGGAGAAGTTGTTGCAATGATAAAAGGAGAAGGAAAAGCCCTCAGAAGAAAAGAGAAACGAGCTCGGATAGAACAGATTAGAGCTAATCTAGGACTTTCTGATTCACAGAGAACCCCAGCGGTAAAATTAGCTTCGGCATTTCCTTTTTTTACTGTTTTCTGAGAAGGAGATTCTGTTTGAAGCTCAACTAATTTGGTCATGTTGTTGTCTTTGAAGCCTGGAGAAACTTTGAAGGATTTCTATAAGCGTACAAATATGTACTGGCAAATGGCTGCCTACGAGCATACCCAACATACGGGCAAGGTAATGCTTAATCTCTGTGTTTCAGTCGAGCATCTAATGACATGTAGCAATTTTGTTCTGTCCTTGGCTTGAGTCATGACAATCGGATCCATATGTAATTGGCATTGTAGGAGCTGCGGAAGGATGGTTTTGATCTCGCAGAAACTCGGTATCTGGAACTCAAACCCATTCTAGATGAGGTGAGCTTATACCACATTAGTGTCTCCTTCTCTTCTCTCTCTCTATAGTGTTAAAAGTGGCCCGAGATAATAATATGATTGAATGTAATCTCCAGTTGGCAATACTTGAGGCAGAGCAAAAGGCTGAAGAAGCAGAAGGACCTGAAGCTAGTAGTAGCTCTAGAAAAGGAGGCATTGCAAAGAAGAAGAGATAAAGCTTTTGCAGCCTCAGCAGTAATTGTTATTTTACTCAAGTTTTGAATCTATTTAGTTGAATGAAACCGTAACACTTATGGAAAGAATGTGAAAATTTTGAGGAAAACTGCAAATTCCTACATGAACTATAACGATTTGTTATGATACATTACATACCCGAACGACTTGTGTTGATTCCTACATTAACTAAACTATTTTAGCTAAAACCTAAACAAAACTTAATAATATAGGCTTTAAAATGTAAATCAATAGAACAATAAAACGACGTCGTTTTTTGTATTTATTTTCTCACTAGATAAACGACGAAAATAAACAAAACTCAGAACTTTGTGACGATGATTTGAGAAATAAGGAAGAAGAGAAACGATTTGAGAATTAGACAAGTGAATCTCTCGACATCTCAATTTCACAGAAAATGAGGTAAAATTTTGCTGATTAGGGTTGATCTCGAATAGAGGAAATTTTGTTACGCAAGTATCTAGAGTAGGGTTTATGTCGAACTTTTCGTTTAGGGCTAGAGATTTTGTGGAACAATTTAGTATCTTGGGTTTCAATGTTATATGCATGCCATATGTTTGATTAAATGCCTAAACAAGTTTTTGTTTTTGTTAAACTTTGTAGTTTTGATATTGATGATGGTGTGAATGATAAATCAAGTGAAGAAGAAGATGCTTCTCATAATGTTGAAAATGAGACAGTTTTTAATTATGATTTTGAGTTTGATGAAGAAAATCTAGTTGACTGTAAAGTCACTGGATTTGGTGATGAAGAGGAGGAGAATGATGATGATTACCGAGATACACCTGTTAGTTCCGATATTGAAACGGAACAATATGAAAGGCGTAGTGGCGAGCTAAAACTAAAACAAGTGTTTGACACTTTGGAAGAGTTTAAAGAAGCTATGGTGGATTACGTGTTGAATGGAGGATGGAATGTGAAATTTACGAGATGGGGTAAGGAAAAATCAGAGCTCAAGTGTGCGATGAAAGGAGATTGCCCCTGGAGAATTTATTGTTCTTTCGAAGAACCAGTTGGAAAGTGGATGATAAAAGTGTATCACGACGAGCATCGTTGTGTAAAGAACGGATATAGCAAGCTATTGACTCAAGCGGTAATTGCTCGGCTGTTTCTAAACGATTTAAGGAGTAATCCTAAGTTCAAACCAAAAGTTATTCAAGAACAAATCCAGCAGCGTTGGAATTTGATTGTATCACGGGACCAATGTCGAAAGGCAAAGGCAGTAGCATTGGAGATCATCCAGAAAGAACATGATGTACAATTTTCAAGGGTACAAGACTATCAGTCGGAGATTACAGAGTAAGTATTTCTAACAATATGGCTGCCTTTCTAGCATTTCTTTTGACATTTTGATATCGATCTTGTTTTGCATTTTCTTTGTTAGCTCTAGCCCTGATTCTTCTGTGGAGTTTCATGAGGAGAGAAGTAAGAATCCGAAAAGAAAAAGGGGAGTGCAAGAGTCTCCAGTGAAGGTAACCAAAGTTACCAGAGAGGGAAGGATTGTTCGTTGTGGCAGATGTGGTGTAGTTGGACACAACACAAGAAAGTGTGGTAATGTAGGGGTGGAGTATATAAGACCGAAGAATCGCAGCACATCAGATGAAGGATTTGAGTTAATGGCTTTCGACTACAACGAAGAACCAAGTCAGTCTACATAGGATTCGGTTAATTTGTGGTTTTCGGATGATGTGAACATCTTTTGCTTTTGCTTTATTCTTATTACAGGCCTACCATGTGGAAGTGGTGATTTTAGTTCAAGCCTTTTACAGGGTTTTGATTATGCATATGAAATTTTCTGATGCAAAATTCTATTAACTAACAGATCAATACATAAGAGCTTTTAAAAACTAGCAACATGTTTGCATTACAGATTATTCTTACAAGATCGCCATAGTTCGTGTAGGAATTAGCCGTTTTCTCAACTTTTTGACTAAAAATTTTAAGAGCAAAAATGATACCTCTCAAAAGGATCAAGTGATTAATCTCACTAGTTCAACATTAAGGTTTACAACTTTGGTTTTTTAAGTAAACAGAAATTTAAAGAAGATGCTTCACCATGTAAGGACCTTCCAATTCATAACCCAACTTTCTGTAGTAATGTCGTGTTCCTACACCAGAAATCACACCGATTTTGTTAGATCGGTGTTCTCTTCTAGCAATTCTCTCTGCTTCTTCCATCAGAAGTGTACCATAGCCCTGCAAATTCGATACAGAAAATAAAACGATAATCAGAATCACAACTCCTTAATTAAGTGTCATTTTCAAGTTGAATCTCGGGTAGTACCTGATGTTGCAACTTATCAGCCTCTCGACCATGAACTGGTACAGCTGTTCCGTATACATGAAGCTCACGGACAACAGAACACTTTCCCATTAGTTCTGGACACGTTACATTCTTCCCACATTTTCGCAAACGTAGCAAGCCAACAAGAATGTCCTGCATCCACAAAGATAAATGAAAAGGTCTCTAAGAAAATTTCGGAGCCTTGACAGATTCTAAAACCAAGAATCAGGTTTAAGGCTTGAGCAGATAAAGCTTTTCAAGTTTCTCACAAAACTCTTGGCTTAGTGCATGCAAATGAAATTATGGATTTAAAACTGATCACAAGATATATGACACAAGATCTTACTGGAGACTTGATCAAAAATACAAATTCACTTTATCCAACGCTTCACCAAGGCACATGCTTAGTCGGTTAGTCCAATAGGTTTAGAAATTCGGAAAAGACCAAGAACACAGATGCTGATACGAGAAAAGATAACGCGCTCAGCGTCCTACCTAAACTTGACACTTTTCCTTTTAAACAATAAACAAACATCTATATTTGATAAACATGACATAATGTATCTAATGAGTGACAAGAAGTATGTGATCTTAGTAAACCAGATAATAATTCATTCACTAAAGTCCTAGGCACTATGCTGTGAGAGGCGAGGATTAGAGATATGAAGCTTGTACCTGGCGTGTATCTTCATAAGAAAGGAACGTCTCCCAACCTTCATTGGCAGTGTAATCACGACGCACAAGCTCTACTTGTTCTGGCTTAATTTTATGATGAATGTCCTGTAGTCCGACCATACAAGCAAATATTTGTTAGGAAATTCAGTATTTAAAACAACAAAACAAAGGAAGAAACAACATTTGGCATCGTGACCTGAATTCCAGCTTCACGAGTACGAACATCACGGCATTTAAGGCCCAAGTCATCCATTCTGGCTAGAGCCAGTTCACGAAGATTTCCTTTTTCAACCCCTGACGTAACCAGAGGCATAGGAATATCACGCTGAACTCTATACACACGTGTCCATGGAGGTACCATGGAGAGAATCCTTGCAACTATATCCACAAGCTGCTCAGGTGGATAGTTTCGGTACCTGCATAAATTTTCAATATAATTTAAGCTTTTCCCTTGTGACATGCAAGCACTCATCTTTAAACACAAGAACATCGTACCTCCCAGTTTTCCATAGTTCATAAAGTCCAGTTCCACGGATCACAAGGGTGGGATATATTTTTAACCCATCTGCTCTAAAAGATGGGCTTTCGAAGAACTCCTTGAAACTTTCCATGTCTCTCTCAACCCCAACATTAGGAAGATCAGGCATCATATGTGCAACCACCTATAGGCAAAAAGAAAAACGGAGGTAAGGATACAAATATAGCAGTGTCTCTAAAATAAAGAAATGTTCATCGGTTTCAAGGATATTGATGCACAGAAACATAGGAGGTGAAAGCTGCCAAGAGAAACTTGATACTAACATGATAAACTTAAAAATATTTATCGAAGACTAATCCATAAGGGAATACCTTGAAACCAGCATCTTTAGCCAAGCAGAAGCAGTCGGCTACCGCAGCAACAGTATGGCCTCTATTTGTGTCACGGGCAACATCTTCATATGTGCTCTGGACACCTATCTCTAGCCGGGTGCAACCGTAAATCAGCATTTGTCGTAGATGAGGTCCAAGGCAGTAATCTGGCCTCCTGATATATTTGTAAAACAAATTAAGGAATGCATTCTGAGATTTGAATCTTCAGAGATAAGAGATTAGACTCACTTTTTCCAATAAATGATCAATAAAAATAACAAGGACTGGTTCACAAAAATTTGGTGTTAGATTTTATATATATTTTCGCTCAGCTTGACCATTTCCAGTAAGAATACAATGAAACCAATATATAGACACTACGAAGGCTTTAAGAGAAAACAAAAAGGCAAAAAATCAAATTTCGAATATAAATGCTTTAGTTATTGTACACAATCAATGCATCGAACTCACGTTTCTATCGTCATCCCAATGCATTTAGTTGCACTATGTTCAGAATAAGCAACTGCCTCTTCAACGTTAGCAGAAGTGTGTCCTGATAAAGCATCATGAAGATTCCGTATGAAGAAATCCCGGTACTCAGCTGGCAGTGACATGAAAGTACCTCCCATCAAAATGAACTCAACCTGTCATTCATATAATCAGGAGTAATCCTCTGGAATAAAAGACTGGTAAAAAGAAAGAAAATAATACTCGTAGGTTACTACTAGAAAATACCAAACTCTAACCTTATCTACACTGTGACCCAACCGCTTCAGCTGATCTATCCTGCTTCTTGCCTGAACGTATGGATTGTACCTAAAAACCATAAACAGGGCTTTAACAAAATCCATTTAAACATGAAACTTGCATCCCCATCACAAGAACAGCAGACAGAACTATCTCTAAATTTATCATGGTCGCTTAGGATGTTCAAAAATTCAATCTAAGAATTATGTATCCCTTTCATTCACTCATAAGAGGAACAAACTTTTCAGCTTTTAGCACTTTTCTTATGGATCTTTAGCAGCTGTGTTATCAAGCAAGTCTACATTCTCATCTATAATCTAGATCTTTTTCTCAATTCATAAACATTTCTTGTAATCTACAATGTATGAATTGCTAGCAATAATTTTGAGTCCTAAATATCAAAGCACAAACTAAATAACTATGACCCTGAGCAAAGTTCCCAATTCAAGCTGTCATGAGACTATCCACACAACATAGTCCCCAAAACTATCTACCACGAGTCGTCAGCAACTGAATCTAAGTTCAAACTCAGGTGATAGCTTCGATCAGAAATCACAAATTCCACCCAAAACTACCTAAACCCTAAACCCTTTACTAGATCAATCCAGCAAGCTCTAATACAAATTTCAATTCAGCACACGATTACAATTCCATAACATAGTAGAAACTCTTCACCTGGCTCGAATAGCTCGCATGCTGGTAGGCTCATATCCAGTGTAAGACTGAGTACTATACTCAAAGTCAGAGTCAGGTCCACCGGGACAATACACGCATATATTCCCCGTCGTAGCTATATGCGGACACCTATGAGGCTTCGACATAACCGCCACAACGGCGATCCCTGAAGCAGTACGAACCGGTTTAGCACGGAGCTTCGGGAGAAGAGTCTCTCTCTCTGAATCAGGAAGCGCAGCAATCATCTCCACAAGCTTAGGCGCACGTGCTAAGCCGTATTTCCGGCAAGCGGCGGTTTTAATTGCGTTTAGGTCAACATTCTCGTTGCGGTGTGAGCGCTCAATCATGGTGCTAACAATCTCCGATATAGCGCGAACTCTAGCTTCTTCTTCAGTTAATCCACGGCCCTGATAGCCGCCTTTACCTGGCCGAGGTTGCTTTCTCAACTCGCCGTTCATCACTACCGCCGTCGCCATCGTCACTAAACCTCAGACCAAAATACGGGGAAATAGAGAATTCGTTAAACGCAGATTTTGTGTTAAAGTGACACCCTTTAAACGACACCGTTTTAAAGATGTACTACTTTTATTTGTTGACGTTATAATGATAGGCATATGATTCAACTGGTTGCAACCTATAAAACGTTTGAGGCGGATCAACTATGGACAGCTCTTACAAAGAAATAAACTTAATTGGCGGCGGATTGTTGTGCGCTTCAAAAATAGGAAGGTCTAGTCCGCTCTACTCTCAACATCTATTCAAAGCCATTTAGGTACTAGAATGGTATGGAGCCAAGACAACGGCCTTGACTTGGGCAATGATGCGCATTGATAACTTGGGTTTTGAGGCAGTCATCTTTGAGAGTGACTCCATGAATCCGGTGAAGATAGTATAAATCCTCAACTGTTGTGAGCCTACATGGGAGTTTTAATCACCATCTTGAATCACTCTCATGATCAGCCATCCATCTTTTGTTTTTGGCAGCTGTAATGGCATATATATGTGCCGATGCAATAGCCAAAATGGCTTCTAGTTGTGGATATGATCGGTACAAACCGGAGAAGGAATTCCCAAAACATATAATCCTTCCAAGTTTTGGGGACTAAATCTTGATTTACAAAGCTTCCATGATAATTGCATTTCAGCCAATTACATTCAAGTTCCTCCTATCATTCAAATTCTCACAAAAGACAGAATAATAAAAATACAAAACTCAGATCCTGCCTATGGGAGAGTGATGACTGATGAGAAATACTCCTATCTTTTTCCTAACTTCCTGCGCGTAGCCTTCGTAGAGAAGCCCGTCTCCGAGATCTTTCTTTGCCATCTGTAAAACTCAGATGTTATGTTACCATTTACCAACCCCATCAGCACATGTTTTATGCAAAAAGTGTAGTGACTATATGACATAACCACTTACCTCTTGTCACTCTTCCAGATGCAAGTAAAGCCTCTTCCGCCATAGATCTCCATTGTTCTGCACACGAATAATTAACTCCCATCCCAACACTGAGTCCTCTTAACAGAACCACAGTACGAAGTACAGAGAACAGTTCCTCTGGAAATGTCTACCACCAAAGAACATTTTCAAATTAGTTTTATTACCTGTAGAACACACAACTTTTTTTTACTTTTTGACCATCAATGGAGCTTTACTTACCTCAACGGCTATCTTTTTAATCGAAGAGTCATCTGAGAAAGGTTGCAAAACTGTCTGACCAGCTGGCATCTTTGTATCGAAAAGTGTTTGTGCTAACCGCAGAAGTTCTTGCTGCTCATTCTCACACTTGGCCACTGTATGTAAACCCATTTCCCTGAACATTCACAACCGCAATAACTTAAGGAATTTCATGCTGCACTAATCCAAACTGTTGACAGTGACTATTCCAATATTAGACATTAAACGTTTTCTTATCACTTTCAATCATAATGATCCACCACATCCTTGACTCAAAACAGTCTCACATACCAAACTAGTCAACTTAAAAGTGGAAAAGCCGTTTTTCGAAGCATGCATGAACCCATAATGATCAAGTACTTGATGTTCATAGCTTAAACAAAATAAAATCCTCGCTCACGAAATAACTTTTGTGGTAACAAATGGTTTCACCTTTCATGCACTGGTTCTTATTGAAACATCTTTCTCAAAAGAAAAAAGATTTGCTAGTGAGAGCCACGAAACAGATGATATGTTTGAACAAAAACCAACAATTTAGATCACAAAGTTACTTCAGTAGTTTAGGGAAGGATTTAATGAGTTTTGAGTTACCAAAAGCTCTGTGATACTCGTGAAGCATTGTCATCAGCCATGGCAATGACCAAATTCGCATAACCAAGTCTCAACTTGTCGGGTAGTTCCTTCACTTGACCATAGTCCAGCAGTGCAACCTGATGACGGAAAACAAGATTACAACTCAGACGGGTAAGTTTTGCCAAAAGGTAACACTAAGCGAATTAAGAAACTACCAAATAATGACTACAAGCAAAATATGACTTGCCTCTTGACCTTTGCAAATCAAGATATTTCCAGGATGTGGATCCGCATGAAAGAAACCACTTTTCAGTATCATTTGGCCATACGCACGGGATAAACTGTTAAGTATATTGCTGAAAAAAGAGGAGATATAGATTCAGTGTGGTGTCAGTATATTTCATAATGCAAGCCACTATAACAACAATAACAACAAAAGAAAAAAGGACATGTGGATTTCTAGCACATAATAGCTACTAGGACTTTGGGCCAAAGAACTAAGGCACCATACTCTCTGAGATGATGTAGGAGCTTACTGCTTTGCTGCCTCTGCAATCTTACCATGAGGATTTATCCCTCTTTTAGCCATCTCATCACCAATGCTCAGGATTGGAATTCCATTAATGTATTCCATCACCAAAACCCTCCTGAGCGTATTACGATTGTTCATATGATAAGTAGTTGCAAATGAAAATATGAAAATATCTTAGATTGAGATGTGAGTATGCCAATAAATGACAGAGGAGGATCCATTTAGAGAAAGCCTTAAACATTATCAAGATAAACAATCAGGTATATGATATGCAAAAGTAAGAACACTTACTTAGTCACCATATCTGGCAGAACTCTTGGTACCAAAACAGGAGACTTTTTGTTGTTCTCATAAAGAAAACATCGAATTCTTTCCATTGCATTGGCCTCCCTTTTGAAGTCAAATTCATAACCAATCTTGAAAAAAGAAAATGCATAGTTTTCAGTGACTTGGAGAAAAAGAAGTCTTACGAAGTATCTAACAAGGAACTGGATCAGTAAATACCTGTTTCTCCATTTCCTTTGTTATGGAATGCAGGTCAAATTTGATATCTGTTCTCTGCATATATAAGGCGAATAGTTGCAAGTTTCTTATATCTGTCATCATCAATCTTTCAATGCCAGGGTGTTGAACCTAAACATGTGGTATCAAGTTAGAATCTTATTGAAAGCTGGTAGGCTTTTAGTTGTCCCCTGACAACGCTCACCTTTACAACAACATTCATCTTGTTACCCTTTACTCTTGCTCTGTGAACCTAAGAAAACAAATAAATGTATACTCTCTTAGTATAAACATAACCAGAGTTTGACAATGTTGCTACAGCTCCATGTCATGAGATAATAATTCTATGGCAAGAGAGGACAAGGTTCATGATTGGTCCATCACCAAGACCTTCTGCTTGACAAGCTCCTAAATACTCTAACTCAATCATGTTTAATTAATTGTAAGGTTTCCACCAAAATCTGTAATACCTGAGCAATAGAAGCAGAACCAATAGGCTTTTCATCAAATGTTTCAAAGATTTCACCAATGCTTTTACCTAACTCCTTCTCTAGAACAGCTTGAATTGCATCAAACGGCGTCGCAGGAGCTTGATCACACAAAGTTACAAGCTTTTTCACCCACGCAGCTGGTGCCATGTCAGGTTTTGCTAAAAGTTGAGCAATCTATTTAAGCATTCAAACAAAAACAGTCAAACATTATAAATCAACAGAACACAACAACAACAAATAAATGCAATAAAGCCAAACACTTTAACATTTTAAGTACCTTAAGGAAGAAACCCCCAAGATCAGAGCACATGAAGTAAATTTTATCAGCAGCTTGCTCATGTTGTCTTTCCCACATTTCCTCTTGCTTCTTTGCATCTTTCACTAAACTCACTCGAAGTTGAAACACCTGAATCCAAACAAACAGAGAAGCCCAAATTCAAAATTTCTAGAGAAAACTGTAGACTAATGAAGAAAGATTTAAAGAAATACCGTAAAGGAGAGACCTTGTAGCCTGTGTAGATATTAGTAGCTCGAACCCAGAATTGAAAAGAGCGTTGCCATGGACGAAAGCTCTCGGAGATCTTCTCCTGAATCTCTTTGAAATCGAACCCATGCATTTTTTTCTTTTTATTTTGGAGAACAGATTGTTTCCAATTTGTGTATCTCGATTTCAATTTCAAAGGGAACGTATCAAATGTGAAAGCTTTAACGGAAGAAACGATGAAGTTGATAGAGATCGGAGATAGAAGACAATGCAAGCAAGCTTCGGAGTTTAGTTCTAAACCAGAGTGTTTTCAGACAAGCTCAGCAATCCGGTTCGGGTTTAAAACCAATATAACGAACCAGGAAAACCCGGATAAGCCTGAGAAAAACCGGCGATCCAGTTTTTATTAATCGAACCGGATTTAGAACCGTCCGATTTTTTTTGGTCCATCAATTTTATCAGTTGTTTGAGGTAGAGGCCTCCTTTACGAATATCACTGAAAGATTTATAATAGAGATAATTGGGTGAGAGACATTGGATCTGCATCAAATAAAATTTTCGGTATTATGAATTTAATTCCTAGAACAATGATAATTTTAGCCCCCATTTCTGTCCATTTTAACCTCATGCGCCTGACGTTTTGTTTTTCGTTTTTAATTTGTGATTTTTGGATCTCTATTTTTCTTTCATGTTCATATCTCTCTTTTTTTCTCTCTCAATTCTATTCGAATTCATTCAAATCAAGCAGAAAAACATCGTTGTGTTTACTATTCACACTGTCTTACCAGAGAATTAGATGGTACATCTATTTGCCGAAAGAGACAATTTTCACGATACAAATAAGGATTTACCACAATTTTTGGACCTCCACATATAGATCTACAAAGCGTAGATGCAGATCTAAAGAGCGTAGATGGACGATATGTTAAACATGTCCCAATTAGTTAAGGAATTAATAGTTATCTATAAAATTTAGTTACATGTCCATACAATTTCATAGAGTTATATATCTATCTAATATAAAGCCAAATTTTTTAATAGATATCTACGCAATTAAGTTAGTAGTTTAAAATTTGTAATTTCCGTACATACGTTTTTGTTATAGATTCAAACTAAAGCTAGTCGCATTTAATAATCGTCACTTCTTTCTGTTTGTTGCCGCGTAAAGGTCAATTCAACTGTTGAGCATTTATTAAATGTCAGATTTTTCTCCCTCTCCCCCCACGCGCATTGACAAAATATGCATTAGTTTTTTGTAATAACTGGCAAAACTAAACCCCTTTTCAAACGTTTTTTTGGACGTCGTCAGAGACAAACCTCCCTATTGTCTATTTCCTAATTTTATACCCCATTTTTACCTCTGCACAAATTCACTCTTTATAATAAGTGAAAGATATGTTTACTGCGTTAGCGTCCAAAGGTTTAATTTGCACTAAGTCGAAAACTTAGATTCCCTTTCAATAAACAACATGTTTTCTGTTGGGTTTTCTTTTTCACGTACGTGAAACAAAAATGTTTTGGGGTCTTTTTGCCATTTTTTCCGCCAAATGTTTGTATCAGTTCTGAAACAAATTATTATCTTAAACTAATCAAGTGGTGGTTATTGGTAAAATATTTGGGGATATGATGTTAACTCGTATCTTTTTCACGTTTTCTCACTTCCATTTGACATGTTGAAGGGCCGATGAATAAGTCGGTAACGATTGTAAGTTTTGGATATAGAAGTTTTGACTTTAAAATTTGAGCTGCAGAGAATTTGGTTGTAAAGACTTTGGCTGCAGAAACTTTGGCTGTTATTTTTGATTATTATTATATATTAATAATAAATATAAATTATGTTAGAAATAAATTCATATGCAAATATAGTTTTGTTTATGATAAGAATTTAGAAAAAAATACAAAATTGATAAATAAATGAATAAAAATAGATAAATATTCTCTAGAAATAAAAAATATATTATTATTCATTTATTTTTATTTTTATTTCTTATTTCATACCGAAATTTAATACCCAACACATTAGTAAGAAGTGGGATAAACTTAAAAAATTTATATGGTTTTTGAAAAAATACTAATTCTATAGACTCTTTTAAACCAACATTAATTATGATGATAAAAATAAAATGATTATTAGTGAAATGGATCTTAAAAGAAAGATAGAAAATGATAATCATCAATTTATAAAAAAAAATTGTGAAAAATATATGTAAACGTGGAAAGAGTTTTTAATTATTATGGGGATAAGAAAAAAAAGATTTTTAATTGTTTAGTTGTTTGATAAATGTCCCCAGAAAACTAAAACCGTGTTTTCGAGACTTTAAGAAAAGAAGGAAAAAAAAAAGAAAAAAAAAAGCTTTGAGAACTTTAAAAAAAAATTAAAGTCAAATAAGTCTAATTAGCAAAAAAAAAAAAAAAAACTGTGAAGACTTTAGAGTAGATTTAAAGTCTTTAAAGTCTTGTGATAATCACCCCGAAGTGACATGATTGGCATGTCCCACCTTTTCACCGGGACAAATGCTTTTTATGGAAAAAACTTCAAATCATCACACCGTTGACAACACGTTGCGCATGAAAGAATTTTGTTCGTTAGAATTAAAGGTTAGAAACGAAAAGCATTGCTAAAAGTAGGTTCAAAACAAATCGTTAAAAAATTGCTAAAAGTAGGTTCAAAACTAATTACCGTTAAATTAGGGTAAATTTTTTGCGAAATTTTGAACCAAATAATAACCGACCAAGTGATGTCACCCATCTCTATATGCATGATAAGCATTAGTTTGCATTTGCAATGTTTTAAAATATTGGGCTATATTAATATATATCTATGCCCAGAGGATGAGAATATTAAGTATCTATGCATGAATATCACGTAATTAAACCTCTCTCTTCCCCGACAGAATTTATGACGAAAAAGCCCCTACAAAACCAAAAAAAGTTAACAATTTATAGCATAGGTGCGGCAGCATTAAATGCTAAGAATATCTTGGAAGATATCTTTCCGCCGTCATTGGAAACATAAAGATACGGTAAATCATTACAGCTGATATATATGGGGTTGCAGGTATATCGAATATAGACGTTGGTCTATTTATTAGCACTATATCCTGATAACAATGATAGTCGATACATTATATAAAGCCTAACTCAATTGAAACCTATTTTCCCTTTGTGTTTTACAACAAGAATCAAAACTAATAACACGTTCTGATAATAACAGTATCGCGATAAACTGTTATCTGCTAAACACGATAATATTTTTACCTAGAATTTTAAAAATAATCATCAAACAATACACTACGAGTTTAAATAGGTAACAATGTTAGTCGATATAACTACTAGCAGGTAATTAAAATAATAACGACGATAACACATGTTGTCCCAATATGTTGAAACATGTATATTAAACTGGAAGCCACCTACTCTATGAACTGAGTTGGAAGTGAGCTCAACAACGGGTGTAAATGGGAAACAGTTTTAGAAGATATAACAGCTAGCAGGTAATTAAAATAATAACGACTATAACACATGTTGTCCCGATACGATGAAGCATGTATATTAAACTGGGAGCCAACTTTTCTATGAACTGAGTTGGAAGTAAACTCAACTACGGGTCAAAAGAGTAACGGTTTAAGTCGATATAACAACTAACAGATAATTAAAATAATAACAACGATAACACATGTTGACCCAATGTGTTGAAGCATGAAAATTAAATTGGGGGAAGCAAACTTCTCTATATACGACTAAATTGATAATATAGGGGTACATTCGTCAAAAAAATGTGAACAGAGTGAGGGAACAGTGCAAATTCAAGGGAGTTAATTATCGATTCGTCTGAGCATGTCCATTGATATTTTCCTAAAATATTTGATCATTCTTTTCCCGTGTTCTAAAATGTCTAGGCGGCCGCCTAGATGTTATATACGCCTATACATTGTAGAGATTATTTTTAATGGGACGACTTTGTCAGTACAGAGACATAGCTGCACGCTTTCACCAGAGTTAAAGCATGGTTCAAGTTGACCTGCATGTATCGTGGTGCAGTGTAGTTGTGCGATGGAACAGAAGTTTGGGTCAAGTTAATAATAGAGCACGAGATTTTATTCAAAATATAAAAAGAAGATCTTGTGGAAGTGAGGGTTTTAAAAAACTCCAATAATTATTGGATGTTGTTGAACCGCACATTGACTCTAAATAGTAATCGATGAATCTTGCTGAATTGCTGAATCTAATTGAAATTTTAGTGATTTTCAGTTGAATCTACCTAAATTATTATATTTCTAAATGGTAACAGCTAAATCTAACTAAATCGTCAAATAATTATGAATATTAATAGAATAACAAAAAAATATATAAATAAAATTGATAAATTATGTAATGGACTAATTAACTCTTACACTAAGAAAGAAATACTAAAATTATCTAAAATTAATAGTAATATAAATAATTTATTGGTTAACATAATTGAGTTATTCTTCCATATTTTAATTTTTGAACTATTTTGTGCAAAAAGAACCCTCCAACTTACTATTTTTTGCAACTTTACCCTCCACATCTAAAAAATGCAGGTTAACTATATGAAGTCCAAAATAATATGCAATTTAACCTTTTTCGCTACCGTCAAGTTTGTAAAGTTTTGATAAATAATATGTCAAATCGAAGCCCTCGCGACGAGGAGTTCAACTCTACTTTTAGAATTTTAAAAATCTAATGTATGTGGTCATAAATACGTTTACAATATACGTATAAATGTTATATTGCGTATTAGTTTTGATTTCATAGGATTAATCTGTATTTTTTTTGGAAGTTAAGGGTAAAGTTGCAAAAATTGGCGTGTTGGAGGGTTTTTTTGCACAAAAAATATGTAAATAATTAATAAAAAGCTTTGTCAAACCATTATTTAAAAATTAATTAATTTCAAAAAGTAACATGATAATATAATAGAAGCTTATCTAATTGCTTTCTTTTTTTTATTGACCTCTAGTTGTTTAATCAATAATATAATGAGGATGAGTAAGAATAGTTACGAGTTGTTTTTGCAAAGTTTTAAAAAAAAATTCATTTTACATTATCTAAAAGTTATTGAAATTATCCATAGTTATCTGAAATATCTGAACATGAATTTGACCTTTGTCCATTTTGTTATTGATTTTATGTGTCTGAATTATTGGTTGGGAGACAAACCGTCTCACATTAGAATATTAGAAAAGAATTGTCTAATATATAAGTCAAGTCCAACTAGGCATATCAATCGAGTTAGCCCGGTCCAGCCCAAATTCCGGCAAACCTGCATATATTTGAGCCCGGCTCGGCCCAACTCGTAAAAATTCTGACCCTATATTTTTAAGCCTGGTCCGACCCTAACGGGGCTTTCCGAGCTCTTTCGAGCTTTTCTTTTGATAGAAAAAATAAACTTATAATTTATAATATCTCTTGAAAAATCTATGAATGAAACGACTCAATCGAAGTTTAAATAACTACTGGTATTCATTAAAGCCAATTTAATTTAAATAAAAAGGTTTAAAACCAGATAAATAATCTAAATACATTGTTTAAACTCATACTAAATAAATTATGAAATCAGAAGACTTCAAACAAGGTAGTAGAGCCAAGATTTGAATCTGCTTCAATGTTTTCTTAATTTTCCTCAGTTCAATGCCTTCTAAATCTTTATGATCATAAAATCTATGTATAAAAATCAAATATAAAGATTTTTGAATTTTATTATAATATAAAATATCATAAATAAAGATTTTAAAAATATTAAGTTAAGAAGAATGACATTATTACCGGATCATCAAACGTAAATCCATCCAACCAAGTGCGTATAACAATTAGAAAACTAAGTTTAAAGTTTTTAACTCTATTTTAAAAAAATCTTTAAACAAATGTCCCAATTAAATTAAAATATTAACAAAGACAAAGTCAATATATTTTTAAGGATTTTTCGGACCGGTCAGAGCCTGGTTGTATTCTGGACATATGTAGTTAAGCTTGAGCCTGCTGTTTTTCAAGGCTGGCTCGGGCCAGCCCGCGGACTTTGGCCTTAATTGACATGTCTAAGTCCAATTCCAATTAGTATGATGTCTTCTTATAAAAAACCTATAAACAAATCCGTGCGGGCTTTGCCTTTCGGCCCAAAGTGGACAATATCATACTAATAGCGGGAGTTAAATTGGGTTTGGAAAGCCCAACATTATTTTTTAAATATAAATTTGAGGTTTCATTTTCGATATCCAAAATATTTCAATTCGAGTTATGTACTCGTTATTATACGAATTTTTACCCAAAATGTACATACCTATGGGTTAGTTGATGTTGAAAAAACTGCTAGATTTGACTGAATTAAGTTGAATTGGCTGAATTTAGTTTTACGCAAATTGTGATAGTAGAATTGCTGAATCTGGCTAAATTTGAATGTATATTTTTTGTACGTTACCATTTAAACCTTTTATAGGTAAAAAATTTTAGGCCAAATTTTAATATTTTTAATTTATTTATAATGAATATTTCCCATCTCTTCCACTTTATTACGTGATGTTGAAATGGAAACATTTTTGCTGGACCGTCTCGTCCCGCCCTTCAGCCACGCTGCATTCACAACCATATAATGTATGATGTATCAGTTTGTAGGGTTTGACGTGTCTTGCAGACAATTCATGACGTTGATGTTATGGTATCCATAGTAAAACTAAAGATTGCGTTAGACGTTATTGCTCATTAGTTAATAAAAATGCAATGACTAAACTAACAAAAGAAGACTTCCTAATCACACAAGACTTTGAACAAGTCTCATAGCTTTTCGTCTCCTTGATATCAATAAAAGTTTTAAAATTTGTTGGGTCAACATCAAATAAGAAAATTCGAATGGTTTAATGCTGAAAAGAAGCCGTGTGGGCCAATCAGGCTTGGCAAATAATTTTCCTATGGTCATCTCTTTAAAAACCCTCGAGAGTGAGAAGGCATCACTTATCTAAAGAACCTTGTTTGATCATAATGAGGTTGTTTCTCTTACTTGTTTTCAATACTCTCATCTTACTTAAAAATTTGGACTTCGGTTTTGCTGATGAAGCGTCCATGGTTGATGGTGATAGACAAGTATTACTTGCGTTGAAGTCTCAAGTTTCTGAAAACAAACGAGTAGTCTTGGCCTCGTGGAATCACTCTATTCCACTCTGCGAGTGGGCTCATGTTGCATGTGGCCGCAAACACAAAAGAGTTACTAGTTTGGACCTAGGAGGGTTGCAACTTGGTGGGATCATCTTGCCCTCTCTCGGTAATCTTTCTTTTCTCAGAGTTCTTAATCTTGGAGACAACTCTTTTAGTGGTACCATCCCAAAAGAGTTGGGAATGTTGTTTAGGCTTCAACAGTTGAACATGAGTTATAATAGTCTTGAAGGAGAAATTCCAAGCCTGTCTAACTGCTCTAGATTGGTGACCCTTGATTTAATGTCAAACCGTCTTATACACGGTTTACCTTCAGAGCTAGGATCGTTATCTAGCCTTGAAAAATTGCTTCTATCTAAAAACAACCTTTCAGGGAAGTTTCCCACATCTTTAGGAAACCTAACATCTCTCAGGCAATTTGCCATTGCATATAATCATATGGAGGGAGAAGTTCCAGATAACATAGGTAGATTGACCCATTTGATAAGTGTCCAACTTTCACAAAACAATCTCTCAGGTGTTTTCCCTCCTTCAATTTACAACATGTCCTCACTTAGGTTTTTATCCATTGTTGGCAATCATTTCTCGGGTAATCTTAGGCCTGATTTTGGAAATATGCTTACAACTCTTAAAGAGTTGTATTTGGGGATGAATTCTTTCTCAGGAAATCTTCCCAAAACAATTTCCAATATCTCAACCCTCACACATCTAGAGATTTCACAAAACCTTTTCACTGGATCTGTCCCCGTTGGTTTTGGAGCATTACACAATATTCAAATGTTGGGGATTAATGAAAATTCTTTTGGAAACAACTTAGTTGGAGATCTTGACTTTCCTAGTGCTTTGGTAAATTGCACTCAGCTACAAGTCTTAGATTTTGGTTACAACAGACTTGGAGGAAAACTCCCTATCTTTGTAGCCAATCTTTCTATCGAGTTGGCCGCAATGTACATGGGAGGGAATCTCATCTCTGGTGGCATTCCTCATGCCATTGGGAATCTCATAAACCTACAAGCACTAGGCATGGAAACAAATTTGTTGACAGGAAGAATACCAACCTCTCTTGGGAAGATTATAGGGTTGAAAGAACTAGGCCTGAATTCAAATAGAATGTCAGGAGAGATACCATCAAATCTCGGAAACATCACTCGGTTAATAAGTCTCAATTTGTTTAACAATAGTTTTGAAGGAAGCATTCCTCCGAGTCTTGGAAAATGCCGGTTTCTGTTGTTCCTTCGTATTGGATCTAATAAGTTAAACGGGACTATACCTCAAGAAATCATGCAAATGGAGTCTCTTGTTGGGTTTTATATATCAAAAAATCTGTTGACTGGGCCTTTTCCCAAAGATGTTGGAAGATTAAAACTCCTTGTTGTGCTATCTGCTGCAAACAATAGATTTCATGGAAACATTCCTGAGACATTAGGGAACTGTCTCTCCATGGAAGAAATTTACCTTGGAGGAAACGGATTTGATGGAGCCATTCCAGATATCAGAAACTTGAGAGCTCTCAGAATCTTTATTTTATCGAACAACAATTTATCGGGCAGTATACCTGAATATCTGGCCAATTTTCCCTCGTTACAGTATTTGAATCTCTCAGTTAACAACTTGGAAGGAATAGTTCCAACAAAAGGAGTGTTTCAAACTCCTGAAAAGTTTTCAGTATCTGGTAATGGAAAGCTTTGTGGAGGCATCCCTGAACTAAAGTTAAGCCCATGCCCTCAAAACGTAGTTTCAAAGGCAAGAAGGCATTCATCAAACAAAAAGAAAATTATCATCGGTGTTAGTATCGGTGTAGCTTCTCTTTTGTTGTCACTGTTTGCTTTGAGTCTACTATACATTCTTATGAAAAGGAAGAAGAATGACGGTGCAAAAACCGCCGATAACTTGCTATCAAAGTCTCCATTCTATGAAAGGATAAGTTATGAGGAGCTTAGAAGTGCGACTTGCGAGTTCTCGTCAAGCAATTTGATTGGTTCAGGAAACTTTAGCTCTGTTTTTAAAGGATTGCTTGGTCCCGAGTCCACAGTTGCTGCAGTTAAAGTCCTGAATCTCCAAAAGCATGGGGCAGCCAAGAGCTTTATGGCGGAATGTGAAGCCTTGAAAAGTATAAGGCACCGAAACCTTGTGAAACTAGTGACAGCTTGTTCAAGCATTGATTTCAAAGGAAATGAATTCAAAGCTCTTGTGTACGAGTTTATGCCGAATGGAAACTTAGACACGTGGCTGCACCCAGAGGAAGTCGGAAGCTCTGAAAATCATCCAAGACCACTGAAGCTATGTGAAAGACTTAACATAGCCATAGATGTGGCTTCAGTTTTGGATTATATCCATTCCCACTGCCATGACCCTGTAGCTCATTGTGATCTAAAGCCAAGCAATGTTCTTCTAGACAATGATCTAACAGCCCATGTAAGCGACTTTGGTCTTGCTCGAATCCTCGACCAGGAATCCTTCATCAACCAATTGAGCTCCACGGGTGTCAGAGGAACCATCGGCTATGCAGCACCAGGTAAAAGTACTGTAGTTATGAAATTATGTTTTCTCCATTTTTAATATCTTTATCATTTCTTTTGATCATTGTACAGAATATGGAATGGGAGGAAAACCATCTAGACAGGGAGATGTGTACAGCTTCGGAGTTCTTATGTTGGAGATGTTCACTGGAAAGCGTCCAACTGATCAACTGTTTATCGGAGATTTAACTCTCCGTAGCTATGTCGATTCGGGGCTGCCCGAACATGTACTTGATATGGCTGACATGTTGATTCTCCACGGTGAAGTTAGGAACAACAACGTCAACATTGCTGAGTGTTTGAAGATGGTGTTTCATGTGGGAATAAGGTGTTGTGAAGAATCTCCGATAAATCGGATGACTATGGCTGAAGCTTTAGCTGAATTAGTCTCACTCAGAAAGAGGTTCTTTAAAACCAAGAGGACGACATTCCGGGCGGGTCGTTAGCTTTTTGGTGGTCTAAAACTAAAACACTATACATGTGGCATTCTATATCAAAGAAGTATTCTATGCCGACGACAGCGGCAGTTGTGGAGATTTGAGACGGCAGTGGCGGTGTTCTTTGTGAAGTTAAGAAACGGCGGCAACGGTGTTCTTCCGGGTAAAGGCGTCCATAGTTTCTAATTTTACTTTGTCAAGGTTGTCTTCCTTTTTTTTTTCCCTTTTTTTCTTTGTGGAGGATTGTTACAAATTTACAATTTTAATTTTCTATATATAAGGATGGTTTATGTTATTGCCCAAAAAAAATTAAGTCCGGAAGAGAAATTTAAGAATGTAAATAATTGCCAAAAGAAGAGAGGAACGTGGCATATTAGCAAATTTAAGAATGTAAATTTAAGAATGTAAATATCGTCTTTTAGCTTAAACCAATCTTTTAGTGGCATATTAGCGTCATTGGTTTGATGGGCCGGTTCTATGAGTACTTGGTTCTTATCCCACATTGGCATCGGGTAATTCAATGGCTAAGCCTACGGACCACTTGAGCCTTTACTGATTAGAAGTGTTGATCCCATTACTGGTCGTAAATGGTCTCTAAGGATAAGTGATCATATGCTTCTAACAACCTGATCGGTCCTTGATTTTGATTTGGGTCAAGTAAGTCCTCCAACTCTTAGCAGTATTAGGGGTACCTACCTTTGAGAGGACTTGACTCTCAATTTGAATTACGAAATAAATTTTCGTTTTGAATTTATAGACTCCACACACGGATTGAATTACGAACATAAGTAGTACGTTTTGAATTACGAAATAAATTTTCGTTTTTATAATTAAATTAAATTAATTAAATTGCATAAAATAGTATTTGACTTGTTTATCCTTAATGAGTTGAATAAATTTACTCTATAAAATTTTATTTCTAATGGCATTCTTAAGTAATATCTTACAAAGGAGAAGGTTAATTAAGGGTAATTGTAAATTGTACTCCCCAAATAATAGTATAGGATCATATATACAATAATACAAACGAAGTAATCTTTATTCGCATCCTCATTATAATTCCCGTAACTAGAATACAATAAACTACTAGATCATCACCCGTACTACAGTACGGGTTGAATTTCATTTATTACAAAATTTATAAATTTTTTGTTTTAGAATAAAGTTGTGATATATTATAATAGTAAGTGAAAAAATAATATTTTTTTGTCAGTCCCTATATATAATATTAGAATGAATATATTTTTCTTTTTCTATAGTATTCAATTATGGATATTTTTTTTTAAGATATGAAAACGGAAAATAAGATTATTTTTTAAAAAGATTAATATTGTTTGAACAATGAGTTAATTTATGTTAACAACCACAAAATGAGAGTGCATATAATTTAGTTAGATCAAAAATCAAAATATCATAAATGAATCGCATCTAAAACGTAGATTATTTTGAATTACTTAAGAAAATTAGCTATTATTTTGAATTAATTTAGGAAATTATTTTTTCAAATTCTGATTCATTGGTTGTTGAAATAGAGATTTGTTTGAGTTAATTACGGAATTTACCAATTATTCACATAATCAAATATGTTATGAACATATATTTGGTATATAATAATACAAAATTCAATCCGTGTGTGGAGTCTATATTTTCATTTTACAATCTCTATGAAAATATTGCGGCACAATCTATTATTTATTATTTTTAAAATTGCTTGCAGAATCAAATTTTCAAATATTTAGAAGTGTCAAACCTTATTTAACACATCTCATCATAAAATCTTAAAATGCCGTCTGTCATAAATTTCTACCATATAATACATTACATTTAACCCGCCGCCTACTATAAATATTTTAAACATATCTTTTTAGAAAATCAAATTAATGTATTTATAATTTTTTTATCTTTTTAATCTATTAAATATTTATGATATTCTTTAATATATTAAATTAAACTTTTTTAAAATGTTCCAAATTAAAATCTTTAAAATTTTTTATTGTAGTATGTAAAATTATGAATTTTAAAAAAAAATGATATGAAATTAAATATAAATATTCAAATAGTTATAAGGATCATAACTTATTTCATCATATAATATATTATATTCAACCCGCCGCCTATTATAAATATTTCTTTCAAAAAATCAAATTAGAGTATTTATACTTCATAAATTATTGATCTATTAAGTATTGATGATATTAAAAAAAAAAAGGAATATATTACTCAAATATGAATTTTTGACCCGTTAAATTTGTTCTTTCATACATTGAATAATTTATATTCGTTTTTAAAAATTCAAATCTTGGTATATGAGGAAAAAAATTTACTTTTTTATTATATAGATGATATAATGATTTATTTATTTATAGAAATAGAATCATACAAAGATGAAAGGTGAAGTATAATGATTAATAACAAATTAATATGGTAAGTTAGATATCAAATCTTATATGTTCATTTTGATTGGTCATTCTTTTTAAAGAAATTAATAATAGATTTTCGTTTTTATAATTAAATTAAATTAATTAAATTGCATAAAATAGTATTTGACTTGTTTATCCTTAATGAGTTGAATAAATTTACTCTATAAAATTTTATTTCTAATGGCATTCTTAAGTAATATCTTACAAAGGAGAAGGTTAATTAAGGGTAATTGTAAATTGTACTCCCCAAATAATAGTATAGGATCATATATACAATAATACAAACGAAGTAATCTTTATTCGCATCCTCATTATAATTCCCGTAACTAGAATACAATAAACTACTAGATCATCACCCGTACTACAGTACGGGTTGAATTTCATTTATTACAAAATTTATAAATTTTTTGTTTTAGAATAAAGTTGTGATATATTATAATAGTAAGTGAAAAAATAATATTTTTTTGTCAGTCCCTATATATAATATTAGAATGAATATATTTTTCTTTTTCTATAGTATTCAATTATGGATATTTTTTTTTAAGATATGAAAACGGAAAATAAGATTATTTTTTAAAAAGATTAATATTGTTTGAACAATGAGTTAATTTATGTTAACAACCACAAAATGAGAGTGCATATAATTTAGTTAGATCAAAAATCAAAATATCATAAATGAATCGCATCTAAAACGTAGATTATTTTGAATTACTTAAGAAAATTAGCTATTATTTTGAATTAATTTAGGAAATTATTTTTTCAAATTCTGATTCATTGGTTGTTGAAATAGAGATTTGTTTGAGTTAATTACGGAATTTACCAATTATTCACATAATCAAATATGTTATGAACATATATTTGGTATATAATAATACAAAATTCAATCCGTGTGTGGAGTCTATATTTTCATTTTACAATCTCTATGAAAATATTGCGGCACAATCTATTATTTATTATTTTTAAAATTGCTTGCAGAATCAAATTTTCAAATATTTAGAAGTGTCAAACCTTATTTAACACATCTCATCATAAAATCTTAAAATGCCGTCTGTCATAAATTTCTACCATATAATACATTACATTTAACCCGCCGCCTACTATAAATATTTTAAACATATCTTTTTAGAAAATCAAATTAATGTATTTATAATTTTTTTATCTTTTTAATCTATTAAATATTTATGATATTCTTTAATATATTAAATTAAACTTTTTTAAAATGTTCCAAATTAAAATCTTTAAAATTTTTATTGTAGTATGTAAAATTATGAATTTTAAAAAAAAATGATATGAAATTAAATATAAATATTCAAATAGTTATAAGGATCATAACTTATTTCATCATATAATATATTATATTCAACCCGCCGCCTATTATAAATATTTCTTTCAAAAAATCAAATTAGAGTATTTATACTTCATAAATTATTGATCTATTAAGTATTGATGATATTAAAAAAAAAAAGGAATATATTACTCAAATATGAATTTTTGACCCGTTAAATTTGTTCTTTCATACATTGAATAATTTATATTCGTTTTTAAAAATTCAAATCTTGGTATATGAGGAAAAAAATTTACTTTTTTTATTATATAGATGATATAATGATTTATTTATTTATAGAAATAGAATCATACAAAGATGAAAGGTGAAGTATAATGATTAATAACAAATTAATATGGTAAGTTAGATATCAAATCTTATATGTTCATTTTGATTGGTCATTCTTTTTAAAGAAATTAATAATAGATTTTCGTTTTTATAATTAAATTAAATTAATTAAATTGCATAAAATAGTATTTGACTTGTTTATCCTTAATGAGTTGAATAAATTTACTCTATAAAATTTTATTTCTAATGACATTCTTAAGTAATATCTTACAAAGGAGAAGGTTAATTAAGGGTAATTGTAAATTGTACTCCCCAAATAATAGTATAGGATAACACAAAAGAGAAACACATTAAAAACATTAACAAAAAAAAAAACTATAAAACAAGATAAAGTAACAAGAGATTGTCTACGCAAATGTGCAGATTTAAAACCTCATATTGAACAAAGTATAAATAGAATTAACAAAAATAAGAGTAATTTAAACGTAATTAAATAGTAATTAACCGTGGATGCTGTCACAAACTAAGACATGTTGATAGTTAGAGATGAGCAGGCGATGCAAGCGAGGAGGTAGATGGCTGAGGAAGCTCCATCGTTGTCGAGATTACTAGTGCTTCGCTTGAATCTGCAACTTTTTTCTTTGTTACAATTTGTGATTGATTGCATCTTCTTCTTCTGATGACGATCATCTTCTTTGCATCTCTTGATCATCTCTCTTTGCTTCATTGCTTCTTCTGCTCTGCACACCATTCTCTTTTTGGTGAAAAAGAGCTCAGAGAATTTAGTGTAGCACAAGAGTATCACACTTCCTATCTCCATATATATAGAGCCAAGTTTCTTATATATATATATATATATATATATATATATATATATATATATATATATATATATATATATATAAAGAATAAATTATAATTTGGACTAATTTGAATTGGCATTTTAATAATTTTAGCTTGGAACTATATATGTTTTAAACAAAGTATTTTAACACGTGTAAATGATGCATTTTCACAAAATTTTGTTTTCCTATTTTTTTTTTTTTAATACAGTATGCATTTATATTGATGCCTCCCTAACAAAAAAAATGTAAAAACAATCTTACATTATCAGATGTATTTTAAAATTTACATAAAACTTCCAATTCTTTTTCAAGATTCATGGTGGCCTAAAATTTTTAATGATCCCACGTAGGCCTGGGCATTCGGATTTCGGATCGGATTCGGTTCGGATTTATTCGGATTTGGATAATTCGGGTAGGAGATTTTATTATCCGTTCGGATTTTATGACTATTCGGATCGGGTTCGGTTCGGATAGTGTCGGATTCGGATCGGTTTCGGATTAATTTTGGATCGGTTTGGCAGGAAAAAAAAACTAAAAATGTTCAATTTAAATAAAAAAATAGTTTTAATCTTACTAAAATTTGGCTAAATTTTCCAAAAATATATATAATTTTAACAAATATAACTAAAAACTTTCCAATATCTAGGTTATTTAGGATATTTTTGTGTTATAAAATTATAGCTAAATATAACTAATATTTTTGGATATATAATTTTATTTTCGGTTTTCGGATATCCTTTCGGTTTTCGGTTCGGATCGGGTTCGGTTCGGATAATTCGGATAGGAGAATTCATTATCTGTTCGGGTTTTGTGACTATTCGGTTCGGATTCGGAGCCGGATTTTTCGGATCGGTTTCGGATCGGTTTTCGGATTTCGGATTTTATGCCGAGGCCTAATCCCACGGTTCTAGTTCAAGATTCAGGACACCAGAATTTTTTTTAAAAGCTTCCAAAGAGTTTGTAGCTACAATAGACAGTATTTATTTTACTGGACACATAGACCCCAAACTGTTTTCTATATGAGATCCAATGCATCTCTTTCTTATTTTAAAATCAATAAATGAGTATACTCAAATTGTCAAGATAAAAGTACTAGAGAATGTTTCTTTTTGATTGGGTTTCAAAACCCAAATTAACACCAAAATATATTGTGAAGACAAAAGATTTATTATTTCTAGTTTTCTTCTTGTTTATGCCTAAAAACTATAGAGCTCCTGGTTATCTTATCTATTTCTACTCTAAAAATATGTGTTTTATCTACATATATATTAAGTTTTTAGGTAGTGGTAACTAATAAATTTGTGTATGTAAATGAGGATCACAAGTAAAAAGCAAGTTAGTTAGCAATGATAATGGACAATGTTATGGAGTTGCGACCGTTGTTCAAACAACAGCGCATTTGGTTCTCTAAATAGGAATCCAAATTGGATTATCCAATCATTTGGGAAGTGAATATAGTATAGTATTACATTCGTAACATGCATTAAAAACCCACAAATAATTTAATAAGCAAAGCCTAGTACCAATGATTTACATAATGCTGTTGAAGAAGTTTCTGTAGATAAACATATAGTACTACACTAATACTACTGTAGTCTATAGATAGGTGGAATATTTTTTGTCATTGTTATAACAAAATGTGGAATTATTGAAAACGTAATGAAGGAAAAATGAAATGGGTTTTGGCGGGGAGCGAAGAATGGCATGTGGAGAAGACAATGTCACATGTGACATGTGAGAACGTTATGATGTTTGGTCTGAAACGGCGCCATTATGTGATTTATACATTGCATTTCCCTCTCACATTTACTCATCAACCCATTCCATTCTTTGTTTCATATTTAAAATGTAAATATCCATAAACCTAATGAATCATAAACTTGTCGATCATATTGAATGCTCCTCCACATTGTATGGTGGCCAAAAAACAAACCAATATGTATAAATTGAATTAAACCGAAATTGTAAATCAATTGGTTTTATTAAATGAAAACTTACTAAAACTGAATTTAGTGTAACAGAACAAAGATTAGTTTTTAAAAAAAAAAATTTAGTTATATATTTTGTAACACATGTAATCATATTATGTAACTAATTAAATATATTTGACCGAAGTTAAATCAAACAAACCGAGTTACATATGGTCTGAGCTGGTTTTAGTCTCCATAAAACTGATAAAACTAAAACCAGAAAGGGAAAAATCAAACCGAAGTAAACCGTAAATTGAATGTCCTATGCAAAAAGAAGATACAGAGACAAAGATATTGTTGACCAAATGCTTAATCTCAGTCTCCTCTAAACATAAAATGCTTAATCTCATGAGCTCCTAAACACAGCATTAATTAACTCTTTGAGATTCTTGCATCCGATTATCTCAATCTCTTTCAAATTTAGCGCCTTTAGTGACTCCTCCACTGATTTGGGAACTACACATTTGTTGAACCCTAGCTTTGCCACTGTACTTACCCTTTTCTCCATTCTTGGTACCTATACCATTAACCTTCAATCATATTCATCCAAATTCTAAATAACAATTAGCTGATTCTTTTATTGCTTACCGTGCGAACCTCGCCCCCAAGACCAATCTCGCCAATGAATGCTACATCGTGAGGAATTGGAAACTCCAAGAAACTGGATTTTTATGCAATAAAAGAGTAGTGCTTCATTTGCAGCTAGTAACTAAATAACGCAAAGACACTTTTCAAGAGCCCAAATAACACTTACCTGCTACAAATTGCTGCTGCAATTGCAAGATCGCCAGCAGTTTCAGAAAGAGCCATTCCGTTAGCGACGTTCAGAAAAATCCCCTGAAGAAAAATATTATTATTATCAACAGGACTGCGACCACTAGGACACTAAGGGAGCTATCACATAGATAATGAAGATTGGGGTTTAATACGCTTCATATCATTTGTTACAGCGCCACTATGTTACTAGAAGAACAAAATTCACATGTTGAGCAACATTGCTGACTTACATTTTCCTGAATTCTAAGACCAGCTTGCTTCATAAGAACCTGTGATATGATAAGAAGAAGATAACAAAACGATTAAAGTTATTAAAAAAGGAAAGTAGAAGAGAGGGTATGTACACAAACGTAATCTGTTATTGGACGATAAGAAAGGACAATGTTGGTAGTAGCACTCACTGCAATTATCATGTCAGCTCTGCTCGCTTGAACACCATTGACATGCCTTGAAACTGTTGAGCCAGGCGAACACAATGCCTACATAATAACAAAAAACATTGTTTAAACAAGAACTACAATACTTTGCTTCAAGGTCCACAAGCACATATGAGGCAGCTAATGATGAGAGGTCAGCATTGTCACCTATTCAGAACATACATACTACAGCCAATGTAAGTCATGATACTCATCAATATTGACATTAGCAAAATGTATAAAGAGTTTCAAAACGCAGTTTCACTTATCGAGCAAGAGATCTTTTACAATTTTTTGAATTCTGAAGCAGAATAAGAGAATGTAGCAGAATTATCTGGTTATCTACCTGTACTTCAATTAGGAAACTCCGAGATCCATCCATAACAACTGCTACAGCTAATCCAGCTAAAACATCTGAATCTGGGTTGTGTTGACTAAGATATATGCCACTAGGGTTTGAGACCACTTCAAGTCCTGAGTTTGCCATTTCAAAAACTCCAAGCTGACAAAGGAGATAGCCACGATTTATTCGATAATTCTCAACTCGAAATAAAAATAAGTGTACAGATAACAAGCAAACTCGAACCATGTAAGGAATAAAGGGAACACAATCCACAGAAATAATAATAATCATGATTTAATCTGATAAGGCATACTATCAAGGATTTGTATACATACTTCATCAGTCGACCCAAACCGATTCTTCACAGATCGAAGTAAGCGGTATGTTGATGATTCTTCACCCTGAAATTTGACAGAAAATACATGTCAACTAATCATCTGCTGTTACATCTCCTAACAAATTAAGCTCATATACTTGCTATAGTCTAGAAAAGAGGTTATAAAGCTAATAAAAACAAACCCAAAGTATATAGTTAGAACTACAGAGCGCCATTTATTGAAGGGATATCATGATTGCCTATCTAAAGACAACAGAAAACAAAAAGCACCTCCAAGTACAAGACAACATCTACTATGTGCTCCAAAACACGAGGTCCTGCAATATCGCCTGCTTTCGTAACATGTCCAACCTAAAACAGAAAGTGGCATGCATAAAAAATCTGATTCAGATCAAACACCAGATATTGAAGGAAAATATTCGAAGAGTGGTGCTTACTCACCAAGAAAACAGGGATATTAGATTTCTTAGCAAAACGCAACAGGGTTGATGTGCACTCTTTAACCTACCACCATCAGAGATTTCCAAGAAAATAGCCTTTTCAGCAGGCAAAAAAAAAGTTATGGAAAAGCATATGCGAAGAAAAAGAGAATGCTGGAGCCTGGTCTTCATCTAACACATTAAAGGTTCCGTTTAAACATAAAGATGTGTGATTCCATGTAAAATGGGAAGCAACAAAAAGCAGCTATAGCATAACTTCCTGCTCAAAGTATTTAGAAGAAAACTTTATGGAGAGACTAAGCGAATAGAGGATGAAAACTTTTTAACCTGTGTGAGACCACCAGCACTTCCAGTCACATCTTTTAGGTAAACCGTTTGAATTGAGTCAATGATGAGAGCTCGAGGAGATAGCCGATGAGCTTTGTTTAGAATGTCCTGAAATAAATCAAAACAAACGATTTGCTTCAGATAATTTTAAAGTTATGATACGCAAAGGTTTGGAATTTTACACAGAGTAGAGTTGGTGTCTGACACATAAACATGAGGAGAATTAACTTGGAGGTTAACCGTTAGGCACAAAACAGGAATATACAGCTGAGCATTGTTTAGGTGTTTAAAGAAGTTCAGAAATATGACTTCTGTTTGTTTAAGATAATAAGAATATTAATTCACAAAAAAAAGTATACCTGAAGATCAGAGCTCGAAAACAGGTAGAGCTCTTCAGTTTGAATTCTCATCCTGTCAGCCCGACTTCCTATTTGCTCGACACTCTGCAGTTGGGTGAAAAACAGAAGATCTTATGAAGAATGTGTAATCAAGTCAACAGAATGCATGGGATTGAGATCCTTCAGAACAAACTAAAAGTACCATATCTCTACCATTAAATAGAAAACACGAGAAGAAAAACAGACACCATTTTTTTTGCAGATAAAGTGCAGATGCGTAAAAATAAAGCTGCTAAAACTCAAGCTTCAATTACTTTGTTGCGTCATAAACATGTGCGCATGTAAGCTCATTCAGACCATCTTAAGCAGCATATTTTGAAAAAGAAACAGCCACGGAGCAATTACACAATCCACGATTTTGATCAGAAACCCGGTGTGAAGAAGACAAGGAAAGACAGGTAGCAGAAACTTTGAGAAAAACAGAACATGACTAGTACTAACCTCTTCACCAGAGATATACAAAACCGGTGCTGGTTCAGCCAATTCACTCCCCTCAGCAATTATAGCTGCAATCTTCCATTTGAGAAAATAAGATGCGAATCAGGGAGCCGTGTATGTGCACAAATCATGTTGCAGTACTAGAAATTAACAAACATTTGCATAGTGAAGACAAATCACTCAAACACCATAAATCACATCACCTAACCTGCAATAACAAAGTACTCTTGCCAATACCAGGGTCACCACCAATCAAAATCAGCGAACCTACAAAAAAACAACACCATAGTAAGTCAACTGCCAAAGATAGAATAATCAAAATCATGAAGACAGCATAAAACCTGGAGCAAGACCACCACCAAGCACTCTCCCAACTTCATTCCCAAAAAGTCCAGGCCTAAACATAAAAATGCAATCATGTAAACAAAAACATAACAAACCAACAAATATTCAAATCATTAAACTTCACAAGAAATGATATCTCATACAGTGAAATTCTCCATTGTTGTTGAGTAATTCCATGAATAACATCAGTCAATCGATGCGGCTGAACCGTTGCTTGTTCAGGTAACCAAGACAAACCTTTACTCTCCGAAAAACCCGAGCCAGTACTATTGCTACCACCACCACCACTAGCACTTGACTCAGAACCTTGAGAAAAACGTTTCATAGTCCCAACCTTATGACAAGTACGACAACTCCCCCACCATTGCCCTTCTGAATGACCACAACTCTCACAAACCCAAACAGTTTTCGATTTTCCTTTCTTTGATTTGTTCATAACTACTTCTCCTGGATTCCATCCTCGTGGATTCGAAGCGGCTTTTCTCGATTTCTCATCGGAAAATCCAATTTTGGTTTCATTGTCTTCTTTATTGGAATTCGCGTCCTGATTGGAGGAAGGAAGGTCGAAAACGGAGGTGACGGGAGATGATGAGAAACGACGGAGACGGAACCTGACCGGGGATACAGGAATGGTGACCGGAGTTGAAGATCGGAGGAGGAGAAGAGAGTGGGCTCGAGTGTAGAAGCATCTGAAGCATCTCATGTCTGCGATCAACATCAACAAAACTCAAAAATCTTTCTACTGTTTGCTTAGGGTTTTGAGCTCTGAGCTTCGAAACCCGCCAATTTCACAAACACGTCTTTGCCGCTCAGTCTTCTGCGACTTACATTGACGCTAGAGGAATAAGAAGTTCAATTTAATTTGTATAATTTTATTTCTTACAAAATTATTTCGAACTATAAATCTATACTAGGATTTTTGCAACACTTTGGTGACGGGTGGATAAAAATACTTCTGGGTTAATCGGATATCCGATCCGTTTTTTAAATTCCTTTAAAAAAAATTTGTTGGGTCGGGTTATATTTAACCCAACTCATACACCGGATATTTTATATTTAATAAGATATTTAGAAGATTTGATTAAGATTTAGAATTATGATTCTCCTATCATCTTTGTTTGATTTGTTTTTAACTGTTTTGAATCATCATATAATACATAAAGGAAAAAAAAATTGATTTTTTTTTCTGCATATACTGTGATTCGAAATTTTAAAAACGGACATATATTATCCAATTGACGAAAATGTGTGTTCAACGTTCTACATCGATTAAAATATTTAGACAATGATTCAGAATCATATCATAAATAAGATCAACATTAATAAAATAAATGAGTTTTTTGGCCGGACGGGTTTGGCGTGATGGGTTTTTGAATCAACAATAATAAAAAGATTAAAATATCATTAATCCGCCGCTTCAATACGGATTAAATCCTTTTTTTTAATACCACCAATATTAGACATACTAAATCAGTCTTATTTAGAAAATATTGTATAAAACCAAAAATTGTCCCGTGGTATAATGTTACTTAATAAAATTATTTATAAAATTTTAAAATATCATTAACATGCCGCTTTAATACATATTAAATCTTCAGTTTATTAAAATATAAATGTCTTAGAGAATGATATGATTTGTAAACTTTTATATATAATAAATAATCATTAAATTTTAAAATAAAAACAAATCACGGGACGGGTTAAGAAATTACGGAACAAGTTATATTTCGGAAAGGATTTATATGGCGGACGAATTTGAATCAATATATATACCGCTTTAATACGGGTTAAATCCTCAATTTATTAATAATTGTCTTGTGGACTCGTGGTATACCGTTACTTAATAACAATTGTAAACTATAATATAAATAAATATGTTATAACGAGATACAATTTACAAAATATTTTTATACTAACTTTAAAATTAAATCATCCCGCGGTGTACCGCGGGTTAAAATATAGTCGCTATGTATAAAATCAATTACATTGTTTTGAGTGCAATTTGTTTCGTTGTCTAATGAGATTCCACCATGTCCAAAACGCAATCGTTTAAAATGATTACGTGTCGTCCTCGTTAGCATCCGTTAACAGAACAGTAACACCGTCTAACGATTTGAGGGTTTCCACCGGATTTGAATAGTTTGTGATGAAAATTCAAATTAAATCTAAGTTCATGATAGTTTAAGCACAAACGAAAGTTCCGTGTATGAAAGCGATAAAGCAACTTAGTTCAGGGGGAATTATGCCGTTTTCCCTATATATTTGTATCTCCGTTTAACTTTCTTTGTAGCGCTAGCGCCAATAGATTTTCACACATATCTTATAATTAGTCGGGTCCCATAATTAGTCCTAGCATTTAAGAAAGAAAAAAGTTACGATAATTAGTTTTTTGATTCCATCAAGTCAAGTTATAGCCTTCTTATAGAAATACACATTGCTTTTTGCATGAGATTCGTAAAGAAACATTTAATTTCGGGTCTAACGTGTTTATTACTTTTTGCATTAGATTTTTTTTTCTAGTGGCTATAGACCCACTCAACAAATTGTTCTCAAAACAACTAAAATTAAAAAATATTTTCTTATGTAAATGCTAGAGATATATTGTGTAAAATAAAATATAATGTATATCGATAAAGAAATAGGATGGTTATTAAAAAGTAAAGATTTATTACATTTAATAAAAATGACACATGCACAAAATCTAACAACAAATCCAAATAAATATCATATTTTGTTGTCATTAATTTTGTTCTTTATTAGATGGATACATTAATTTACTCGACTTTTGGCTAATTGATAATCAAACAAATCTAACGGCTTTTATGAGATTATACTATACGAGATATGATCAATTTACACACTTAATACATATATATATATATATAGTCAGGCCTCCTTACCAAATCAAACAACAAAACATTTCTTATCTCTTTAAGAGCAGAATCACTAGCTATGATGTCATCATCACATTTCGCTATCTTTTGCTTCATCCTCGTTTCACTTTTTGCTCTTCATGAATGTATGATGTGTACATATAGTTATTCATCAACATATTTACCACAATTGTTTTTCAAATATCTATTATTTTTTGTAGGTGAAATTGGAAACATGGAGGAGAATCTTAACGCAAGCAAAATAGTTATATATCTATCACCGTGTGTTCGAAAACGTTGTAGCTTTAGCTTATTCAAGAATTGTCATTGCTGCAGAGGGAAGTATCCGTTTTGTTCGAAGAACATAAAAGTATGCGAGAAGGAGTGTCTAAGACTTAACCCACCGCCACCTAGGCCATAGATCTGGAAAACTTGCAAAAACGTTTAAAAAGAATTCATAAATCTGATTGTTTTCGTCCTTTTTGATAAATATATGAATTTTGTAGCCATATATGTGGCTTTCTTTTATCATAAGAAAAATATATATGTGATTCCAACAAATATGCCAATCATATTTAGCTCATAGTAACTTCTAGAGGTCTACTATAAAATTACAACAACTAGAAATACCTAAATTGTAATGGTTTCACACATTTTTCGCCAAATAAGAATAATATGAATATGTGGCTCCAACAATTACTATTCTCAAATTTTTGGTTGGTTAAAGAAAACATAAAATTTCTACGGTTTTTGGTCTTTTTGAATATTAGTTTGATTTTCAACTCGAGATTTTCCAATCAAAAACACATTTTTTTAATTATTAATTATTTCTCTCTGGATTCTAAATACTTTTTAGATTTTTGATGAATTTCGTTCAAAAGAAATAACATAATATGCGATTGGCGGTGGTAGGTTTAGAAATTTATTTCATAAAAAGAAAAAGATAATAATAAAAAAAGTAAAATATTAAAAGAATTATATCATACCAAACCACAAAACGCTACTGATATACTCTAGACTTTACTAATTTGACAGATTCATGGACTCCATAATCAATTACTCTGGTAACTTTACATTGTATATCATAGCAGGCATACTGAACATTTTTTTCTTTAAATAACTACGAACTGTCTAATAACTAAATTAAAGATATTTTCTTACGTAAATGCTAAGAATATATTACGTAAAAGATAATTTCTAATTTTTTGTTAATAAATATATAAAATAGATGTTGACAATATATATATATATATAGGATGTTTATTTTAAAGTAAGGATTTATTACATTTAATAAAAATGACACATGCATGCAAAAGATTTAATAACAACTACAAATAAATTTCAAATTTCGTTTTGTCATTTTCTTTTCTTTATTAGTAGGATTTAATTAACACTTAACATTTGGTTGATTGATAATCAAACAAATCTAACAGGATTTATGAGATTAACATACGAGATATGGTTAATTACATACTTATTTACATATATATAGTCAAGTCTTACCAAATCAAACAACAAAACCTTTTTTTGAGAGAAGAATCACTACAATGTCAACATCATCACATTTCGCTATCTTTTGCATCATCTTTGTTTCCTTTTTAGTCATTCACGAATGTATGTTGTGTATACATATCCTCGTTGATCATCAACATATTTATCACTAATTTAAAAACAAAACTATACGATTTTTTGTAGGTGAAAACATGGAGGAGGATATTGACTAGGCATGACCACGGTTACGGTTATTGCGGTTACGGTTTATTAACCTCCGGTTACGGTTAAAAAATTTCTCTAACCGTAACCTTAACCGTTATATATACGGTTAAAACGATTACGGTTAAATACGGTTACGGTTACAACGGTTACGGTTAAATACGGTTACGGTTATTTAACTATTACGATACGGTTAATATCAAAAACAAAAGCTTATGTATTTTTAATCTTTAGAATAAAATTTTAATGATGATATATCAAATAATATTTATTTTACAATATATAATATATGTGATTATATATTTTAATATTTATAGTTAATTGCTGTTGTGATTTTGCCGTAGACCTTTTTAAGTTCTTATGAGCTAATACGATTGGCATATTTAGTTGTTGGAATCACATATTTTTATAACTATAAATACGGTTGAGAAACGGTCTGGTTATATACTAACCGTAACCGTATTTAGTTGTTGGAATCACATATTTTTATAACTATAAATATAGTTAATTATAACTATAATATTTATAGTTAATCACATAAATAGTTATATATAAGTCACAGTGTGTTCGAACACGTTGCAGCTTTAGCATCTTATGGAATTGTCATTGTTGCAGAGGAAAGTTTAAGTTTTGTTCAAAGAAAATAAAAGTATGTGAGGCAGAGTGTCTAAGACTTAACCCGCTGGCCGCTACCGGCTACCTTCTTCAAAAGCATTTAAAAAGAATTCATAATTCTGATTGTTTTCATTTTTTTTTTATCAAAACATGAACCTTGTAGCCATCTATTTCGTTTTCTTTTATCGTTATAAAAATATGTGATTCCAACAACTAAATATGCCAATCGTATTAGCTCATAAGAACTTAAAAAGGTCTACGGCAAAATCACAACAGCTAGAAATACCTAAGGGGATGTAGTGGACTTAACATTTGGTATGATTTAGTGAAATTTAGATTTGGAGGAATATTAGTAGGATTTAAGGAAATTGTAGGTGATTTAGTCCAAAGTCCAAAATCCAAAATTCTTTGTCATTTTAAGTATAGACTTTTCTATAATTACAAAAAACAAAGTTTAGTGATTTGGTGAGATTTATCATTACACTTTAGATGATATTGGTGTTGTGTGTGATAATTTTTCTCTCGTCACCTCCAAAAACTCAAGTCGATCTTTTGCTAAGTAAGAAACTGTATTCTTATTAACAATCAAAGAATCGATACACCGTTTATGAGAAGAACCATCAGCACATCACTGATTCATGAGCTCTCTCTCTTACAAGTAACACATATGTCACTTTTTACAACAAACAACGCATAAATCCTAACAAATGAGAAAACTATGAGTTTACTAATTATTAATTGAATAACAAGGGATTGTAAATGATTTTACATAAATTTCAATAACATAGGATTTTGAAAAGCATTTAAAAATCATTAGTTGAATAACACGTGACCCTGTTCAAAAAATCGGGCGCCTAGCCGCCTAGGCGGCCGCCTAGTCGGTGATCGGCAGTCAACCGCCGCGATTTTAATCAAATCGGACTATTTAATCGGTAAACCGATTTTGCGGCCGTTTAATAATTAAACGTTGAAAATCGGTTAAAAGTCACCGATTTATTATAAAATTTTATACTGAATTTTGACCAAAACTCAAAAATTTATTGGGCCTACATAAGCCCACACGAGCTATACTATGACAAATAGAAACAATTAGTAGGGTCATTTATAAGAAGTCGATTCCATGCTTCCTTCCTACTATTACCGATGTGGGACTTTGTGATTTTGAGTTTTGTAGAAATACTACTTTCACATAACGTGACAACTGGCAAGTGATATCAATTCAGTAGTCAAATTAATAATTTGAATATATTTAAGTTCTTTATTTTTTTTTCCACCAAAATCTATTTATTGGTGGTCACTATATTTAGGTTCATATATTTTTTTTTAACGTGGATGTCATTTAGTTATTATTAGTGACCGTTCAAATCTGATACTTTGTTCTTTTTCGTCCATATATTTAAGTTTCAAATAAGTTTTTTAAACTAACAAACTGTTTTCATATTAATAATAGATGATATTAGTCAAATATACATATATTATATTTGATACATATATGTATTTTGAATATATATAATTAGGATGAATGTCAATTTGATGTGAAATTAAATTCGCAAAATTGATGATAGATGTTTTAAACTTTTTTCATGGTTTTTGTTTTATAAATTTTGCAAACATGTTATCAATTGCCTATTTGTATAATAAATTCATAACACTATAAAATTATTATATAAATAACACTATATAATGATCAAAAACTAATCCCCGATTAATCTTCGATTAATCTCCGATTTTCCGTCTAGGCGCTAGGCGGTGCCCGGCCGCCCGACTAGCGCCTAGCGATTTTTTGAACATGGACACGTGATTTATAAAAAAAAAAACAAAATTCTTCTAAAATTCCTATTCCAATACACTCCCTAAATTTTAACAGTTTCACACATTTTTCGATGCAAAATAAGAAGAAGAATATTAATATGTGACTCCAACAAATTACTATTTTCAAATTTTTGGTTGGTGAATGAAAACTTGAAATTTCTATCGTATTTACGAATATTCATTTTATTTTCCAATTTAAAACACATTTTTTAATTTCATTTCTGTCTAGATTATAAATACTTTGCTAACTTAGTATGTGATTTGATAGTGGTAGATAACAATTTATTTCGTCAAGCCATCAAGAGCATAAAGATAAAAAGGAAAATATTAAAATAATTTATTATACCAAACCACAAAACCCTACTAATGTACTCTAGGGTTACTAATTAGTAATTTGATAGATTCATGCACTTCATTTACTCTGTTAACTTGACAAATTCATGGACTTCAACCATTACTTTCTTAGCTTAACATGTACAGTGACTTTGCAATTGTGTCTCTGCTACGGTTTTGCAGAGTTATTGACTTTACAAATTTCACATATTCACAATTTTGCAGTTGTGAGCCAATAATAAAACCATATTTCTTAGGTCTCGATTTCATAGACATTGGCATTCAAAATATTGTAATAAATCTGTGCATAGTTGGCGTTAACTTAACGCTTAACAACTAGTCAGACGACTCAGACCTAAACAAAGAGACCACAATTAATCTGTACAGGGACATGTCTTTGACTCTTTGTGGTCCAAAGGACGATTACGAAAACACAGACCTACAACTGCTTGCGGTTACGAAGTCTTAGATCAATGAGCGGCTACATAGCACAAGACTTCCCGAACTGATTCTGTGCCTTAGCTTCCACGTCTCATTCAGAATATCGGAGCTGTTAGGTCGCTTCAGATACTCGGCTACATCTATCTTTAGTGTTTTTATGGGCTTCACAGGTTTTGTGACTGACTCATAAGGGCTCCAGCTTCCTCTGCTACTCATGGTACCGATGCTTGTCCCTGGCCCACTCGATGCATCCTATCAAAACACATTCGTGTCATAGATTATACAAACCAATAACTTTCTACGAGTCATCTATCTAATCAAGTGATAGTTTTAGACCTGTAAGCAGTACGGTCAGTGCAAAAAGCATTGTTACCTGAGTTGTATCCGACTCCCAGACAAGAGATTTTGTATTTGGGGTGTTTGGCGACTTGTTAAGGCATGCCAATGCAGCAGCAGAAGTGTCGTCTGGAGTATCCCATTGCAACCAAGGAAGCATAACACCGTCCATTTCAACAGGAATACTCTTCAGAGCAGTGGTGCCTTGAGAGCTTTGTGTTTTTATCATCCCAAAACTTGAACTACTTTCGCTCCTCTCATCCTCCAGTGATGAAAAGTCTGTGTCTTCTATGTTTGAAATGAATTCGTCAATGAATTGCTCTGCTTCATCTGTCAAACACATGGACATCCTGCTGCTCCGGTCCTTGCTCCTCTGTCAAAAAAAGAAAGGATTTTTTTATCTTTTTCATGCAAAGAGCCAACCTGAAGAGGAAACATATGCTGTTCTGAGAGTTGTAATACTCACCTTTCGCGTCCGCAACGGCTTCTCGTCAGCTTCAGAACTATTTTCAGTTAGTAACTCTTTCAAGTTCATAGAGAGCTCTCTACCACGCTCCTCCTCCAACATAATCTCAGCCAGCAAATCTCGCTTGCGCTCCTCAGACTGTCAATTCAAGGGGACAAGAAGTGTTGTATATTTGGTCATTGATTCCTCAATGAAAGAAACTACCAAATAGACGCATAGAGAAGTTGTACCTCCTGCAATTTTGTTGCATAACCTTTCGTAAATGTGGAGACAGCACAGTGATCATCATGGGATTTCCGCTGGGAACCATAATCAGAGTTCCCCAAAGATTCTCTCTTCTTTGGTGTTGCCTGTTTAACATGTTCATTAAAGCAACAATAATACATCAATAAAAACAGTCATAGGATATTGTTCAATTTTAGTCATCATATCTAATAAACCATTCTAAAATCTTATTCATTCAGATTCTCTCAAGTAAGCAATATCCAGAAAGATCTGCCCTTTGAATAAACCACAAACCTTATTTTGGGCATATACTGTTCGAATTATCCTCTCAGTTCCATGCTTGCTCAAGCTGGAATCCTTTCCTTCATCATCTGTGACTGCAGAAGACTGGCTCTGTAACATCCCAAACAATATTTCCCCATCAGTAACAAAAACTATAACATTTCCAGCATATGGAGTTAGACCAGAATATATCATACACAAAAAGATTAACCAACAAAACGATTTCTAAACAAAGAAAGAATATCATAAAACCAAAGTATATTTAGACTTACAGAGTAGCCATCATGGTATTTGACTGGATTTTGGCTAAAAGACCTCCTAAGACCTTGTCTATTATCTGAAGCGGCAGATTTCTGAGAACCACTATTTTGACTCTTTCCACTCATGAAGCTCTTCACATCCCTTGAACTGCTTGAATATTGAACTTGATCTACATCACTCTGCAAATGTAAAATAATTCATGTCGATCACACTCCTCCAATATACAATACACTACCCAAATAAAAATCCCTACTCATATCAACAAACCAAATGCACACAACAATGAAAATGTTCATACGCTGCTCTTACTAATTCAAGATGGTAAATGATACAACTGTTTATATGACTCATAAAGTTGTAATTATGGTCCTGTTGCTACAAAGTTGTCTCATAATTGTAATGGATTTTGATAATTATAGCTTTCTACTAAAGTTCCAATTCTAACTAAAAAGGTAAAAAAGTTCCTCATAGATTGCATCACATCACACCACTCAAGAGGGCCCAAGAGAAACTATAGAATAAGAAGATATCAACAAACAACAAAGTAAGCAATCACAAAAGTGTAATACCTCAGAATTCTCAATCCGGCGACGGACAACAGAAAGCGACCGTCGCCGCCGTGAATTCGCGTTTTCACAATCTCCCCCAATTGCATCACCACCGTTCTCTGCCTTAACCTTCTCCCTCGGTTGTCTAGAAACCGACCTTCGCCGGCTCGAATTATTACTCACCGGATCTACCCTAACTGAACCACCACGATTATTACTTTCCGGCTGTCTAGACAACGACCTCCGCCGTCTCGAGCTTTCAGTATCAGCCCCCAACCTCCGTAAACCACCGTTACCACCAGAACAAACCCTAGAAACAGACCGTCCCCTCCTTAGAGAATTCGCAACATCTCCTTCACCTCCGCCGCTACCACCACTGGACTTTCTTAAACCAGATCGTCCTCTTTCTCCGCTACTAATCTCACTCTCACCGGAAAACGATTCAAAAAACTCAACAGCTAAATCATCAAGACTAATTTCACCGAATCCAGAACCTCTCACGGTGTTAACAAACTTTCCCTTCCTCATCGGAGTCACTTCGATCTCTGGATCCGGCATGCGGTGAGAGAAACGGCTCAAACTCCGGTGTCTTCTAGAAGCAGACCTCCGTTTAGAGTAAGAAGAGTCGTCGCCACTCTCGGAGGATTTGGCTAGTGACGTCGTTCGCTTCATCGTTGAATTGAAAGCAGAAGTCGCCATAATTGAGAAGGAAGGAGCTAGCTTCTATTGGAGGAGGAGGAGGAGGAGGAGCGGATGATTCGACATTTTGAATTGTTGAGCTGTTTGAGGAATCAATTGCATTATGATATGCTCCCAATTAATTCCATTTTGACTTAAATGCTTTTAATTTTTTTAAAACATTAATTTGTTTTTATTTATTTTCTTTATTATATCAATTTAAAAAATCTTACTATATTTAAATGCGGAATATTTGGGATTCATCCGAAATTCTGACCTTACACTAAATTTATTTACCAAATTAATACTACTAGATTATGTACCCGCGCATTAGTTTTAATTTTTTTATCAATGCGAATCTTTGAATATAAATCTAATCAATTGAATTTTAATTTTTTTTTTACTTTAATTTTTTTTCCAATTTTACTTTATTCATGTGCATTACCTTTTCAAAGAAGTAAAAACATTCTCTCACTTTCTACTATAATTTTTCTCGTTATCCTCTGTGATATACTCATCGTCTCCCGACATCGACTCTTTTACACCTTATATTGACTCACATATAATATACTCAATTGTGAATTAGTTCTCAAGATAGATTGTATATCTTTTCTACTTCCTATCTTTGAATACTCAATTCTATTTTAAAGGTTGCATGATCTTTTTATTAAAGTAACCATCAGAAAATCTGAGAAAATCTTTTTATTAAAGTAATTATATTTCGGGTTCGGATCGGTGCCGATTTGGTTCCGGTTCTTACGGTTATAGAATTTAGTATCCATTCGGAAAATTTCAAATTTTCGGTTCGGTTTGGTTCTTTTTGCTCCGTTTCCGGTTCGTTACGTTCGGTTCGGTTAATTTGCCCAGACCTTGTTACATTAAAATAAATCATAAGTTTCTTTTTCCTAACTCTAACCATTTAAAAATATTCACTCATTATATGTTAAGACATGATTATCTAACTTTCTATTTCTCTAATCTCAATTCAAAAGTTTTATATTTTGTGTTGTATATCTATTTTTTCGTTTTTTCATATTTAATTAATTTTTTGTAAGTTATTGATTTTTAATGAAAAGTAATAATTTAAAATGTGTGAGTTAATTTAGTTTTAGGTTTTGTTTTAATAAATAACATATGTGGAGCCCACAAAAATAATAAAATGTGATGACATGGATGATGATGTGGACACCTTAGATGGAGAGACAACTCTCCCATTATATATATAGATTTCTTTACATGTACGTCTATATAGTTTTTATAAAGTTTGGTAAGAGATTTGCGTATTTTAAAGTAATGTATTGAGGGCAACATTAACAAAAAGAAATTATTAGGCTCACTAATGACTAATGAGGAAGCATAAGCTCGAGGAAAAAGAATCAACTCAAAATGAAGAGTTGCCGTTTTTTCCTTTTTTACTTGAGGTTTATTTTCATTCTTCAAAATCTGAAAACGAGTTTAAGAAATAGAAATCCGAATCGAGAGACGAAAGAAAAGGTTTCTCATAATTCAAAACTTACTTGTATTGACTATTGAGAGATTTATACTCATAGTGAAGATTGTGTGTTGATAGTGCAAAGAACAATAGAACAATCAACATTAATTATTAACCAAATTAACTACGTATATATGTTTCTTTTCTTTTCTTTTGATCATTTTGTTGGTCGTCGAAACTCTTTTATAAGTTTGATAAATTTTTGTATTTATATGGAGAGAAACAAAAACTTATAAGGTTAGGTGGGTTATGTTGTCAACTTCTAAATCAGACTAAGAAAAATATTGATTTAGATTCATTAACAACGTTTCTTAGCAGACTTATACATATATATACTTTTTACTACTATTATTATTATTATTACTTCTATACACATGTTGTCGTGTTTGTAGAAGATGTTTTTCGGACTCTTGAATTTCTTGTATAAATCTAAATTGATCCAACTTCAATTTTCTCCTTTATAGTATGTATAATATGTCTTCTTGAGTGGGTGTACTTGGTTCAAATCTTACAATTTCCTTTGATGCACAAATCGATGATGAAAAGATGGAGAAGAAAAGCTGCTATTTTGATATCTTAGCTCCATCATCTCAAATTGCTCAGATCTTTATCTTGGAGAAAGATCTAATGTTTATGGTGGGTAAACAAGTGTTGAAGGAGATCCCACTCTTTGATGTTTCGAAGAAGAATAATAAATCAGAAAAATCCAGCCCAAAATAGAGGTCCCTTGTTCACAAAGGAGTGATGCTTCCTCCTCCTTACAAGCAACATCACATCCCAATTTTGTACAAAAGAAAATCTCTCAAGCTTACCTTGGAGCAAGAAGAGCTTGTCCCACTCTATGCATCTTTCAATAATTCAACCTTCATCAACAAAGCTCAATTCCAACAAAATTTTTGGGAAGATTTATTATAATCTCAAATGGCTTCTGTCTTTTATCTATTCACCCACACTTGTTATCATCTCACCCAAACTTCTTACCTTCTCATCTCTGTTCTGCTTCAAATTTTCATCATGCCTTCTCTTCTTTGTTCCTACTTTCTTTCACCTCATCCCCAGCCGTCAGTTTGAAGAAAATGGTGGTGAAACCCTCCAAGATCTTGTGTCGCTCTCAAAACCCCAATGGGAATGGGGAAGACTCCAGCTTTTTTGAATCTTTCATCCAGGGAATGTCTTTAAACCTGTACATTCCAGCAGAAGCTGTCAAATTCAAACATTAGGTGGACTTGGCTCAAAACACCTTGCGTGATCTTGCAACTTCCTTTTGATGCACAAATCGATGATGAAAAGATGGAGAAGAAAAGCTGCTACTTTGATGTCTTAGCTCCATCGTCTCAAACTGCTCAGGTCTTTGTCTTGGAGAAAGATCTAGACATAAACTTATAAGGTTATGTGGGTTATGTCGTCAACTTCTAAATCAGACTAAGGGGGTGTTATTCACTCATGGAGTTAAAGTCAATTCTTAAAGGTTTAGATTTGATTTGATTTCTGATATTGTTTTTAACAATCTGTTTGTGTGGAGTTCAAAATCTCTGCAGTATATCTTGGATCTCTGCAGTATATCTTGGATTATGATTCTAATAATTTACTCATGAAACTTCAAAGATGTTTCATTTCAAATGATTTGATATATAAAGATTTTACAAGTCTTATAGTTTTGAATAACACTGGATTTTAATGAAGCATTTTAAATCTTAGTTGAATAACACCAAACTTTAAAATCTATTAGAGTTAGATTTAGAATCATTAGGTTAATAACACTGGATTAGTGTTAGATTTCAATTCTATTAAAATCCATCATTGAATAACACCACCTAAGGAAAATATTGAATTAGATTCATTAACAACGTTTCTTACCAGATATATATATATATATATATACCTTTTTTGTACTTATATACACGTGTTGTCGTATTTGTAGAAGATGTTATTCTGACTCTTGGATTTCTTGTATAAATCTGAGTTGATCCAACTTCAATTTTCTCCTTTATAGTATATAATATGTCTTGTTGAGAACACGATGAAGTACGAAAAGACCAAGACTCCCCCAACAAGATTATTTTATAGCGAAATAAATAAAACGCTTTCATGTAGTCCTTTTCATTAGGATGCCGTTATGTTATGGAAGATTTTTAATTAGTGCATTTTTTGCGCTCGATTTCTTTTTTATGTAAACTAATTAAATTATTTTTAAAAAATGTTCTTCTGATAAATGTTTTCCCATTAGTTTTTGTTTAAACTTTTATTAAATGACACTTGTAATTTCTGAAGCAAATTTTGTTTTCTTGTATTTCCATGAGTCATAATTCAGTGCATGAAAGAGTCTTCATGATATTGATTCATGTTGTTAATTAGCGGAATACAATTGTCATTGTTTCACTTATAAACCCTCACTGGTAGACCGATTTATCTTATTTTGGCTACTAACCAAAATGTATTTGGAATTTGTTTATGTTTGTTCTGCATAAATTAAATGGTACTGTTCTCTTTTACAATGGTGACAAGAACTAAATCAAGAAAGTGTGTATTTGTCTATTGAAGAATTCCTTGGGATTTCTAATTTATGTGATGAATGATCAAGTTGCAGATTAAAAAAAAAAAGAGTTCACATGTATTTATTCAAGTCTTATATTTTATAAGAATTTGGGTTCACATGTATTAAACCAACTCTTACATTTTATATTGAGAAGATTAGGAACTTTATTTAATATGGGATCTTAGATCATTGGTGTTTCAAACCGAACTTATTCAACATTTTTCTTCGACTTTTTAATTTAGTAACGAAGGTTTTTAATGTACTTATTTCTTAGGAAAACACAAAACAAAAATGGAAAACAAATTTATGTTGAATGAAAAAATGAATATGAATTGGGGTCAAAGACAAGAAATTATGGAATGACATTAGGTCAACTTGGAAATCTTGTATGAAATTGAAACAAGTCAGTTGACCCCCTTCAGTCCACTATTAAAATTGATTTGGACCGATTCAAAGAAGATTTGATTTCATTTCTTAAAAAGAACATTGAAATGAAACACCGTAATGTGACTTCATTCTCTATATATATGGTTGAAGTTACATTTTGAAATCCATACATTTATATCAATGAAGAAAATGTATAACGTCGTGGTTTGGTTACTAACTTTGAGTTTTGATTATCAAACACAGCATTGGCTCGAGTACAATACGAACCTCCAAACTTACGTAAGATTTTTTTTGTTTTTATTATTCCTAGCAATTGTACATAGAACCAATGCGGTTTTAATTTGGTTGTAGTTCAAATTTTCCGGAATACAAAATAGAAAAGCTAGTATTTATAAAATTTTATCTTGATTCGAGAGCATGTATGCGTAACCATGAATGCAACGTTCTATTAGTAAATTTGTATTGATATAATTAATATATTATGTTTAACCAAAAAAAAACATAGTAGTCTGTGACTCTGTGTATGTTATTAAAATAATTGAATCATAACATATATGAAAAGAAATCTACATTTTTTTCATACAGCTGGTGAAATGTTTGCAATTAAAAAAAATCAATTTATAAATATTAATTAATAGAATTTTTGGTATATATTTTCTTTGATTTAGACAATATGTTAGAATATCGGACAAAAAAGTGAAAATACCAACACTATTACATATGAATATTTTTTACTTGTTGTCAACTAGTTTTGAATTACAAACCTATAATTCCAACTCTAAACCAATTAATATTTACACAAATATAATTTAGTTGGATTTTAAAAAATTGATTAGGTGAGTTGCTAATGTTTTCTTGTAGAGAACGAAATTACAGGAGAAAGGGTTTGGGATTGATCGGTGTTCAAAGAGGTCAAGATTCGAGTAGGCCCCAGTTGTCCACTTGGTGGAGGAGGCAGACTATGTCCTCATTTTAGATCCTAGCGACAATTGGTTTTATACATATGTAACTACGATAAAAATAAAATGAGAGATTCATCATATGTGTAATAATATTTTCAACCTTATAAACTTATTCCTAAAATCATAATAGAAATGTGGTTGGAAACCAAGAAACAAATCGTTTTCTGTATCTATCACTGACTGCTCTAACATCAAAACTATATGTGCATATGTAAGATGATATCAAACGCCCAACTTACTTACTTACCTAGAAATTTGTCAAATTCCTTGCGTAAGAGCTTTGGCGAAAATGTCATTCAATTGGTCATGTGTGACATGAAGAATTGTACCTACGAGAATCTCATAACGATGGAAATAATAGTTGAATTACTATAGTCTATAGGGCAGTTTTAAGTTTTAACTAGTCGTAGAACGTAGTCTCATTTATGTAAAGTTTTTCCAAATGTAAGATGCATATCGATTTGGCCCGGCCTTTTTTTTTTGTGTTTCAACTTATGTTGTACCGCCTAGCTAGTGTACACTACCGCCCATTGATCAGAACTCTTTTCCGGCGGATTTTCCGATTTGAGCCGGCCCTTTTTGTAACTGTGTTTCTCCGACAGGCCCAATGGCCAAAGCCCATTTAGGTTGAATAAAAGGATGCATATCGATTGTCCGAGGTGTGGTCGTGTGGAATCTCACTCTTATGATCCTACAGAAGTTTAAAAATATAATTGGAACTTAGTTTCAAGACTTTCTAATGAAACTTTCCGTTATTACTAATAATAAGTAGTCTAATTTTTTACTTCACCAAATTTATTTAACAAATTTCTCTGAATTAATTTGAAGGTTCACTTTTCAATATTAGAGTTGGCCAAACTCTTAATACATGCATTGCGTGATTAAAACATAAGACTCCTCACCTAAGTACTAATTCCATAAGCCCACAAAGTACGAGACAATAAAAAAGAAAGATACCCAAGTGGACTAACCAAGATTTCATACAAAACCCAAAAAAAAAGAAAAAGAGTAAAACACCAAACTACAAATTAAAACAGAACATAAAACCAAAATGTTAAAAGCTACAAAATTGCGAAATATGTATGTACACTCATAAAGTTGTAAGTCCAAAGATTTCTAACTTGCATGTCGTTATTAAATATCCTCATGTCATCAATCTAACATCATCTCTAATCCACCGGCCCAAAACCTCACCGTCCGAGACAAAGAGCAGCATCAACATCAAGCCGCCACGCAAAACCACCGTCACTCATCCTCCAAACATCACAAAACGAAGTAATCGAACTCACCTCCTTATCACGACACGTGTACTGTAATCTCATTCTACACGTAAAAGTCCGGTACGTTACCAAAGGCCTCTCCTTCATCACTAACCACACACTCATCTTACCACACTGCTCATGATCTTTCCCAACCACCAATTCCCGGTACGCCCGGTTCGTCCAAATGACTCTCCCTAAACCGTCCGATATAAAACTGGGACACGTGTCTCTCTCTAAATTCATCTTAATCTCCTCGTCCGTACACCCTAACTCATACTCTCCCTCCATCAATCTCTCCGTTACACACTCCACCGTCAACACCGACGACACAACCGTTTCCGTCACTAACTCCGTCTGATAACGTCTGTTAGAGTTAAGCCAGAACGACGCCGCACCTAACGCCGGCGCCGCCGTAGCCTCTAACGGCGAGTCTTTCTTCTCAGGAGTCTCCGGGAGAAGAGGCAACGTCACGATCTCTCCACCGACACCAGATCCATTCTTAACCTCTTCGTTTCTCCGCCGTTTGCTGTTACCGTTACTATTAACGGATCCGCTACTGCTACTATTATTCTCCTTTGAATATTTTCTCTTACCTCTCCGTGATTTCGACGAAACGTTCGTTAACGCCGATCCATTCTTCTCCGTCGGTGAAGCAGATGATCCACCGGAATCAGGTCTCGGTGCAATCGGACGGTACCGGAGCATAATCCGATCAACCTTCGACATATCATTTCCACCACCACCACCACCGTACCTCGCAATACAACAACCTCCCCGGAAATTCATGTTTTGTCTAACAAACAAGTTTGTTTTGTTAGAGAAGAAGTGTTTGGTGTGTATATAAAGAAAACAAACTTGTTACGTCGACACGTTTGGAGAAAACTTTGCCACGTGCGAGACCAAACGATGAACAGCGCAACGACGTGATTGGACGAGAGATTAGAGACGTGGCGTTTTGTTTGGGTCCGACATGAGACTCGAAGTACGAGGGAAGTGGTGACCAATAGGAGAGCGAGGAGTGGCTATTAGGTGCGGTGCGATTAAAGGTAGCCACATAAGGCTGCGACTTTGGAGTTACGTGTAACAGAACGCGAGGGTTTTGGTTTTGAGATGAGAGGACACATGTCGTGATCTTGTTTGCTGTTTTGTACGTTCAAAAGTTTTAAGTTTGGTTTCTATTATTAGCATGTAGGATGGGGAAGATTGTGACACGTGGAGAGTAAGGCTGTGACACGAATCTCCTTTGGATGTGGATGGTTGCATTTATTTCCAGAAGAAGATACTCTTTGCATGCATATAATTGGTGGAAAGTATAATATTGATATAATACACACTTTAGAAATATCTACTACGAAATCTTCCGGATTTCACTAAATTACAAAATAATAAACCGCATGAAAATTTAGTATTAGTATCTAAGTATTCGTTTGACAAAAAAAAGTACAGCTATCAATTCAGTAGATATTAGTTGAGAAGAGAAGATAAGAATAGAAACAATCGTTGTTTAATAGACATGTTATCTAATTAATTTTCAATCATTATTTTTTCAGTACGATTCAATAGTTGTCCACTGCCACACAGAGCCGTTGCTTACCTCATTAAATTAAAGGCAATTGCCTAAGGCCACCAAAATAATAAGTATTAGAAGGCCACATTTTATTCAAAAACTAGATATATGTATTTAGTTTAATATTATGTATTAGAGCTTTTTGTTTGAGAATTGCATAAAACTAATAAATAAAAATCCACAAGGAAGATTAAATGGTTAACTATCTTATTTATGGTAAAAGATTTGATTAAAAGTTTTGAATATGTGAGTTTCAACGATTTTATAGAGAAAAATAAAATCAAATTTGTGCTTAAAACTATTTTTATCATTAATTATTTTATGTAAAAAAATTTACTATCATAAAAATTAATTTTTTTAGGCCACATTAATCGAAATTGCCTATGGCCTCTGTGAAGCTAAGCACGGCACTGTGTCCACATAACCTATTTATAATCCAACTCAATATAATTCTAGAAGAAGATACCTTTAGCATGTATATAATTGGTGGAAAATATAATATTAGTATATATAAAATATGCATTAGAAATATCTACTAATTTTTCAATGTTTCGGATTTCACTAAGTTATAAGACTGTAAACCGCATAAAAGTTTATAGACCATAAATGTAGAACACGGTGCAGAATGGAAATGTTATAACCGGCCGTAGTTAATTTTTTCATTCAAGATAATTATTTATTTTGTGTAATTATTGATTAAAATAATAAAATTAGTAACTACAATTATGACGGTCCAAATTCTAACAGAGAAATTAGGAATTGCATGTCATATAAATGCATAAGATATGTTGTGGTTAAACAATTCCAATGTGGTCATAATTTTTATTTTTAATTCAAAATTTCTTAAAGAAAATTTGTAAGAAAATAAGAAAATGTTACTGCCTATTTATAGAAGATTATTTTTTGATAATTATTTAACCAACAATTTTTCTTTTAATTACTTTATATTTTATGAAGATTCACTTTACGGTTTGTAAAATATTTTTATAGTTTTGAAATAATAAATTTGTAAATTCATAAAATTATTGTTTAACTTTAATTTTTATGATTCTTAAGTATTGAACAATAACTAATAATATTAGCATTAGATAATTCAATTTTAATAATCATTAAAACTAAATTTAAACTCTTAAGTAAATTTACTAAATGAAAATCATAAAATGACTCACAAAAATGCCCCTTTTTCAATACCCCTTTTCAAAAATGCCCCCTTTGGCTGTCCATTTTTAAAAATACCCCTTTTTATGTACAAAATGACTAAATTACCCTTCTTTTAATAAAAGATATCACAAATATATAAGAAAATATAACAAAATTAGGTCCACAAAATACAAAATATTTTTTGGCGAGAAAAGTGATCCCGCAATTTTTCCCACCAAAACACTTGTAAAAACCTTTAAAATACCTTGTAAAATTTTTTGGCGGGAAAATTTTTTGGCGGGAAAAATTTTTACGGGAAAATTTTACAAGGTATTTTAAAGGTTTTTACAAGTGTTTTGGCGGGAAAAATTGCGGGATCCCTTTTCCCGCCAAAAAATATTTTGTATTTTGTGGACCTAATTTTGTTTCAAGTAAGGGTAAAATGGTCATTAAAAATTAAAAGAGGGCAAACTTAAAAATGGACTCTCAAAAGGGGCATTTTTGAAAAGGGGTATTGAAAAAGGAGCATTTTTAACAATTTCTCTATTAACAAAGGTATGAAAATGATAAACACAACACTGATTAAAAAAGGATGAGTTACGTATTGGGACACTTTATTCAAGTTTATGATCAAAATACACACTTTCCGTTTTTTCCAACAAATTTCCACCGTTTAATATTAAACAATAAGAAAATGTACTTGGAATATATATGAGGTCTTGGTGTTTTAGATCGGATGAATTGGTATTAAACACCGTTGTTGATGTAATGTACAGTGGTGAAGAGCCACGGGTGTTTTAGATTAGATGAATTGGTAAAGAAGGAACACAACTCGGTAGTTCAGGGCCATGTGGACAGGTATCAGCGGATCTTCAGAACTTAACATATGTAGATGATTAGGAGTTTGATATACTAAACTAATTTAGTGTCTGCTATGTTATATCCCCAAAAACCAGAATCTGAGATTTTCTGAAGACTGAAATAGTGTCATAACAAAAATCTGATCATTTCCATACATAGGCAAGATTAAGCTGTGCAAAATCATTATATCCATTATTTTTAATTTGTTTTCCAAAGTTAGCCGTAGTTTAATTAGTATAAAATCAAGACTGATCGATTTTTTTTTACTGAGAATGTAAATCTTTCATTAGAAATGAAAAAATAGTTTTAAGTTTACAATCGAAGATTATTAACCTTTAAGAATGGTTTTATGAAAAAAAAAAAAACTAAAAGTATGGAAGCATAATACATAAAACGATGTTCAGTATATTTTCTCAACAGAAGTATAAAACTAATGGAATTAGATGAAACGGAAACATAAAGCTAATAGAGTTAGATGAAATGATTACAAGATTGATCGAATTAACCGATCACAATATTCTTGACAGAAGCGTGTGATTCATCATGCTATTACTGTGAAGATTTATATGGGCAGTGGTTGTGACTTTTAGAGGAACAAAGAATTAATGTAGTTTTGATGTTTTTCTTTCGTTCAAAATTTGCATACCAAACCACCTCAATGTACCTAAGATAGAGTTTATAATTGAAACACTAATTAAAGCAAACCACTAACAAATATTCAAACACACTTCCACTATTTTCTTGTTACATTCACTTCCACATTTTAATTTGTTTGTAGAAATGAAGCATAACACGAATTTAATTATGGATCGTGAGACTTTGTCCTCATATTCATATTCTTCATAGTTACCTATACACACACATTTCCGTCCATAGTTTCACATTCAGTCCATATTATCCTCAAATATCTCACCAGTCCTCATATTCATATACAACTCTTTTTTATCTATCTCGCCAGTTCCAGAGCCAACTCTTTAAGATAAATTAAATTTCATAATAACTTTTTTTTTCTTACAAATATTGACTGAATGTGTGTTTACGTAACTATGAACTATATGAATATGATAGTGCCAACTTTTTAAGATAAATTAAATTTTATTGTTCATTGGAATCCGAATTCTTGAAATTTTGACGAATTAAATCTTAAATTCATCAAAAGTAAGATAATTAAACCAAAATACAAGGAATTATTAAAAAGAAAAGAAATGTTGATGCATATTTTATTGAACACTGGCTCACTAATAAAACGCTCCGATTTTTATTATAGCTAGAACTTTTGTTGGATTACCATTTACACTAGATTTTTTCCACGTAAAAAAGAAACTCAAGACATATTTCTTGGTGGATTTAAAGGGGTTTCTTTTCCGCTAGGTCCCATTGGAGGAATTGGAACATTCTTAGGTAACATTCCGAAAACCAGACGTTGTGATGGTGACCATAAATTCATATTTGCCTTGTTTGCAACCGGTGGTTCTTTGGTACTAGGTCCTGAGGGTGGAACGAGCCATCTTGTAACCGGTGGTTCTTTGGTACTAGGTCCTGAGGGTGGAACGAGCCATCTTGTATCCGGTGATTCTTTGGTACTAGGTCCTGAGGGTGGAACGAGCCATCTTGTAACCGGTGGTGCTTTGGTACTAGGTCCTGAGGGTGGAACGAGCCTTCTTGTATCTGGTGATTCTTTGGTACTAGGTCCTGAGGGTGGAACGAGCCATCTTGTGACGCGTATTGGATCAACCGACTTTTTAAGCAAACTTTCGGACTGCCGAAAATCTCGAGATTGATGTAAGAGGCTCTTCTCGTTGGCTTCAATTACACCAACAAAGAGGAGAATAAACAATGCTTTCACAGTATACAAATTTGATTTTGTCATTACAAGATACTTTTACAAATTGTTATAACTATTGACCATGTTTAAGTTTTATAACATTGTCATAAATCTTATCTTATCATCTTAGAATTCAAGAATAGGATTGAATATTTTCTAATATGGATTGTGATCTAAGTATGGTAACACTGAAGATTTTTTCCCAAAAATATTCTTTTTAATATATAGTAGATTTTACTGAAAAAATATAGACAAAAACTATTATTTAAATAAATAATAAGAATATAATTCAACATTTTATAGTGCAAACATTTCCAAAATTTATCTTACCATCTGAGTTCATTTGAAGCTCAAATTGTAATGATGTTATCTCAAATATATTAATTACTTGTATTTTATTCCTCTTTTCTTTTCTTATCCAAAATAAATCTATAAACCTTAAACTTGAATTTCACAAACTATGGTTTCATATAGCTTATCTCATTGTGATCTATATATAATTCCATGGGAATCTATTGGATCACCAATTCTAACACTTGATCACCAATTCTTTATAAGCTACCATTTTGTTTTCAATGTTCCACCATTTTACTACCATTTTGTTTTTTTTTTTCTTTATTCACCTGACATTACCAGTCGCAAGCAATAAACCTTAGTGAAACACACTGCACAAAACTGCAGCAAATGTTGCTCTCAAGAAAAAAGACATTCCGGGGGGGAACAAAAAAACTCAGGAGAGTTATTTAAGATAAGAAAAAAAGATACATCTTAAACTGATGCCATTTCGTTTTTCAGTTTCATGTAGATACAACCTTCTTCACCACTTTCGTAACCTCTTCCGGGGCCTTCTCTGCTGGTATGTTCACCAGATTCCCCTTCTTCGCGTAGTAGTCAATTACCTGCAACAACAACAATCAATTCCGCAATTCAAATCTCTGATAGTCCTCAAGTTCATGTACTTTAAGGAAATATACCGGTTGCGTCTGCTTGTGGAATGCATCCAGCCTTGATCTAAGAACATCCGCATTGTCATCTTTACGTTGAATCAATGGCTCTCCAGTCAGCTAAACAAACAATGAAGTTGATACAGAGATCAATCACAAGAGAGATGTTTCAGAACTCGATTTACTAGTCAAATGACGAATCAGAATTTGATGGTTTTCTTACATCATCGACTCCTGGAACTTTAGGAGGTGCGAATTTAGTATGATAGCTTCTTCCACTTGAAGGGTGAATCCACCTTCCAGTAATTCTTTCTTCCAGAACCGAATCATCGATCGCAAAATTCAGCACCTTATCTATCTGAGCTCCCCTTCTATTAAGCATCTCATCAAGCTACATTAATTTATAAAACAATCTCAGAACATTTACAAGAGCAGATACACAAACAACCGAACACAGAAAAGAACCCGAAACCTTCTCTGCTTGTGTAACAGTCCGCGGGAACCCATCAAGAATGAAACCTTTCTGACATTTGGGTCTGTTCATTGCTTCATCCATGATACCAACAACCAAGTCATCAGAAACAAGCTCTCCCTTATCCATTGCTTCCTTTGCCTTAACACCAAGAGGAGACTTAGCAGCAACAGCAGCTCTAAGCATGTCACCAGTAGACAAATGACACAAACAAAACTCATCCTTTATGACTGGAGACTGTGTACCTTTTCCTGAACCAGGTGGACCTGCCAAATCCAAATCATACATGAACCTAAATCTCAATTGTTCCTTTCTATCGAAAAAAACACACAAATTCACAATCTCTTCACTATGATCACAGATAAAGCATTAACGATAGCAGCAAAATGCAATTTTCACATACTAAAACAGACAAAAATCGGAACTTTCGGTGAAAAATTTCACAGAGATCAAATCAAAGTACCAATTGAGTGAAAATTCAGAGGTAACAAAAGAGATGATTTTACCGATGAAGACGAGACGTTTGTCAGGTTTAGAGGCACATTTCATGCGGCGAAGAAGCTCAGACATGAGATCAACGGTCTGAATATCTTCCATATCAACAGAAGCAGCACTGCTCGTCGCCATGTTCGTCGTCGTCGTCTTTTACAGAGAATTAGATTTGGTCCGGTGGTGGTGGTGGTGGGTTCTCTTTTTGAAGTGCGTGTATAGGATTCGATGCTTCCAATGTTTTCTTTCATTTTTACGATTTTACCCTTCACTGTGCCAACAACTACAAAGGCATGCCCTTCCAAGGAACAACCTGGGGTTGGTGACACACCCAACTTTGAAAACGAGTCTTTCTTCTTACACATCTATATCGCACATTTTTCATGTATATGTGCCTTGCGCGGAATTTTAATTTTAATTTTTTTTATCAATGTGAATCATTGAATTATTTAAATTTTAAAATATTTTACTTTATTTATTTTCATTATTTTTTCATAGTAGTAAATATTTTTCACACTTTCCACTACAATTTTTCTTGTTATCTTCTATGATTCACTCGTCGTTTCCCGACATCTACTCTCTTTTCATCTTATATTGGCTCACATATAATCACATATAATATACACGACTATGAATTAGTTCTCAAGATAGATCGTATATATTTTCTCATTCATATCTTTCAATATTCAAAATTTTCATTATAAATTACATGATATTTTTATTAAAGTGAACATCAGAAAATATCGGGAGATATTTGTCATAAAGTTTCTTTTACCATGTTTGGTGCATGTAAAATTGCTTTATAAACAACAAATCTCATATACAGACTCATTCCTATTCACAAACATCGTATTTCAACATCAAATTTTGCACTTTATCTTGACCATTTGAAAAATACAAAAAACAAATTTACATATATAATTTGACGTATATTATTATTCTATATAAAATTTTTAATGTTGATTTTTGTAAAATTCGTAACTTACGAACTCATATAAATCATTCTAATTTTAAAATATATTTTTTAATCCTTAGTTTTTACTTCTAATTAAAAAATGGGGGATTAGCAAAAATACCCCTTTTCTCATGCCCCTTTTAAAAAATGCCCCTTTTAGATGTCCATTTTCAAAAATGTCCCTTTTTAAATCTGAAATTTTTATAAAGTTTTATTAGGTTTATAAGGTACTTATGGATTGTAACTACTACTTGAAGACTCGATCCAAGTATTTATAAGGTTTTATAAGGTGTTTTTAAAGGTTTTACAAGTTGTTTTAAAGGATTTTTAAGGTTTTCCAAAGGTTTTACAAGATATTTTAAAGGTTTTTAAAGGTATTTAAAATGCATTTATAAGGTATTTATAAAGTATTTATAAGATTTTAGATACATAGAAATGTAGTTTGTGTATGTTTTAATAATATTACATACATATTTGGGTAAATCTTATATTTTTAAGAGCATTTTTTATAAGGTTTTAAAAAAGGGGTATTTTTGAAAAGTGGCATTGAAAAAGTGGCATTATTAACAATTTCCCTTAAAAAATCTTCAATATACCATTACTATTCTAATTTCCAAATAGCATTCGCAAATATTATTACACAGTTTCTTATTCGATTGGATTATTTTATCTTTATTTGTGATGATTAGGATAGTTTTTGTTTTATTTCAATCACCTTAAAGTTTTTTGATATATGTTAAAATTTTGTAAACAGTGATTAATATATAGTTTTTTTTTTAGGTATTCATTTGATTTTAAAAAAAACTACCACTTTTTAATTTAGAAAACACTGATAATATAGAAATTTTTATTAATGTAACCATTTATATTATATTATAATTATAAATAATAATATGTACTCAATCCTTCTTATTTTAATCAATATCATGAATTGATACTTTAACATTAAAAATATATTTTTAATATTTTTAATTTTAAATATGTATTTTTCAGAAATGAATTACATTTTATTTTCAGTAAAAACTTTTAAATTTAGTATATTTTTAAGTCTTATTTTTCTTTATTATAACTCTTAAAAATTATTTTTTATCATTAAAATATATGATAAGTTCTTTTTTCTTATCTCTAGTCATTTAGGAATATTTACTCATTATATGTTAAGATACAATTATCTAATTTTATATTTATCCAATCTCTATTTAAAAATTTCATATTTTGTGTTATAAATTTATTTATTTTTCGTTTTTTTAATATTTAATTTAGTTTTTGTAAATTATTGTTTTTGTTTTAATGAAATATAATAATATAAATTACAAAACGTGTGAATTAATTATAGTTTATTATTTTTTTTGTTTTAATAAATAAAATATGTGGAGCCCACACAAAATTAAAATATGATTACTTGGATGATGATGTTGACACCCTAGATGGAGAGACAACTCTCCTATTATATATATAGATTACATAAAATCCAATATTATATAATAATTCCAACAAACCATTTTGTTTTGGGAAAAATATTATTTCAATCATCACTTGTCTTTGTTTAAGAAAAAAAAAATCATCATCAATTATCTATTTTCACTGATTTAAACCATGAACTTTGCACCTCGTGATTAAAATGCTCAATTTTATGTTGACATTCAATTTAATCACGAATTTTAGTTGACAAAAGTCAATTGAGACACAAAATTGAAACCGAAAGAAGAAATCTTGAGAAACTAAGATTAAATCGGGATTTGAGAAGAAATCGAAAGGATTAAGGAAGAAATCGAGAGAATTTTTGATTTTGAAGTTCTAATTTTGATATCAATTTTCTTATTTCGATTCAATTTTGTGTCTCAATTAGCTTTGTCAACGAAAATTCGTGATTAAATTAAAAATCAACATAAAATTGAGCATTTTAATCACTATGTACATAGTTCATGCTTTAAATCAACGAAAATGAATAACTGATGATTTAAATGACATTTTTCTCATTTTGTTTTAGGTCAAGTCAACAAAAAAACAAAATAAAAAAAAAAACCAAATGACAATATACTAGAAAACATATAGAGTCAATAACACATTTTTCGGTTTTGGGGCACGATGGACCAGGCATTAGTCCAATTAACGCTACTATAAAAAAAAAATTTGATATTAAGTGAGGTTTTTTTGCTAGTTTATGGTAGACTTATGAATATCACTATACCACTAGACCATATTCACGTTTCGTCAATAAGACAATTAGGTTTTAAATAGATGATGTAGGAAAGGCGGACTAAACCGTTGACGGATTAAACCATTTTATTTTTGGAACGGACAATAAACCGATGCGGACCAAATTTATCTCTACGTAAAAGCGGTCTGTAGTTAGTCCGCCGCAGACGTGTTTATTTTTTTCAATCCGTACTACTACAGATTATGATTTTTGAATGATAAACAAAAAATGGTCCAAACCGTAAACATATTTGTACCCGCTGCAATCATTCGAACCCTTAAACTCTTGAAAACCACAATATTATTTTTTAAAAGCCAAACTCCATTCATTAAGTTAACGAATTCTGATTACTGAATACATATACAAATTACTCCTTTTTAGGGAGAACTAATCAGAAATTCTGAAATCGACATGTTTACAAGTTTATATATATTTTACAATTTGTTTTTGATAAATTAATTATTATTATTTTCCTATCTTTCTTTTAATATCTATTTCACTAATAATTATTTTATTTTCATCATCACTATTAATATTGGTGTAAGAGAGTTTATAAAATTAGTATTTTGAAAAAACCATATACACATGCCATTCAATTATTTAACTAATTGCTTCATCATTATTTATTATTTTATTTCTAAACTTTTGTCTTTTCTTTAAAATAAATATTTTATTATTAATAATTTAATTTTTAGTTTATCCCAGTTCTGAATGCAATGTTTGGTTATTAAAAATATGAATGAATACTACATATTTAGTTTATTTCTTGAGATTTTTATCTATTCATTTATTTATGATTTTTTGTATTTTTCTAAATTCTTAGCATTAATAAAATTATATTGTCACATAAATTCATTTCTAACATTATTTGTATTTATTATTAATAATAATAATAATAATAATAATAATAATAATAATAATTATTATTATTATTATTATTATTATTATTATTATATATAACAGTCACAACTTCTACAGCTTTGTGCCTTTGTGCCACCATCTAAAGTTTTTACAGCCAAATTCTCTGCAGCTCAAAATTTGGAAAGCAAAGTCTCGAAAGCCAAAACTAACAGTCGTTACCAATCGACCACTGAGTCTTTTCTTTTAGAGGCATGACATCAATCATATCATGAGGTTTGGATCTCGAATTTTTTTTACTTTTTTTTTTCTTCTATTTGTTATCAATCTGTTTGGTTTGGTCTCAACTCAATTTTGTTTGTTACTTAGAATTTTGTTTGTTTAATCTGGTCGTGTACTTTGATTTTTTAGGGTTTGTTGTTGGGGATTTTTGATTTCAAGTGTTTAGAGATGAATTGTAGTAAGAATACCAGTCATGGAGGATGTTTCTTCCCCAAAATTTTATATGAGGTGGTGAACGATGAGAAAGCTTGACCAAGAGGTCCCCGTGACATCGATCGCCTACGAGACATGGCCATGGAATAATTAGAGCACTTCGGAACATTTTCAACTTCAATAATTGGACATGCAATCTAGAATTTTGTATATTTGAGTACTCAATCTATAACTCTTGACTCTTTTACACTAATCGTAATCTGATATTTTTCTGCCATTGACTAGATTTGTGACTAGTTTCAGCTTCCTAACTTATTTGCAATTTTCTTATGTTTTCAGCGAGGACCAAATTTACAATTCTGTTGCCCATTTCTTGACCGTGTGCTAGTAATTATGAATATAATCGCCTTTGGTATGTATCACTAGATACGCTCACTCATTGATATCTAGATGCTTAGTGGACACAGAATATATCGACGACGATTATCATGCTCTTGAGCTCTTTGAACTTTTTTTTCATGAAAGTGTCCATTGATTCTCTAAGTGGATCAAACCATCTTCCCGCATGAAGCTACATTGTGACATTTGAATGTACCTACGATGCACAATCAAGTTTTGATCAATACTGACATGTTAAAATTAGATTGTAAAGTTGCTCTTGTTATATAGAGATTAGCTGAACATTGGACCTTTTTTATACTGAAAAGTTGTTTTTTTCATGCCTAAATTAAGTATAATGATTAGGAGCAAAGAAAATGAAGAGAAAGAGAGAAACCATTGTGGGGAATACGAAACGCGAGAACTGTACTACTAAATTAGATCAATAAAGTTTATGAAATGATGTCTCATTGTTGACCATGTTTAGTGTTTTAGAGATGTGAAGATTGTATTGTTGTATGAAGTTGTGTTTTAAGTGGTATTGATGCAGTCAAGTCCGGTCTTTCACACATTTTAGTAAAACATTTGTATTGGGCCTCAAATATTCAAGGCCCATTTTGTGAGGCCCAATAATTAGAAAAAATGTCTCATAATTGGTAAAACAAATCCTATAATTATAAAACAATATCCAAAAATTAAGAAAAATTGTTAAAAGAAAATTATAAAAAGGCTCCAATTTTTAAAAAGGCTCCAATCTTTTAAATGAAAATTACTTTTTAAAAAGGCTCCAATTTTTTTTTTTTTGTATTCAGCTCCAGATTTTACTAGATCGGCCCTGGATGCAGTAGTAATAAGTGTTAGTTACTTTGTAAAGGAGAAAAAATTCTATAAGTAGAAAATCTGGGTGGGTATATAGTTATGAGTATAAAAGGAGAGGTGATGTCATAATTAATAATAGGAACGATGAGCGAGCGGATCTAGTTTTCGTCAAAATCATCACAGAGTACATCTGCCACGTCAGCTTGATTGGTATACTATTTGGTCGCCCGTACTCAAGTCAACCTCGGCGGAGCGATTATGTCAGGTAAAGCTAACGCCGATCTCTTCTTCTGATTCAACATCTCCGGTCACCTTTCCCTGATTGTTACATTTGATAGGATCTTCACCGAGCTTGTGGTTGGCACCGAATCCGAGCAAAAGATGGGGAGAGCTCTTCTTCCTCTTCTACACTCCTTTTTGGCTCACTCTCTGTTTAGGCATCGTTGTTCCTTACAAGCTTTACGAGGTCTCTCCCTCTCTCTTTTTAACACACTTTGCTAATTTTTTCAAATGAGCATTGTTTAAATGTTTCATGTATTTAGGAGACGATGAGACAGAAGTTGTTCTTGAAGTAGCTATTCACTTTTTTTTCTGCTAAATTAGATCAATAAAGTTTATGAAATGATGTCTCATTGTTGGAGCTGAAAAATTGTCGGTATTTTAGAGATCTGAAGATTTTACTCTTGTATGAAGTTGTCTTTTAAGTAGTATTCATGCAATACTAATGAGTGTTAATTACTTTGAACAACTTGTAGACATTCACGGAGTTGGAGTATCTGCTTCTTGCCTTGGTTTCAGCTGTTCCTGCTTTCGTCATACCGATGTTACTCGTTGGAAAGGTTATCTACTTAACACCTTTTATTCATTGGTTCTCTGTTAATCTTTTCTCGTTATTGCTAATATGCAGTATTTTAGTGTTCCTTCATCTTAATTGTCCATTTCTACCTTGGATTAGTTGATGCTACTTTTAACAGTGAAGATTGAAGATATCGAAACAGTGTTATTCCACTTACCTCTATACCTGTTTCAAGGAGATCTTAGTGTGTTATTTGCTAGTATAGAAGCTGTGTTGACTCTGTTACTTGTTGACAACTTTTTGCTTTCACTGTGAACTAACATATGGCCATAATTATCAACTTGCTTCCAATTGAAAGCAAACCTCTATTGTCTTCCTTAACATATTATGGACTCAAAATATATGCATTTTTTTATTTCAGGCTGACAGAAGTTTATGTTGGAAGGACCGCTACTGGGTTAAGGCAAGCTTTTTTCTTCTATGTGGATGATATTTTGGCTTCTCGGTTCTAGTTTCAAACTATTTCTAGAACTTGCTTTACTTGTTTTAACTTTCTTAAGGGTAGTGTGAGAGTTCTCAAAATCTTTGAACATGTTTTTACCACAGGCAAATCTCTGGATACTTATGTTCAGCTATGTGGGAAACTATTTTTGGACTCACTATTTCTTTAAAGTTCTTGGAGCATCCTATACTTTTCCATCGTGGAAAATGAATAATGTAAGCACAACAAATTCAGTGGTAACCTTGGTATCCGTGTTCTGTTGAGTATTTTGCTTGTTTCTATGAGCTTATGGCAGTTTTTTTTTGTGTTGAACAGGTTCCTCACACAACATTCTTCCTAACACATGTTTGCTTCCTCTTTTACCACGTTGCATCGAACATTACACTTCGAAGGCTACGACATTCCACTGCTGATTTACCAGATTCTCTGAAATGGTGTTTTGAGACTGCATGGATACTGGCGCTTTCTTATTTCATTGCATACTTGGAGACTATTGCTATTGCAAATGTATGCTGTCATGTCTTCATTTCTTTGTTAGTTCCTCTTGTAGTCTGCTTATAGGCTATGGTTGCTACTTAATCATTCAGAATCTTGTTTGGAAACTAATCACTACATTATGTTCTGTCTTGTTTTCAACATGTGCAGTTTCCTTACTACGAGTTTGTAGACCGAAGTGCCATGTACAGAGTTGGGTGTTTGTTCTATGCCATTTACTTCATAGTGAGCTTTCCAATGTTCTTCAGGTAAAGAACCTCAACGTTTTCTATATTACGAGTTTCCTGATCCTCATCTCATAATAGCGGTTAATCTTTCCAGCATCATAACTATTGCATATCAAAACTGAGAGTCTTAAAAATAGGAATTAGAGGCTAGGCTTATATAAAGAACCATAATCCCATGTTTTTCTCAAGTGCCTTGAAGAGTTCTTGGTACCATTGCGCCATATCTGTGAAATGTTTTCATCTCTCGACTTCTTATTGGCATTTGTTTCTCTTTACTGTTTTCTTCTTAATGTTTTCAACATTTCTTTCATACATATCTTTCTGTTTTCATTTCTTTTTGATATGTTTTTTTATTCATCGGTGGGGGTCTGCAGGATGGATGAGAAATCAAGTGATGAATGGGATTTATCTCGAGTGGGTGTTGATGCTTTGGGTGCTGCTATGTTGGTAACAATAATTCTTGATCTATGGCGTCTCTTCTTGGGACCTATAGTTCCCTTACCGGAGGGACAAAACTGCCTTCAGTCTGGATTACCATGGTTCTCCAACTGAAAATTGAAAGATCTGTTACTTCCACCAATTCAGGGAAATGACATTGAACTGAAAGAAAAACCGGCAAAAGAGTTTCCATTAACACTTTACGGAATTGTGAAGCAGTTAATGCGATTTTGGGCATGTTCCTGAGGTTCTTCTTCTCCCAGATGACTGCTGATTTGTTGTTGTTTCTATTTTGTTTTCAGTTTCTCTTTTATCAACTTCCGAATGAAACCTTTTAAGTTATCATTTATAGAACAGAATGGAAGTTTTTTTGGTTGTGCAATTTATATATTGGTTCTCGGTTCGTCAAGTTCGTTGAAACATGAAGCCTGCAACACCATTGAATAAACCAAAACTTCACAAAAAGTGGTAAAATCTCATCACATGAAGTAACTAAGGTTTTTTTTTTTACTTCTGCAACCTCCTTCCTCGTAGTGGTTGTTCCATTGTTGAAGTTCCCTTATGGTCACTAACTCATATGGGACGCTTGCTCAAACCTGCAACCACAATATGGATTCCTCGAACAAGTACACGTTCTCTGTTCTTTGTCCTTAGACCGTTCCCAGTTCAATAATGGGAGATAGAACAAATTAAGGAGGAATCTCTTACAGTCCAAAGACTCATTGCAAATCACATTAAAACTATGACATCTGTGGAGATACAAATCTGAAAATGATATAATACAAGATCAAAGTCTCATTCAAATAAGATAACCCTGTTTCAAGATACAACAACAATTATGTTATAGGAGCATCCTATAACTTTCAAATATAAAAACAAAAAAGTAAAGATAAAAAAAAACTCACTGGATCAGCATCATACTGATACTAATTCAGATTTATTGTAGTTTCTTGAATAAACATCTAGAAAGAAAAAAGGAAAAACAAAACAGGGTTTCTTAAGAAAATTGATCTCTACCATTTCACTTTGTCACTTTCCATTCAATCTTCACCTTTGTTTCATCATCAGTCGCAACATTGTTCGGAATCTCCAGAACATCATCAACTTCCTCCTCTGGTTTCTTTACCACAGTCTCAAGCTTCTTCTTTGCTTCATCATCAATTCCAACATTGTTCATAGCTTGCACTACCTCATTAGCCTCTTCCTCTGGTTTCTTGATGACCACATTCTCCGATTCTTTCATCTCCTCCTTAGTGACAATCTTGAGCAGCTCCTGTGGCAAAGCTGCTGGATCAAGCTCCAAGCAACCTTCAGGATCATTCTCACCATCTTGACTTGTAAGAAAATGAGAAGGCACCTGATGCGAGAACCTGAACAGTTCGTTCCTTGGGAATGTCCTCTGTTTTGGAAGGCGACGAAAGACAGTTATGAATCCTGGGACTTGAACTAATGGCACAACCGTCACACCTCCCTCTTCACTGAAATCTTGAAGAACTTCTACCATTTCATACTTGTTCATTTCTTCTACTGAAGTTGAAATATCCCAAGATGGTGACCAATTTTCATAAAGAGCCCAAACATTGCCTTTTCTCGGATATATGTGCACCAATCCTTTCTCACATATCGTCCACTGTACTCTATGTGAGAATGAGTTGAGAGAGTCGTTGCTGCTACGTTTCTCGATTGAGAAGCATCCACTCGTCTTGTAATACCCTGAATCAATCCACTTCTTCATTGAACCCACATATCCATTTTTCTTTCCATCAAGCCAAGAAATACACGTCTTGAACGGTTCTTGAGAAACAACCTTATGGACCAGTGCATACCACCGAGGCATTCCGTAATCATCATAAGCAGCCCATACTTGGTTTTCTCCGAAAGAAGCTTCGACCCGATCCTTGTCGAAGTTGTAGAAATCAGCATCTGGAACACTCATAGCCATTACATCATATTCCTCCTCCATAATCACATCGTTAGTGTTCTTGCTTTCACACTTTACTCTTTTGGCTGCATTGCTTTTCTTCGAGTCTTGAAGGACTTTTGTTGCAGAACCAACGTTATTTTGCGGAGATGTAGAGTCTAACCTTTCAAGAAACAGTTCGATGATACACTGACCCGTTTTCACCATAGTACTTCGAATCATACTTGGAGTAAGCTCCATGCCATCACGTCTGATCCCTGCGTCTTCGCTGATTCTTCTTAACTGAGGAACATGAAGCAGGTTTGTTGATGGAGGTCCCTTTCTTTTGCTTTCTCCTCCACTAGTTCTTCTTAACTGAGGAACATGAAGCAGTTTTGTTAATTGGTACTCAAAGTTTTCATTGCTTAACTTCAAATTATTTCCACATTAATTGATTGTAGTAAAAAAAAAAAAAAAGGTTAAAGGAAAATGAATTCTTGTGTGAGAAGTGTGGACCATTTTCATATAAAGGAAGATTTATTACTTCTTCTAAACAGTAAAAAGATTCTTTTCTATTTTTTTTATTTTATTTTGTCGTTCATCGGAGACATACAAACCCGGAGATCGAAAGGAAGTTCCTGGAGTCAAAAGCCCAACGGAAAATAAATATTCCCAAAAAACAAGCCCTATGAAAGGGCGGCCCATCTCTAGGGGAAGGCAACATAGGCAATTGTTATGGGTCCAAAATCAATTTCAAAAAATTTTCTAAAGTAAAAAGGCCCAATATTTAGAATTTTTTTCTTTATTAAAAGACTTTCATATTTTTTAGGTTTTGCTGAAGGTTCTCCTACAGATTGAGACGGGACCGAAAGGAGACTGTGAAAGTAAGACAACTTAACCCAAAAAGACGATAGCCAAAATAAGAAGTTTTTTCTCATATCTATAAAATTATCAAGTGTAAACATTTTGTTTAAATAAAATTTTGTTTTAAATATCTGGCTCCTACTTGATTATTCGAATATGTAATTATTTAAGAATCGGGTTAGATGTTTCACACTTGTTTTCCATAACTATTTAATATTATGCCATTTAAGCGGTCTAAACATTCAACAACATCAGCTTAACACAGTTGAAACACATGTTTCTTGTTTTCTAAAGAAAATCTAAATTTTGAATTGATCAATTTTTTTTGTCAAAAATCTTCTATGATTTCCATTGGGAGCCAGAGCCCAAGAAGAAGGATGCTCCACGTTTTAAATTTAATCTTGGTAGCGACAATATGCTTGGGATGGATCGAGTGAAAGAGGTAACAGATGGTATGTTATCATAGTTTATGTCAAAGTATGTGGATACATGGTTTCCATGGTTGTCTAAGAAACTTGGATTTATCCAAACTTGAAACCAAGAACAGTTGTTGGTGCCAATAAGATAATACACTGGTCTAAGTGATATGTATAATTTGTATGAGATTTGCTCTCCAATGTGGCACAACCTGTTTTTTCTTTGGGTATATACATATTGGATTTTGGCCCAAGTCTTGTAAGCTAGTATATGTGTGATTAGGAAAATGGGAGAAAAGAAATTATCACTGTTGTCAAATACATTTTGAAAATGCTAATCGTTTTATAAAAGGTAAAATAACCTCTAAAATTAATATTAACAAAACTTAAAATTAGAAATGGATTAAGTGGATTGAATGATGGATCAAAATTCATCATGTGTTGCCTTCTTATGGTAATGGAACATTTCAAATGCCATTAGAAACCCGACGGATATTATTAAGAAAATGCCAAGAGTGAGATGACAACATCTCTGACCTATAACTAACAACTTTCACAAGTCTTCCTCACTTTTTGGAAGGACAAATTTCAAGATCCATCTACCCTACAAACAAATAGGGATGTCAAATGGGTCTAATGACCATGGACTAGCTAGACCAATCCAAATTATAATGGTCCGGTTATGGTTACGTCCAAAATCGAAACGGCTTATATATATATATATATAGATTGAAACCAATTTAATCCCGTAAACAAATGAGACGAACTCATCTGGACATGAACCTTCCAATAAGTTTCAAAATTTAGAGTTTCTTAATCTCGAGGAAAAAAGTTTTCTTCATCATCTCTAAAGGGTTTACTCTAATTACTTTGTTCCTTTCACCAAATCCAAAAACTTAGGATGTAGATTCTCTCAGGATTCTTCTTAGTTCTTATTCCTCGTCTCCTCGCATTTTATATTTTCCCAATGATAGTTTCACGCCAAAACGTGATTATGTGTTTTTCCACCAAAACATGATTTTGTGTTTCTCGCCAAAAATATGATTTCCCATTTTCCGCCAAAAATGTGAATCCTATTTGCAGTTTTGTGGTTTTACGGAAAAATGTGATTTTGTGATTTAACGGAAACGCAATTGTTCGATTTTGACAGAAAATGTGTTTTTGCTGGTTTGGGGGGAGGGGAGAAGGGAGATATGATTTCACGGTTTTGGTTGAAAACTGTTTACCGACAAATCTTTGAAAAATTATTTTTAAAATAATTTGTGCTAGTGATGTGTGGTACCATACAAATTCAAAGACGTGTATAATATATGTTACACGTCTTTGAATTTCTATGGTACCAATTTTTCCTTTACAAGTATTTTTATTTATTCGCTAAGACAAAAATTAGATATTTGTGGTTGTAAAGTCACCTCAAATTACTTTTAAAATGAGAAAAGTTAATTTAAAACAACACATTTACTTGCTTTATCTTTGCAAGTCATGTTAAAGGTACACCATTTACATTGTTTGGTTTTGATTGATTATTTACTAAATTTGATTAGTAATCGCAAATAAAGGTGTTAACTTAGCTTAGTCCTTGTCTATAATTAGAATCAACTATTTTTATCATGTGTTTGGATCTAATTACTATCTCTCAAAACTATAAGTAATAATCTATAAATTACGAGAATAAATCAAAATAGAATTTTCTGCATACAACAAAACTCTAATTTAAAAAAAAATCATTTTTAAGATATGAGATCTACTACACTGTTCATGTTTGCTTGTGCTATCATGTTACTTGTTCTGAGTCAGGTTCAAGGTAATATATCAGCTTGTATTTAGAATTGATTTGTTACTTACGAATTAGAGCTTTGATTGTAATTTGTGAATAATGGTACTGAAATTAAGAAAATAAATAAGGAAAAAGGTTACAAACCATGACTAATTTAGTTTTAAATATGTTGCGTTCCTAATTGTTTGTTTTAATATCGTGTGGTTCAGAGATGGAGGCTCGAAAGACGAAAGTGTGTGAGAAAACTAGTATATGGTCTGATCGAATTAATAGGTGTAACGGTGACAAAAACAATCAAAATGCTGTGTGCGTGAAAGCTTTTGCTGACGATGGAGTAAAAGTTTTCCAATGCCGTTGTAGTCCTGATGAAGAACTTCTTTGCTATTGTCATACTGCTTGCTAAGTTTACTTATTTATCAATGGAAAACATAAATAATACCTAATGGTAAAAAAAAATAAAAAATAATAATAATAATAATAATAATAATACATAATGTTTCTTGAGAAATTGTTAAAAATGCCCCTTTTTCAATACCCTTTTTCAAAAATGCCCCCTTTGAGAGTCCATTTTTAATTTAAGTTTGCCCTCTTTTAATTTTTAATGACCATTTTACCCTTATTTGAAACAAAATTAGGTCCACAAAATACAAAATATTTTTTGGCGGGAAAAGTGATCCCGCAATTTTCCCGCCAAAACACTTGTAAAAACCTTTAAAATACCTTGTAAAATTTTCCCGTAAAAATTTTTCCCGCCAAAAAAATTTCCCGCCAAAAAATTTTTTTTGCGGGAAAAGTGATTCCGCAATTTTTTTGGCGGGAAAATTTTTGGCGGGAAAAATTTACAAGGTATTTTAAAGGTTTTACAGAGTATTTACAAGTGTTTTGTAAGGTTTTACAAAGTATTTTAAAAGGTTTTACAAGGTACTTATACCTTGTAAAACCTTATAAAAAACTTGTAAAACCTTATAAAATAGCTTGTAAAATCTTATAATATCTTATAAATACCTTATAAATACGTTGTAAAACCTTTTAAAATACATTGTAAAACCTTATAAATACCTTGTAAAAACCTTTAAAATACCTTGTAAATTTTTCCCGCCAAAAATTTAACGCCAAAAAAATTGCGGAATCACTTTTCCCGCAAAAAAAATTTTTGGCGGGAAAATTTTTTGGCGGAAAAAAATTTTACGGGAAAATTTTACAAGGTATTTTAAAGGTTTTACAAGTTTTTACAAGTGTTTTGGCGGGAAAAATTGCGGGATCACTTTTCCCGCCAAAAAATATTTTGTATTTTGTGGACCTAATTTTGTTATATTTCCTTATATATTTGTGATATCTTTTATTAAAAGAAGGGTAATTTAGTCATTTTGTACATAAAAAGGGGTATTTTTAAAAATGGACAGCCAAATGGGGCATTTTTGAAAAGGGGTATTGAAAAAGGGGCATTTTTGTGAGTGTCCCATGTTTCTTTGCCATTGAATTATATATTATTTTGAACAGAAATGAAAAAGAAAAAAAAAACTGGAAAACCAATAATTTTTGAAGTGTTCAAAATTTTACCTAATGTTGTGGTTCAATTATTTGATAGTACAATAAGACAAGACATGGAGAAGTTGTGAATTCTCCTTCAACCCTGATCTGAGCTATTGATGGAATAGTTTGAAACCGACTTTATTCCCTCAAGAAACCAGGCTCAATGAATATGGGCGACGGCTTGACAGTCGACACTCTGGTCTGGCTAACGTACGTAGTTGCTTATGAATTATGATAGGATCTGCTCTGTTTTAGCTCTCAATACTTTGTTTTTCACTTTGAGTTCTGCAGATACTTCAAACTAAAAGATGCATATTTTGTAAAAAAGGTTATTGATTGGATAAAATTTTACATTTTATCAAAAAAAAGAAAGAATATATTTTTTTCTTCCAATATCTCACATACACATAAACACATAAATTGCACCATCGTCTCACGTGGACGTGGTTGTTTCTTCTTCTTCACACGACATTTCATTCTACTAGTAGAAGAATATACATACATACTTACGATCGGAGCCATTTCCACAACAATAGTTATTGCAAGTTTCCAAAATGTTTTATACATAATATTTCTTTATGATTTTCTTAAAGACAAAAGTTCTAGTTTAGGACGTAATAAATATACATATACAGTACTCGAGTCATTGATGGCTATATTGGTTAACAGTTCTGTTTTTGATTCGCTAAGAATGTTTAATATAAAAACACCATATTTTCAACAAACATAGTTTTTTTTTCTTTCTGGAAACTAAGTTTAGGATATGGTCATAATAATGTCATATCATTATCTTAAACAAATATGGTGTAGAGATTACTCACACTCAAGTTTTGGTTCTTCTACTATTTCATCTTTTGATGTGTTCTCGTCAGCATCAACAGAGTCAGTGGTACGGGGTCCGCTTGTGGAGGCTTCGTTCTGCCAAAAGAATTTCCTTAAATCCTTCAGCTTCGGGTTCACTGCTGAGAAGTTGGGTCCGACAAGTCGACAACAGGTTTTTCATTGCGGCCTTTTCCTCGAGGAGACTCACGACCTGCGACATTTTTGGCCTTAATGCCGGGGACTTGTTAGTGCACATTAGTGCCACGTCCAAGATCACCATTGCTTTCTCTTTTGAGTTTTGAGTAAGCTCAACCTAGCACTGGATCAACCAAGTCTAGTAAGTATAAAGCATCCCATGTCTTGCAAAACGTAGGTCTACACGTGAGGAATTGTTTTTATCTTCTGGTTTATTGTTTCACTTAATCACAGATTTTAAAGAAGGGTGAAGAAATGGAAATTTTTACCTGATCAAGAAGGCACTCCAAGTTCTCGCTTGGTTTGAAGTTTGAGTTACTCTTTCCATTGTATATAATATTAAACATCGGGAACATACAAAGCCGGAGAAGGAAAGGAAGTTCTCGGAGTAAAAAACCGGCAGAAAATAAATATTCCCGAGAGACAAAACCCTATGAAAGGGCGGCCCGTGTATAGAGGTAGGTAACATAAGCATTTGCTATGAGCCCAAAATCAATTTCAAAAAAAATCTGAGGTGAAAAGGTCGTCCAACTTTTAGAAAAAAAAAACAATTTTAGTAAGCAATTTTAATTTTTTATTGGTTTTGTCCAGGGTCCTCTCATAGTTTGAGACATGACTGGACTGGACTGTCCATTCGTCGAAATTACCTTTCCTCCACGTAAGCCTCCTCAAGGGAGACAGTAAGTAAGACAACTGGCTCCTATTTGGTTGTTTGGATATGTAATTATTTAAGAATCGGGTTAGATGTTTCACACTTGTTTTCCACTATGTAATATTATGCCATTTAAGCGGTCTAAACATTAAACAACATCAGCTTAACAACAGTTAAAACGCATTAACCACTTTAGATAATGTTTAAAACTATTTTTGTAACCAACAATATTATAAACGCATGTTTCTTGTTTTCTAAAGAAAATCTAAATGTTGAATTGATCACTTTTTTGTCGAAAATCTTCTATGATTTCCGTTGGGAGCCAGAGCCTAAGAAGAAGGATGCTCCACGTTTTAAAGTTAATCTTGGCAGGGACAATATGCTTGGAATGCAATGAAAAAGGTAACAGATGGTATGTTATCATAGTTTATGCCAAAATATGTGGATACATGGTTTCCATGGTTGTCCAATAAACTTGGATTTGTAGCTAGCTACTCGAACACAAAACGTGAAGATTGACGCCAAGAACATTTTCTGGTGCCAATAAAATAATACTGATATGTATATTTGTATGAGATTTGCTCTCCAATGTGGCTCAACCTGTGTTTTCTTTGGGTATATACATACTGGATTTTTGGCCCAAGTCTTGGAAACTATAGTGTATTTGCGATTAGGAAAACGGGAGACAAAAATTCTCACATTTGTCGAGTACAGGTTGAAAATGCTAATCGTTTTATAAAAGGTAACATACTAACATTAGAAATAGCTTAAGTGGATCAAAATTCATCATGTGCTGTCTTCTTATGGTAAGGGAACATTTCAAATGCCAAGAGACCCTTTTTCGTTAGAGAATGACGATGGCCACATCTCTGACCTAACTTTAACAAATTTCACAAGTCTTCCTCACATTTTGGAGGGACAAATTTCAAGATCCACCTACCCTACAAAGCCTTACTTTTTTTTACAGAGACTTGTCCAAATATAACACAGAGCACAAGAAGAGAATTCAACCCTAGTATTGATGATGATTTACCCACAACCTTTACGCAAAGATTTTACTTCTTAATCCATAGCATCTAAGAATTCATTATAATTGCACGAGAAGGCGTCAAAAGAGTACTCTAGATTGGCTTCAGTCCTTGATTTGTGTTGATTATTAATCGTTCTGATGGCGATGAACACAACAATCAACCATCTAGAGGAAAAACCAGCGAGAAGTAACTTTCAAACAACACTAAAAGGGTTTTGCCTATTGCGACATGCGGAATCGCCACTATTATAAACTGAAATTTCTAACTCTCATTTATATGCAACAAAAAACACTGTACTATCAAATCTAAGTACAGATACGTTACAACAAGAAAGTAATATCATCAATCAACTAATCGAACAACAGTTTTGCTCTATAATCTCAAAACCAACTGTGACCAACCAACATATAGCATAGACCATTTGATGCAAGAGCATAGTCATTATATAAAACCCATGGTCATAACATGATAAGTATTAAGACATGTACATAAGAATTTTGACACAGTATATAAAAGGGTGTAAGTCCGACTTTCACATATATAACTTAAACCCCTGACTTATATAAATTACCTGGCCTCTGTCATCTTTCAAACAGACAAGATTGTCCTTCCAGCAAGAGAGTCGTCGTCAATCGTCATCATCTTCTAGCAAGAGACTTAACTTTTCCTTCTCGGGTGGTGAATAACCAATTGAGTTCCTTCAAATAGGTCTGGTAAGTAACTCTCCAGGTCATCTGGTGTGTACTTTATGTATTTTCCAGCATGCCTACCACCTTCTAGTTGACTCCTATTCCTTCCGAAGAAAGCCCGGTAAGCCGGGATTACTTTCTCTGATATAGATATTCTCAGTTCTTCACGAAGTTGAGGATCCGGGACTTTCCAAGCCGTTTGAAGCCTGTATAACTCTTCAAAGCTGGCATTAAAACCTCTGAATCTCTCTTTTAAGGCCATCTTGGAAGAATTGTTGCTTCTTTGTCCATAACTCGGGCTACCACTTGAACTTCCACCCATACTTTCGTCCCTCAAAGCAGATAACACCCTGCTCCAGGAAGCCCTGAGGTAACCGGTAGCATATTGACGAATCTGCCCTCTTCGTTTTCTAACCCAATCATCACCCAAGAGTTTACCCAGCTCAGAATCCTTCACCTTCTGAACTATGTAGTAAATGTTGTTCATCATGAACACATGTTGCAGCCCACCATCTTCATACAACTTTGATTTCTCTTCAAGATTTGATTCCAAGGACGTAATCAACCCCAATATTCGTTTTGCAAGAGGAGACATCTCCTCTGTACTATCATCCCCAGATAAGCCATTTAACTCATCATTCTCCAGAAGAGAATTTAAGGTAGCTGCATAATCCACAATCAATTTCATGTAATTCATCACATAACGTATCATTGGATGAACCTCACCATTTGTCGTCGGTCTCTTCGATGTCTCATTCCGAACATTATTCTCAAACTCAACAAAAGTCCCCCTCGCAGCATCACCCAGTGCTTCCAACACCCCCTTGGTCTCATTACACACAAAGCAGTCAGTGACCATCACCTCTAAAGTCTGCAACACATTAGCCAACGCGTCATACATGTCCAGAATCCTGAACAACTTCTCTGATGATCTTCTACCAATAGCCACAGCCTCTCCAAAATTCAACATCTGCATCACACAGCTTTTAGTTGTCTCGTTAAAGCAGACTTCTTTACTAGACTCCGAACTGCTAAAGATCTCATCACATATCTTTTTCTCACCAACCAGAAGAACCCTAACAGTAATCTTCACAGCTTGAATCCACTTCTTCATCTTCTCATCCATAGACTTCCAATCAATCTTCTGCACTTCTTCTATACTCAGCTTCTCAACACCAAGAATCATCAAACATTCATCCAAAGCATCACGCCTCACCGTACTATAAACCTGAACACACTCCTTCTCATAACCAGCGCGAATCATCCGCTCCGCAATCTCCTTCAAATCTTCAACAGCAGTCGGATTAATCAAATCAACCCAAAGATCACACCCTATACTCCCTCCCCTCTCATGAAACAACCTCCTCCTACTCCCACTACCATCTCCATCAGCAACCAATCCAAAATTCTCAAAATCCTCAACCACATCGCCATCAGCAAACGACAACGAAACACGCCGCATCGAGCCATAGAGTCGTTCCGCATCTAAAGGAACAGTGTTACGAATCAAAATCCGTCTAAATTCATCTTCAAGCTGAGACATAGCCATCTGCAAAGCACTATCAGCTCTATCCACCATATCAGGCTTATTCTCCGACGAAAGATCCTCAAGTAAAGAGATAATCTCATCAACAGCTGAAAGAAACTCCGTAGCTTCCTCCGGAGATTCATCGAACGAAAGAGAAAACGAAGAGGAACGATAGTTACCAGAAGACGAAGAAGAGTGACGAGAAGAATCATTACCACCATCCCAACGATGAATAACCGATTCTGCAGCCTCTAAACGCGCAACAAGAGCGTCGTTTTGATCCTCTTCCTGATTCGTCATCGCAGTTTTGATATTCGATAAACGGTTATCGAAACTGGAGAAGATAAGTAACATATCTTCACGAACCTCTTTTGGTGTGTTGAGGCTTTTCACGATCTGTTGCGCCGTCGCGAGAACACGGTCTTCACCTCCACCACCACCTCCGGCTCCGGCGTTGATACTAGCCGCCGTGGTTGTTGTTGCGGCCATCTATGGAGAAATTGAAAAGGGAAAAAACAAAATTGAGAGGATGGTGAATCAGAAAGATGAAGACATGGATCGTGTTGTGAGATTTAGAGATCAAACTTGTGAGAGATTGAATTGAAGAAGAAGAAGAAGAGTATATTTTTTTCTAGGGTTTGAGTGGAACAAAGACAGCGAAATGGAAGAAAATGGGTTTTTTTTTTGGTCTTTCTAATTGGAAAAAAAAACAAGTCAAAACGTTTTCGTTGACCCAAATGTTTTTGGTGACGGTTATTTCCGGTTTAATTCTCCTTTACGAATCACAAATAGACAGTTGGTACTGGTTATTTCCGGTTTAGTCCTTTTTTTGTTCAATTGATTTCTCTTTTTTTTTGTTTCTTTCTGATGCAAGGTAATTATGGTATTGGGTAGAGTTTTTAGACTGTTTCAAATTTAGTTCAAGGAGTTTTATTTAGACTGTTTCAAATTGGTTAGATTTCGGGATTTTTTTAAATTGTTCAATATGGGTTTAGCTTTAGAATGTTTCAAATTGTATTAAATTGATTTTTTTTTTTTTTTTTTTTTTTCTTTTTTTTTTTTCTAAATGTGGGTTTTGTTGTGGAAGCCCCCTTGGCCCATTGGTTGACCAATGGTTGATTAATGCTTCTACACCAAGAGGTCTGGGGTTCGAGTCCCAGATATTGCGATTTATTAACAAATTTGCAGATTAATGGAGGTAAGTGTGCAAGAGATCTTCAGCGATGTACAATTATAGCCGTTCGCCAGGATTCTACGCAGAAAAGGAAGTGTCACGAAGAAGGAAGTGTAGTCTGTCGTGGATCTAGTAAGGGTCGGAAGGAATTGTCAGTTATAGAATCGTCTATGTAACAGTTCTCATAATTTGCAATTAATAATAAATGTAGACGACAAAAAAAAAAATGTGGGTTTTGTTTCTCGTATGATGATTTTTTTCAAGGTTTTGTATTCCGATCGTAATCAAAATTCAGTTTTGTATTCTACTTTCAAACTCTGAACACTAGTTACAAAATCCAAACTCTCTACTAGAACCGGTCTAATTAGACTCTAGCAGTTTTAAAACGAACCGGACCAATGTGATTGATTTGATAGCAACATTATTGCGGTGGAGTCTTCCGGCGTATTGACGCTGTCTTCCGCCTACCATATCCAACGGTTGATATTTTTAGTTGACAATTTATCTCTCTCAAATCATATGTTGTTGCTAAACGACAAATATATGTGTTCACACTTCACAGTTCACACCATCAACATTCATCTATCTGTCTCTATTCAATATTTTCGATACATATACATTTGTTATTGTTTTATTCATTTTTAGCCAACACATTGATTTTTTTTTTTTTTAATGGATATGATATGTTCTTATTCAGTAATTTGCAAACTTAGCATGTGACTGTACATAAAAAGATTAGTGTTACACTGTTACTACACTAGCTCTATTATTTTAATAAACCATTGCATAATGTATCTTGACATCTATAAAATAGTATACTGTGTTAACTTTTTAAATTAAAAAGAGATATTATAATTTATAAAAAAAAAAATAGTTTGACGAAATCCTTGTAATGAAAATAAAAAATGTGCTAAAATTTTCTCCAAATTCATCCATTTGCAGCTGAATAAGAGAGTTTGTGTTTACACTGTAATACACAATTCTACACTATTTCTTGCTCCTTAAGGTTCAATAATCATAAAATTCAAGATGCATTGGTCCTTTGTGTTATAAACAGTTGAACAAAAGAAAAAACTTTTAACTTTATTGATAACAATGCTAAAAGAATCATAGAAACCATTACATGATCACACTATTTTCCCTGTGTTATACATATATATATAACTTTAGCGTAAAGAAACAAGAACCCATAACAACAAAAGAACATGGGAGTCTACTTCTACTTATGATGATGATTCACCAATAACCTCCACAAGAACACTTTCCTTCTTTGAAATGATGGAACCGGCTCGCGTCTCTTACTACCATCTCTCTTCCTGTAATCAAAGATATGAACTCAACTACCTTGTGGCAATCTTTGCATATCCTATGGTTCTGAGTAATCTGCAATGGATTCCATTCCGGCGTGTTCACCAATCCATAAGCTATCGCAAGCTTCTCGCTGTGATATCGCCCTACTCGTTCTTCTTCTTTCTCATCCACGTCTGGTAGAAGGTTTTTCTCTTCCGCCAAATACCCATACTCGTAAATTTCTTCCATTAGTTCATCAACTTTTTGGTATATTTCCCTGTTTCATTTTAGATTTACACATCGTTAGGTTATGAGATTTTGAAATAAAGACAAAGAAAGATTATAGTATTACCACATAATTTACCTTTTCACTGTCTCATTGTAAGAATCAAACCTATCTCCTGAAAGAAAACTGTGAGTCTGATCTCCAACCTCGACCCAAGTACAAGCCGGCAGCATGCTTAAACCTTTGCTCTCCAATGTCTCTAAAACTCCTGCAGCTTCTGCAGTTTTTCCCATACTATTGTACATATTATACAGAACAACGTAGTTTCCGAGCTTCTCGGGTCCCATTCCATAGAGTTTTTCAGCAACCACTCTTCCAAGCTCTAAGTTTCCCTGCATCCTACATGCATTCAAGAGTGCTGCCCACATATTCACCGTTGTTTTCAAAGGAGCTCTTCTGATGAAAGCAATGGCTTCATCTAATAAACCGTCTCTACCCAACAGCTCAATCATGCAGGCATAATGCATCGCCCTTGGTTTGATCCCATGAACCTCACTCATCGATAGAAAAATCTCCCAACCTTGCTCAGATAAACCTGAATAGGCACACGCTGATAAAACTGCAAGAAATGTGACGTGGTTTGGAGCAACTTTTGCAGCAATCATTTTCTCAAACAATCTAACAGCATCGGTTCCTCTTCCATGATTTGCATATCCACCCATCAAAGCGTTCCATGAGATTATATTTTTCCTCGGCAATTTATCAAAAACATATCTAGCAGTATCTACTCTACCCCATTTGCTATAAAAATCCACAAGAGCCGTGTTTGCGACAATTTCCGATTCAAAACCGCTTCGAATCAAACTAGCGTGTGCCTGTTTAGTAAGCTCAAGCTTTGCAAGCCTTGTAGAAATTCTTATCATTATCGAAAGTGTGAACTGATCCATAGCGACACCTGAGTCTCGCATCTCATACAACAAACACAGAGCTTCCTCACTATAACCATGAAGCGCATAACCTGCTATGATGTTGTTCCAAGCAACAGTAGTTTTCTCAGGCATAATCTCGAAAGCACATCGAGCATCCTCAATGTCCCCACACTTGCTATACATATCAATCAATCCGCACGAAACAAAGGTATTATCAACAACTCCTAATTTCAATGCACAAACGTGTAACTGTTTCCCCACATAAACAGACCCTAACCCAGCCGACGCACGAAGCATCACCGCAAACGTATGAGTCTCACAATCAGAAAGCTCCTCCCACATCATCTTAAACAGGTCAAAAGCTTCAACATAATTCCCAAAATTAACAAACCCAGAAATAATCGAGTTATAAGAAAACAAGTTTCTCTCAGGCATTTCATCAAACAACCTACGTGCATCAATAATCATCCCACATTTCACATGCATCAACAAGATTCTATTCATCATATACTTCTCCGGCTCAAACCCATTACTCATCATAAACCCATAAACTCTTTTAACACACCGAATCGATTTCAAACGAATACAAGCTTCAACTAAAGCATCATAAGTACTAACACCAACCTTAAAACTACATCGAATCTCCAGAATCTCAAACAATTCAAACGCTTCTCTGAACCTATTACACAAAACCAACTTCTCTATCTGACTACAAATCCTCACACCAGATTTCCTGATCTGGGTATCATCAAAAACCTGATCTTTCGATTCCTCAACCTCGATTCTAATTGGTTCTGGTTTCAGCTTTGGTTTTGGTTTCAGCCCTTGAACTACAGAAGAACAACTGATTCTCCCAAATGGATTCTTCCATCTTCTTCCTCGTAATGAGAATTTTCGCGGGAAATTGAAAACCTTGGGATTGGAAGAAGAGTCTCGAATCTCGTCTAATCTTCTGCTTTGGTAACGTGCGAGTGGAATCTCCATGATTGGAAGAGAATGAGGTCAATAAGAGAATGAGAGAAAACAGAGGATCCAGACCATACTGGTCGGAATCGTCGAAACAGCTCCGCAATGTCTGAAGCAAAAGGATTTTTGTTGCTGAAAGAAGAAAACCAGAAAAAGAAGAGATTTTTAAATTAGAGAGAAGAAGAGCATCACAGCATCGGGAGCTCCGCTAATGGCAGTTGGAGATGGTTGAGGAGAGAAGCAGGTAAGTAATGAAACTACGCCGTTTTCGACATTACTTGATTTAAATCACTGTTTAATTTAGGAAAAATATTCATGACATTAATCATACCAATTAAACGTTTTATGACCTTAATTGTCGTCAAAATTATTAAATTTATTAACTAAGTTTTTCATCTCAAAAGTAAGGCGTCAAATGAAAATAGTTTTATTGTTATTATTTTATTTTAAAGATTATCTTTGACGTTAAAAAAAAAATCCAAATTTATGATCACATTTGTTTGATAAGATTAAAACATCCAACTTGGGTTTGGAATAGGATTCAATAAAAATTTACAATTTGTTTTATCAAAAATAAATCCTAATTAGAGTCGGCATAAAATTTGGTTAACCCTCTATATATAAATATAGCTTTGTGAATATTGTAGAGTTTAACACATCATTACTAATTAAGATTTTGGAGCCATGGATGTTACTGCTCTTGTCAATAAATCTCAGACTCAACTTTCACCGTGGTGAGACTCCATATCTTTATTCATTGTCAATTTTTATAAACATATTAATTAGTACTACATATATATACATTGGGTTGATAAATTCTCACTAGAAAAGATTTTGGTTGGTGCAGGAAGAAGTGGATATTAGTATACCAATTGGTGATTCAAGTGTTGCTCATAGGATTTAACATAGCAACCTCATGAATGTCGTCACAAGATTCCCATAAGCACAAGACTTGCCGAATCGTCCATTCAATCTGTGAGTTACTATCTCATGTTCTGCCAATTTCGCATCGCTGCGGTGTGGGCCGTGGCCGCGATACTCTGCAAAATTCATGGTGGGGACAATCTGTTTCGATACGTGTTCGTATTGGGAAACATCCTAGCATGTTTAAGTAACATCTTAGGTTTCATCGTCCATTCATTCATTTTGTATACTATTTCTCCCGAATTTCCTCTTTTCTCTGGTTTATTCTTTGTGTTATGTTTCATAGTTACTTGTCTTCATTGTTTGTATGTATGCTATCTAGTTAAAGAGATGAGCAAAAAACAACCACAATCTCATCTTCTTTGATTCTTTTTTGTTTCCATTATTAATATGAGTTTTTTTTTTAAAGAATTCTTGCATGTTTCCAAACATATCCAAATTATGTTTGTAATCTACAAGGAATCGAAACCAAGACTGTTTCTTTACTATCTCACACCATCAAACGCTTGAAGAAATCATGAAGCTAAAGTGGTTGGTTCGCAGCTATCTCGAACACAAGCCAATACATCTCTGTATTCTCTATAGACGGTGAAGGAGTCATGCACAGCTCCGTTGCTGCTCTTTTTGTATTCGAAGAGAAGGGAGGAGTGATTGAAAGCCGTCAACTTCACAAATCCGTAATCATAGTCTCTGAAGATACTCCAGTTGGGTTTCAGCGAGCTGAACGAAGACAGGTGACTTCCTGCACCACCAACAACTGTGTGTATAGTTCCTTTGAAGGCTCCTGAGTAGTGACTCTTTGCATTGTCCATACAATGATTCTGGTAAATGGGGCAGGTTCTCTCGTAGTTATGGACATGGCCGTAGAACGCAATGTCTACTTTATACTTCTGCCATAGCTTTTGCAAGCTCTCTCTTCCCATAGGCTCTTCAAAGGAACCTTCTTGGCCATACCAATCATTTGTGGAATAACCGAGGACACGATGAGCAATAAAAATCAACCAAGGCTGAGTCTTTCTGTCTACAGAGGCAAGACAACGCTCTATGAATCGGTATTGCTCCGACCCTTCTCTCCAATCATGTTCTGTGTCCGCTACACAGAACCGAAACATTCCATAATCCGCAGAGTACCAGAACTTAGCTTTATTCTCAGCAGGAAAATCAAACATTGTTTCTGCAGGAACCCCACACTCCCCTCCAGAGTCTTTACCGCCATAGAAAGATCCAGAGTCTGGCCAATCCCGCTCATGGTTTCCACTGAAGAGTTAAACAAGTTAAGGACAAGAATCTGAAAACAGTTATAGCAAAGCCTGATATGGCCCGGGGCGGCTAACCTTGCGATCATGTATGGAACAGTAGAAGCAATAGGTTCAACTTGAGCTGTGAACTGATCCCACTGCGAGATGTAACCATTTGCATAAGTGATATCTCCAATGTGGAAAACAATGTCAATGTTCTTCAAGTCCTTAATGAGTTGGTCAGTGGTGTTGAGGGAACCAGGCTGATAATCATTGTACTCGTTTGACCCATCCCGCTCTCCCTTCAAATACATAATTACGGAAACATAAGTCCTCAGAGGAAACACTTAGACAAGGCAATGTTTTTGTAAAGAAAAGTAAGTACCTTCCCCATGTCCCCGAAGATTATGACCTGTTGTAACGAGTCTTGTCCAGGATAAGGAGAGGACTTGAAGGTGAAATTCTTGCTCCAAATTATCGATCCATTCATCAACTCATGACCCATCCTGTATGTGTACCTTGAGGTAGTAGATGATCCAAATAGTTACAAAACCGTTATCCCAACGATGTGTTTAAAAAAGAAAGGAATTTGACTTCTAAACAGTGAATATACTCGAGGTTTGGCCAAAGATCTTTCAGCAAAGCGGTGTGGATGAAACCTGGATCGCGCCAACCAACAGTACGAGCAGGAGCACCTGCGTTAAACCGCATAGTAAGGATCCAAAATTTAAATCCAGATAAAGAGCAGAGTGCATAGATTTGTAGTTTCATACATACCACACATGCTGTTTCTGGTAAAAGTCAAGGTACCAGCTGGTGATCTTCTACTTTGAGTTCCCTTCCGGCTCCATTCCACAAACGGAACAGCCTCATCTATGTTGTACCCGCTCGTCCATCTTACGCTCATCTATCAAAATCATAGTACAAAGCATGTTTTAGTTCAGTTCTTGGATAGATATATATCGATTTGAGAGTCTATAATGTTGTAAAGCTTTGATTAAACAGGTTTTCTAAGAAAGTCATAATTGACTCAAGCTATGGAAAACTTACTTCGTCCCAATTCTTCCCTAAAGCAAGACGCGGATAAACAGGAGCTTTAGGATTGATAAATGATACATGATTTGAAATTGCGACAAGAGTTGGCTGTAAAAGAGCAATAAAACAGATCAACGAGAGTCCATTTGGAAATAGAACACAAACTTGAGAGGTTGTGTAATCAACAAACATTTGAGAGTCCCCCTGTGAAGAGGGCAAAGGAGAAATCAGCTCTCTGGTTTATAAGCATGAACTTCAAAACCGCATTTCCGGTCTTCATATAGTCAGGGTTGGACTTGGCATATATGTACTGTCACATTAAGAAAACTAAATGAAATGAGATGAAAGTTGAGAAAATCAATAGTCAAAATGTAATGGAAACCTTGATAGGAGCTGAGCAAATAAAAGGTGCTATCTCTTTGCCATCTGTTGGAGCACAAGAAGATGAGCTTGAAGAAGAGAAACACAAAGACAAGTTGTTAACAGTAACACATCAAGCATAGTATGATGCATAAAAAGAGTTTGATAAATGTGAAAATACTCAGAAGTTTGCAGGTGAGAAGACTCCAACCCAATCGTCTGAAGAAGGCTCCGGATTTGAAATATCAACATTTACCCATTCTGTGTCCTCACCCTGTAGCAGCAGCAAATCATCAAAAACTAAAATCATATTTCAGAGTTTTGACTTCTTGATTACACAAATTTTTTTGGTATAGGAATCAGTCTATAGGAAAGACCAAAGAACATAAGATAACTCAGTTTGGTCTGATGCTAAGTTTGTTTACCTGGGAACCAAGAACAAGAGGGGAAGCGTGAATGGAAGCAGAGTGATACAGAGCAAAATTTACGGTGTAAATATCAATTTGAGACAGTGCTTGATCACCACGTCCATTTTCTTGACTTGAACACAAGCTTGAAGCCACCTGTACGATGAACCACAGAAGCACAAACAAAAAAGTCCTAGCCATCATCGCGAGTTCTAATTTTCTCTTCTTTGCAGTGACAGATAGATGAAAATCAGATGCTAAAACCCCTAAAGAATCTTTTGATTTTTCAAAGATTAAATCTTAGCAATCGCATGATATTTGAATTTCAAAACTCTGGGTTTTTTGTTCAAGTACATCCCTCCCTCGAAGGCGTTTGGGAGGAAAAGACAGAACACAAGTTTTCTTTTTTTAGGAGGAAGACAGAACATAGAGAACTTGTTTCTGATTTTTTACTTGTAAAATAATTGTAATCGAGTGAGCACATAATGTCGTAACATTTGTTGACATTATCAAGTTCCCAATGTTTTTTTTTTTTTTTACTTTTCTATCATTTTACCTAAAGTTCTGAATGAGTAAATGGTACGGAAAGTTGTCTTTTTCATACCTGCACAAATGAAGTGTGTTGAATTCATACATTTGACTTATACGTGTGCTAAATCATACATACACTTTTAAGAAATTTGAATTTCAAACCCGAAGTTAACTTTTTGTGCCAAATTCTACAAAAACGTGCAAAATATTTAACAGCATTAACCCACCGTGAAATCGCAGTGACGTGGATTACACGTGTACACCATTAACACAAAACGACGTCGTTTTACTTAAAATCAAAATTCCAAAAAATTAGACATCTTAGGTCTTGAACCCATGACCTCTAATTTCCATAGACAACTCATAACCAATATGCAAACGGACTTCTTCTTATATCTCTACCCAAAACTATATTTATAGACTTCTTTTTCTTTTTCTTCCTCTTCTCCTCTTTCTTCTCCCGTTATCACATCGTCGTTAAACTCCACAATATCTATAGAATATGAAACGACAATTCATTGTAGTTACTAGCTCGATGGCTCTTCTTACTCCAAATTGGCTCGGACGATGATGTCTCCTTCTTGCTCGATTGCTTCTTCATGAGTTTGGTCAGATAAAATCCCCAAACCTAGTCGATTTGATTTGAATTTTTATGAACATCGATGAGTTTTAAGAACGAGTTGTTCTCTTCTTCGATCAATTCGGTGAATCTCGAACCCAACGAATGTGAATTGATGAGCAAAAAACAATGTCGGATTTGGAGGTGATTCTGGAACGGTGGAGCAGCCGTCGTATAGGAGAAGAAGAAGAAAGAGAAAAAGAAGATTATAAATATAGTTTTGGTTAGCGTTACAAAGAGAATTTTGTTAGTGTAGTGGTTATGAGTTGTCTTTGAACATTGGAGGTCATGGGTACGAGACCTACGATGTCTTTTTTTTGAAAATTTGATTTTAAGTAAAACGACGTCGTTTTATGTTGATGTTGTACACGTGTAATCCACGTCACTGCGATTTCACGGTGGATTAACGCTGTTAAATATTTTACACGTTTTTGTAGGATTTGGCACAAAAAGTTAACTTCGGGTTTGAAATTCAAATTTCTTAAAAGTGTATGTATGATTTAGCACAAGTATAAGTCAAATGTATGAATTCAACACAGTTCATTTGTGCAGGTATGAAAAAGCCGACTTTCCTAAATGGTACATATAAAAAGAGCAATCGGAAAAAGATGAATATGAATATTAAAGAATTTTATTTCATTTATTTTCTATAGTAAAGGAATATATATCCCTTTGTTTTGTTTTCTTTTCATTCTTTTTATTAAAGTGAAAAAAAAATTAAAAAATGCAGATACTGTATTTACCATATTTTATCAAACTGATTAGACAACCATTTGTGCTCCAAATGATTGGGAAAAAAAAACAGAACCATATGATCCTGTCTTGAAAAATAAAATCCACCGTAATGAAAGAAATTTCGTCACATCCATCTGATTAAAACATCATCTCTTGAAGATTTTACTCTCATGAAGAGTATCTCTCTCTACATAATGCTGGATTTGGTTTCCTTTTCGATAAGATATTATTGTTGACATTGAAAAAGATTACAAATTACATTCACCAAACTAGACTCCATCTAATATTGGATACAGCTACATGACCTTACAATCTGACAAACAGTTCTACAGCACCAAAGCAGAGAACATACTTACAGAGATGATCCAAATGCCAGCTTCTGGTATATAAGTTGTTCATCTGTTTCCTATCCGAGGCTTTGAAAAGTGCGGAGCCAGTCTCTTCTCGAGCTCGACCAAGCTGGAAATTATGTAAAGGAACATGCTTAATGAGAATTATATCATAAGTTTCTGCTATCTCATAAGTGAGTTTTGGGAATTCTGACTTACATCTCAAATCTGCGTTTAGCTTCTTTCTGTTTCGTCCGGTAAAGATCACTGTCTTTTGGTATGTTGCTCATCGGGTCAGCTACACATTTTGTACACAAGATTAAGAACAACATTACATCACTTACATATCCCATTAAGTATAGACATCAAGGAAACAATAAGATCCATACGTTTTTAACACGGAAATACACATAAATGTTATCTAACTTGATAGATCCACTTAGATAATTTTAAATAGTGTCACCAAATGTCTATTACACTATCGAATGTTATCTAACTTCACCGATCGACTTGCATCTAAAGAGTGTCAATAAAATGTCTATCAACTAAACATATCATCAACATGAGAGCGGAAAACTTTTGCATTTAGGGATCTACCTACAATATGTTACCAATAAACTCGGATTATATAGAGGAAATAGCATTACCAGAAAGCGTAGCAAGGTGTTTCTCGCCAAATTCTTTGTGAACTTCCATCGCAGTTGCTCGGCTTAGCCGAATTAATCCCTAATCAAAATGCCAAAAGAAGTTATTGACATTGCAAATTAAACTCAAGAAAGAGATCAAATCAGTAGACTTTGGAAGAAGAAGAAAAGCTAACCTTCTTCTCCTTCCTCTTAAGTATCTTAAGATGACATTTCTTGACATAATGAGTCAAATGATAACGAGAATGCCTAGAAGAAAGTTCTTGTTTAACCTCAGGATTTGCATCAAGCCACTCAGAAATATCCTTAGATTTCACCAACTCTCCATGATCCAATGACTCTAACCACGAATACACTGGTAACCACTGATCAGTCCTCTGAAATCGAGCTGGATGTTGTTGATCTGCTTCCACATTTTGCTGTATATATCATTCACAAAATCAATCAAAAATGTCGAATTTTAATTTACAGTATCATCATCAATCAATGAGTGACGACGTTACCTCGTTTTGATCAGATGATGGTGTTGGTCTCATGTAATGTTGCATTGAGAGGAGACGATCTACGATCTCAGAGCGAGGCATGTGGCGGAGATCCGCCGGTAAGGAATCTAAGTTAGTGCCGATCCAAGTCTCCACTTCGCCGGAGCTTACAACGGCTTTGGCATCGGGGAAAGCGGAGACCCAAGCTTGAGCCATTGTCTCCCATTCTTGAGATGGCTCTGTTCGCTGGTTCGGGTTTGAGATTTTGTTATCCGATTCCAATTGCTGCTGCTGCTGCCTCTTTTCATCTTCTAGGGTTTCGTCACTCGAATTCCACATTTTCTTCTTTTACACAGTCGCCAAAATGGTGTTATCTTTAAATAAAGTACTTTTAGTTATCCACAACAAAAATAAAACAGTAAATAAAGTACTTTCCTTGGAAATTGGAAATTACAAATTCTCATGTGTTTTACTGTTTTTAGTAGAGAAATTCGCCTACAAAAGTTGTAATTAATGGAAGATTAGCTTGTCTTTTGTTTTTTACAGTCATTTACTATTTGTTTTAAAGCGATACGTGCTAAGTGGGCGGTGACCCAGTGCCTAGCGTTTAGAACGCCTAATCGGGGCTTAGGTGATTTTTTAGACGGTTTAAACGTTTATAACATAAAACATTATAAATATGATATTATATATAAAAGTTATATAAAATATCTATATAAAACTAAAAATTATGAAATTATAAACAAAAACTAGATAAAACATTTATTTATATTTATATTAAACAATATATGAATATTTATAACTATATATTTATAAATAAAACTCTAATTGAAATTGAAAAAATACATTAAACAAGATTTATGTAATTTTAGGCGGTCTAGACGGTTATCTAGGCGTCGCATGAGAGCGTAGCGCCTAGTCGGGGCCTAGGCGACCGCCTAGACCGCTTTTTAGAACGTTGGTTTTTATACTTTACATGTATTTAAGTTTTTGGTTTGTAGATACTTTTTACTCCAATGAATGAAGGAAATATATTTTTACCCAAATTCAAAATCGAATGCACAATTAACAAGTAAACACCCAATTTCTGGAAGAAACAATCTCCAAGACTGAAAGGCTATAGAGCCAATACACAAATTTTCAATGTCCAAGAAATTGGTTATGTGTTGTTGTAAGAAACGGAGGCTCTTTCTATTGATACATATACACTCTGTCTGTCCATCAGAGTCCATGAGTGTCACAAAGAATGAATTGGAAAGTATCCAAAACTCGATTCTATAATTACACTATACAATTCAACTAGAAGACGAGAACAATGGATTCTGAGAACATTTCAAAGTTTGTAAGAAAAAAAAATGTGCTTACTTATTCATCTTCTGCTATGAAGTTTGGCTCTTCCCCTCGACAGAGGTACTCATCGCATGTAGAGGATGTTCCCCAATCTTTCCTTAGTCTCAAGATATCCTCTGTGAAAGTTGATCCCGAGGCTCCAATGAAGACGCTGGACATGGCGCATATTGTTTTATCAAGCATTGCATCCACCTAAACATTGCATGAAGATTATAATTTAGCCCATGCCATGTTTGATACATCTCACGCTATGACATTAATAGTGATTCAATATACAATTAGGATTTCTATTATTCTACAAGATTCATAAAACTATAAGCTTTTATTTCTGTTAAAGAGCAATCAAATGCAAACCGCACAGAACCAAGGAAAAGTAAACATGTTTCCATTAGATTCTATGCTTTGGTTTCAACCATAAACAAAAGTGTAAGAAGGCACAACGAAGAGAAGCAGTAAAATTCTTACCTGAGAGTCATCCTCTATACCATGTCGATATAACAACGCGTCCCACTTTTCAGCTGAATTACGAGGTGGACGTTTGACAAGAGGCACAATTTTTCCATCTACCACAACAAGTGACTGAAGCAGACTTGTTTCACTTTCTGCAGCATCTGTTGAAAGATAGATGACTACGCCATTGGATCTTTCCACTATCCGAGTGATGCACTCTGCAGCTTGAGGAATTGGATAGAAGCAACTTGGCGATTTTGCGTTGCTGCCATGAAAAAGGTTCTCCATTTTCAGAAAACTACAAGTCTAACCTGGTCCCTAATCTAGTTTTAGGAAATCAATCTCAGTAAAATATCGTAATACTACGGTGCAGTGCCTACGTGATGTGAATGTAATATACTAACCGTATAGATTCACAAACAAGAATGGAATATTGTTTTCATAATCCCATTCTGTAAAGTATGAGCTACACTATGAAATTCAGGGTAATGTACCCAAGAAAGCAAGTTGAAAAAGCCATACCAGAATTTGAGGAACCCATGTCTGCGGAAATGAAGTGCGATGAAATTCTTTCCCAAGAAGGTCTGGATGAATCTCTGTGAGGTCAACAAAATCAGCTTACTGGGTTCGATCAGTGTCTTGCATTTGTGGTTAATAGGTCCACCAGGCTGCATCACCCAATCTTGCTCCATATCAGCATAGAAAACATCCCCGATGGCGATCACGTCATCATCAGACTTGAACTTTGTCTGTACGTCTTGCACAGTTCTCTTGCTCGGCTTCTTTATGTCTTCACTCCAAGGAGCCTCAAGCTTCCCATCAATGGAAATCCCCAAACCTTTCAGCTTCTTAATATGCTCCTCATCCACATAACAAAGCTGTGGTGACGAGAAGTAACATATGAACCGGTCAATGCGAAAACGATTCTTTTTCGCCTTTTCCTTAAACTGATCAAAAGAAAAAACAACATTTCGTCCCAAGCAAGTATTAATCCGCTCTATGTCTATCACTCTATCATACTGGTAATCAAACTTAGAGCTAGGTATCACCAAAACTCGATCCAACAATGCAGCAAAGAACATATGTTTCTCTAAGCAAATCAAATGGTTACTCATTTGACCCGAGAGACATATAGCGAATAGAAACTTATCCGATCTCGGCTTCCACTCTACAGTTTTCCGATCTGACAACTTCTGATCCACTTTTCTACATCTATCGTAAGAGAAATTCACCGAATCAACTTCGGTGCCACCGGAGTAATTGCTAGTCCTGTGTGGTGATAGAAGCACCTCTTGGATCTCTTTATTCAATGAAATCTGCTTCGAAACAGCAGATTTCACATCCTCAAACAACACAGACGATCCCAAAGCATTCTCCGATTGATTAAGAGAAGGATTCACCAACGTACCATTCCAAAGAGAGAGAAGCTCGAGCTGTTGCTGTCTCAGAAGATACAAAGCACGAAGCTCAGATTCCTTGACACGATTCGACAATGGATCCAGCTTAAAACTCGAGAAATTCGCCGAAAATAGTTCACGAGGATCAGTGAGTAAGAAGAGAAGACCGATTGAGATAATTAAAGAGACGACGACAATGACGTAACGCTTATTGAGCGAGATCTTCCAACGGCGATGAACTCGCTGCAGAATATCGTCGATCTGAAACGCCGATCTCGGATTCCCGCCGGTTGTTGTGGCGGTGGAGGAAATTGAATCTTCCCGGTGACGGATTCGAGTGTCGTTTTGGGGAATCAAATGCTGGTGGTCTTCTTCATCGTCCGACGAGTTTCGCTCCATCGCCGAAGAGTGAATGAGCTCACGAAGCTTAACAGTACGATTCTACAGTCAATTTCTTAGAATCTGAAGTTCCGCAACAACAATTCGATAGATGGTTCAAAGAAGAAGAAAACGAAATTTCCTACGAAAATGAAATGAAACTACATTGAAGAAGAAGTAAGTAGAGAGATTAAGCGTGAAGAAGAAGATTAATAATTTCTTCTGTAACTAACTAAACGAGTCAGTGAGATGGTGACAGTGGGTGGAGGAGATTAAGTCGGTACGAGTCATACCGGGTTTAATTGATTTATAATGATTGGTAAAAATCTCGTATCGACAAGCAAGGGTTTTTGATTTCTGTTTTCGATTTCTCATATCTCTAGAAACAATAATGTCCGTGCCGATCGCCTTGCAAAGAGCGCTCGAGTACGAGGTCTAGTTTTTTCCCATGTAAGCTCCCAAGTTCCGGAGTGGTTGGCTCACGAGGCTAACCTTTTCGAACTAGCTTAATAATAATGGTGTTTTGGTGTCAAAAAAAAAGACAAGCAAGGGTTCATATTCCAGGTAAAGGGAGCGGTTCGGGCCTCATTGCCATCTGTGTTGCTCAACCTACTATTAGGAACCTATTATTAGGGGGTATTATTGGTTCCTAATTTACATGGAATTTTGATGACTTTAACAAAATCATAGAAAGTAGACAAATGAAAGATTCTAAACTATTGTTGGAGAGTTTTGGAGAGTTTTCTATAATCTTGTTGATTAGTATTTCATAATCTTGTAAAGTTTCTCAAACAATCTCTCTATTTTGATGATACTTTTCATGACTTTGTTTTGTAAAAAAAAGTGTAGAAAGTCATAAACCAATAACATAATAATTTAATTCATTAACAATCATAGATTCTTTTGTTGTAATTGAATAACACAAAACTTTTAATGACTTTATAAAAGTATGAATCCAATAACTCCAGATTTATGAAGATTTTAGATTACTTTTTACAAATCTTAAACTAATAACACCAAACTTTAACAAACTTTTAAAAAATCTTGATTGAATAACAACAGATTCTACATAACATTTAAAATTTTAAAGTCACTAAAACTCTATTTAAATCACAAACCAATAACACCCCCTTAGTAAATTGGTATGGAAAAGTAAAAGAAGAGAATTTGAAACTTATAGCTGCAGTTATTTGAAAAGTTAATGTTGATTTAGTAGATATAGATTTTAAATTATTTATAAATGTGTATTTATTATATTTAGTCATTAAGTGGTAATTTGAGCTGAAAATAATGTATATCATAAAATTTACTCAATTTGTATAATATGAATATATTAGTTCATTGTATTTTATATGTAAGTATTTCAAAACAAACTACAATCCCACACCAATAGTTCTTTTCGAGCAATGACATACATACCAACGACATTCACCAATAATCCGTTTCTTTCTCAAACAATGATGTGCACATTCTTGACAGAAACCAACTTTGTTGCTAGCATGTGAAACTCCTAGATGTTCATCTGGTGGAAATTCATCTACTATTTTTAAATCAACTCGAGAGTTTCCTACTAGATAGGAAGAATGAGTTTTCTCTTCCGAATAAGATTTCTCCATGGCATTTGACGTACCTATTTTAAATCAAAATATATATTATATCAAACTAAAATTTCAAAGGAAATTTTAAAAAAATCTACATAGTATTTTCATTATCGAAAAGAAAACTTACATGACAAAACAAAGATCACAAGAGTTGAAAACAAAAAAATTGTCCTCATTTCTATTTTCAAGAGTTTGATAAAATTTAAGAAAAAAAAGAATATCAATAAAGTTGATTTTGCTAATTCTTTGGCTTTGGGGTAGTGTAGTTACTAAAAGTAGATATTGTCATATTTATATAATTTTTCACTTATGTTACGCATGAGTTAATGTTTTAATCGACGTTTTTGTTATAAATGAAGGTTAAGGGATCTATTCTATTTATAGTTCAAATATAACTTACTTATAGAAGTGTATTTATTATATCTAGTAATCAATTCGTCATTTAAAATAAAAATAACCTATATCTTAAAAATTTACTCAATTAGTATAAGATTATTAAGTATGAGATATTTAGGTTACAACAGTGGTGTCGTAAGTTCGATTTATAAATTTGTACGTGTTTGAATATCAGTAAATAAGAACAAAAAAATCTATGTTTATAGATAAGTCTATATATTTATGAATTAATATAGGTTCATTCTTGTTAATTTCATTTTTGGCATATATACATATATATATATATATATGTTATAGAAATATAAAAAATCAAAATCCGGTACAACCGGTTGAAGATTTTGACGTGGTTTCTAACAAAGGAAAGTGATAAACTTTCAGGGGTGCCTCAAAGTTGCTTTGCTACTCTTAAGGTTGTTCAGCTGAGGACAAACATTGGGATATTCTTGTACCGCGGAATCAATAAAATTGATACTGACAGAATACTTTCTAAAAATTTGCGAGGTCCTGGAGAAACTAACCCTAAGTGAGACTTTTAGTGATAGTATACTTTCACATGTCAAAATAATTACTAAAAAGTCTTTGGGATGTGAAATTGTTATCATGTAAAACTTCTTTTCTTTTTGTTGGGGACATGTTTCCTAGGTTCCTACCGGATGATAGTAAGTAAGATTGCTCTTTTTCTCTTAAATTGTGTTGCCATAAGGCCCTAGTTCTATTTGGGATGGGGTTAACTATCATCACAAGGACTATGCATAAAATGTCTTCAATAACTCTAAGCTTGATATTTAACAAACTTTGGCGTGAAACCATCACTTTTGTTTCCATCGATTTGGAATTGCTATCTGCATTGAGATATCTTTGAATGATGAAACATGTTCCTTTGCTCCCTTTAAATTAATGCTTCAGATTATGATCAGTCTGATCATGCGCCAGACAAATCGACATGTTTGCACCTTCTTTTACATGATAGTTCGGGTATCAAGCGCCACCACTCTTTGGAATGCTGAAAAGATTTGCAATCTCCTGAAAATGATAACCTAAGGAAGCATGCCAATCACTGGGTTTCAAGTACACAGCTAGCATCGATCATATCGTTTCCATTCGAAGCAAACATCACCTTCTCTATGCAGAGACTACACATTGCGCATTGGAAACTTCTCAGTTTGGCATCTGCCCAACTAACCACCTGGCTAAAAGCCCGACGACTGTAAGAGTGAACCACTCCAAGGCACCACTTGTATATTTCTTCAAAGTTACAATTAAATTAATTACATACGTCCTTTTTCTTCTAACACTTAGCCTCCTGCTGCTTTACAGAGTAATTCATATTAAGCTAACATTTATATTTATAGGTAATTTCAAATACCATACCAAACTCAATGTATCTGTTCTCTTTTCAAGAGAAGGGGGATAACAAAAGACACTGCTTAGTACTGAGAGTGAGAGACGATGATAAACAGATTTTACCAGATTGATTTGCAGTCATGTTGTGTTGCGTTGCATTTGCATCTAAATCACAGTTGAAGCAAAGGCAACGCCATTACAACACCTACAATCGATACTAGCAGCAATACTATCCAACCCGGTAATGCTTCTTTCTTGTTCTTTCTCCTCTCTTTCAATCCCACTTCTTGAATATTTTCCTTTTTAAGACCAATGCTTTTCTCTGATTCGATTTTCGCATTTTCCTTCTGAGGAGAATCCTCAGGTGTCGTCTGTTGAGTGGCTGCTTCCTCTTCAGCTACTTGTTGCTGGCTGTACTTCTCTACATACTCGGGAAATAGTTTCCGGAATGTTGCACTGCCAGAACAGTTTGAAAAAGGTGAGAAACATAATATAGAAAAGCTATATTGTTGTCTAATCAACTTCTGAGATTTATCCTGAACAATTTTTGGTGGTAATGGAACTTACTTTTTACAATTAAAAGCAAGAGATGACTTCGCCAACTGTTGTTTCTCGGCTACACTAGTGTTTACACTTCCCGTTGTGGGGCTGTTGTCCATCTGTGGACCACAAGGTTGTAATGCAGAAAGAAATTTAATGAACGTAAAAATTGATTGGAGAATTCATTATCACAGTTCTGCAAGAAGAAAAGTTCCGTAAGCTTACCATAAATGAGAGAAGTCCTGTAAGTATGCTGCGTTCAGGGAAACGAATTGGTCAAATAAGGATCCATTACTCTGTTTTTTTTTAATAACTTGAACACAATTTGAATGTACATCAGATCTTATACCTTGACACTGACCACATTGGATTCCAGCTTTCTGGATGAACTGTACATGACACAGTAAAGCTAATTAGATAACAGATAAAATCATTGGAAATTAATAAACAAAGGAATGAAAAAGAAGACTGTGCTTACAGTCACTCATAGACAAGCAGATTTTCTTTTGTGTCACAAATCGACCATTTGGTGTGGTCATTCTGCAGCCACAGAAAATTGGTTCATTAGAAAGCAGGAATAAAACATGGGAGAGTGATATTTCAAGTCAAAATTCTGAAGAACCAAAGAGCGTACGTTATTCCAGGTGGCTTGTAAGGATATTCTGGAGGGAACTTGATCTTCCCATAGTAAAATCCACCTATCAAAGAGAATCCGAATATCAGAATCATATACTACTTTGGAATGTAGAAGATCACATTTAACATGTAAATTTTTAAGATTTGAACCTGCAAAAGGTGTTCCTTCACTGCCTTCCAACACATAATCTGTAGAATAAAAACCAATAGTTCAACTCAATTAACTACATTTATATAAATAGTGCAGTAACACTAGTAGAGAGGATAAAAATACCCTAAATGCTAACAGAATGGCACGACCCTTCTCAGTTAGGCAATAGATAAGAAAAACTTTAGGTTTTCTTTTCAGTTTCTATAAGTTTTCACCATTACATATTACTGGTAATCCTGAAAATATGATACCAATAGTATCTCTGTAACTATAGCAACCAACACCCTATATGAACCTTAAGCCAGTATCCCCATAGCCAAACCTTCAATAGAATAACTAGAAAGCAGAAAATAAAGAACAATAAAAAGCCAGATAAGACTTACGCCACTCAAGAATGTCATTTGGGGAAGGCCGAGCAACAACATGCGAGACTGGCTCCTAGCAATCCAGAACAGAACATGTCAAATATACTTCCAAAGTAACATTCATAAGAGAAAACTTATCCTAGAACAAAAACCATGAAAATCTTGCTAAAGTTTTATAGAAAATCGATGGGCACAATGACAACTTGGACAGAAAAAGAAAGGTGGGAACAGAAGAAGAAGAAACTATACCTTGCAAAGTGCTCTGTATTCTTTTTGAAGACGCTTTATACAAGCTTTTTCTGCCATCTAAATACTTCCGAAAGTTCCGATTAATTGTTGTTCCTGTTAATCAAAACAACGAATTGTAAACTGCAGAAAAATAATCCAACCTTTTAAGTATGAAATGAATAGCAGTAATATAAACCAATTTAAAGTCATTTCGACAAAGAAACCATCACGCTTTTGTCATACATCTGGAAAACTGACATGAACAAGCAAGGACAAGAAAATATCACATGAAAATGTCTAAACTTTTTTGTCAACTTGTATTCCTATCCAGGTGGCAGAATTACACGAAAATGGAAGTCATAAAAACTAGCTTTTCTTGAATCGAAACTGGATTATCAAGAACTTGATCTTTAAGTAAAGTCCAACCATTTAAAGTTGCGATACGAAATAACAATTCAAAAATGTATAATCTATATGCCATTGATGTATAATTTAGCTATTACTACAATCTCAAGACACATACAGAGAAGCAACACTCCTTAATGATCTGTTTCAAAATACGTACAAGTTAAACAATTGATACACAAAAAAAACATCACCTTTCAACAAAATTGCCTAAACCCATGAAATTTTGATAAGAAAAACAACTTAAAATCCAATCACACAAATCATCTGAAATCGATAAAATTCGAAAACAAATCAGAATATTCCCTTAAAGATCCCTAAGAAATACATCGACTCGGACATTAATTTGATTCAATCTAATAAAAGCGAGAGAAAGAAAATCATCGGCGTACCAGTTTGATCACAGCTTCGTTTTGGATGACGAAAACACAGCAAAGAAAAATGGCAGCCAAGTGATTGGTGACTAGGTAAGAGCAGATCCAAGGAAGAATTGTGAAAAATCGGAATCGATCAGGAGCTGGAGCAAATTTAAGATTCTCTCTCTCTGTGTTTCTCGTTGATGATGATCAAATCATTCGACGCGGCACAGAGAGAAGGAGAGAGGAAAGAGAGTCGAAATAGCAAAACGAGATCGGTTTTACTTTAACCGAAGTAAAATAAATCTAATTGAGTCGGTTCTCTATTTAATTATAATTATCCTATCCCGGTTCTGTATTTGTCACTAAGTGGACCGTTGGGGAATTTGACTATGATGGTCAAAGATTGACCAAACAAGTTGGTTCATATAATATAATTGGATTTTTTTTTAAAGCTTGATCAAGTCTTTGCTTTGATCTCACGAACAAAGCTTTCTTCTACACTTGCCATTCCTCAGGTTCAGAATGATGATGCTAGAGTCAATTGTTTCGAATCACTTTAAATGGACTGTCTTGAAGCTCATGTTAGTCGCCGAATAAATGTAGTAGCTTCGGTGTTTTACACAGATTGCAGTCTCGGACAAGTTCTGAATAAAGCCTTCTTCTTCTTGGAGCTAGTGTATAAAGTCTTCATCGCTCTTACACCGTGAGCGATGATGATACATCATTCTAGGATATAGGATGAACACAACAAAAGTATTGTAGCAGGAGAATTTTGTTACAAATCGAGAGCATACGAGACGCAAATGAAATCGAGAATATGGGTAACTAGTGTATTGAAAATGTCTTGTAAGAGGCATAAACTAAACAAAAAATGTGTCACCAGCGCATAAAATGAAGTCACATAACTCTCTACATACAATCTATGTAATGTAATTAAAGTTCTCTGGTTTTAGCGTGTCCATCTTATGAAGAGATACAATATGACAAGCGTTGCGATCATACCGGTGTATTTAATCCATGTATCAACACGATTGCGCCTCTCAATGAGCCTCAATACAGAGTTGGAGAGCCCAACAGTGTTCAGAACATCCAAAGCCTTCCGCTGTGCCCTCTGAGAAATCAAAAAAAAAAAAAAAGTTAGAAAACTGTTTTCCCATTGACTTAAGCTTATGTTAGGGGTTGGTTACCTTCAAACGGTCCCTTTGTTCGGCATATTTGGAGAGGATAGCAACTCCACTTTGAAACGAATCTTCGAGCATTCTCTTCGAATTCTTGACAGAGTTCATTCCTTGAGCTTCCTCATCAAATATTTGCAAAATATGAGCTCCTTCTCCGCTCCCTCTACCTAACAAATCCGCTCTCTCTTTCGCTTCCAACATCTTCCTCTGATTCCTCCACATATACTTCTCCAGACTTTGGTTCAAATACTCGGCCTCTTCTCCTACTTGTTCACTCTTTCTACAGAAAAAAACGTCCAAATACTCTTAACGTTTAACCACTACATAAGCCATTCTGATGATCTATGAAAATGTGAGTAAACTTTGAATCTCAAGAATGGATTCCCTCCTCACCTTCTCCAAAGATCACGCTGGGATTTAACAGGGATCGAACGCCAGAGACCGTCCATATTGGAACAAAGAGATTGAACCTCAGTAATATCTCGTTTCACAGACGAGGAGAGATCGGTAAGATCAGAGTCAAACCTCTCCAACCTCTCCATTCCGTCCCGAGCCCTAAGTAGAATCCTTTTCGCACTACTATATACCTCAGACAACCCTCCCACTGTCCCAGACGCCATTATACAACCACAAAAGAGACCAAGAAAACCGCAGAATCTTTTCTTTGCTGAATTATATAACTGTCAACTTCTAATCTGGAACATACAAAAAAATTAGTTGATTTTCTGCAAATTTAAACCAGTTTATCATGCCATTTGACCTATAATTTACCTCTAAAGTAAAACTTGAATCAAAAGTTAAGCACCTTTCAACAAGATTTGCATAAACCCATGAGATTGTGAAAAAAACTTAAAATCCAATTAAAATACAAATCCAGAACCAGCAATTCGACCAATACTGGAAATTCCCCTAAGAAATACCTCAAATCGGAAATGAATGACGAAATTAAACAAAATCGCATTGAGAGAAATCTAGAAAAGCGTTAAAGAAAAAACTCATCCACGTACAAGTTCAACGGAGGCGTGAATTGTGATCACTACGAAGCAATTCGTGACTAGGTAAGACCAGATCCAAGGAAATTTTGTAAAAATTGGAAGAGAAATTCTGCGAGGGATTACAAAATAGCAAGGAGATGGTTTACTTAAACCGGTAAAGAGGTCCCAATTAAGCTAAGTAGACGCGTTTGGTCGGTTCTGTATAAATTCTCTCTAAACCAACAAAAGAAATTTCAAAAATTTCATTCTTTCTTTTCTTTTTCACAGAAAATAAACTTTTCTAATAATCAAAGAAAAACAAAATTCTAATAATCACGATAATTTTTTTTTCTAATAATCATAAATTCATAATGGTTTTCTCCCTTTCGTCAATGGTGATAATCTCCCATTAAACCATTTTTTCGGTCTATAGGAGATAAATAAACGACAGTGCAGATTTAATTGCTAAAACTGTAATTTTTTTGTATTCTCTAATTTTTCATGGTTATTGCCATTATGTAAACGAAAAAATCATTGTATGGTTTTAGTATTCTCATAAAATGAAACTTGTCTTTTGAATTTGAAAAACAAATCACGATGAACTTTGTTAAAAGGAAAAAAAAATGTGACTATCTTGGTCTTGTTTGAGTGAAGTTTCGGTTCTGGCCATTGTTTCTCTATTTTGGTGTTGTGTTTTGTATCGAATATCCTGAAAAATCTCTCTTTTGTGGTGAGACGGACTCGATGCCTTTTGCCATTGGCTCTTAGCTCAACTTCCTTGGTTGGTTCTTCTGTCTCTTCAAGATCTGTTTCGTTTGGAGTTTGTGGGTTTGCCATCATAAGCGGTATCTCTTCCACTTGAGATTATCGACTTCTCGGGGTTGGTTTGGAACGTTTAATACTATCCAGAGCTCTATCAATTCTTTTAGCAGAGAGAGGAGCTTTTCATTGGGTTTTGATTTGGTTCCTCTCCACAAGACAAATAAGGCATTTGTGAATCGATCCCTTAGCTTCAAGTTCATGCCTTTTCCTTTGAGATTCTCGTGATTTCTAGTTAATTCACTCATTGGAAGTTTATCGGTTCGTTTTCTAAGTTTTAGCTTATGATCTTGTATTTTGGTTGTTTGATAGCTTCCCTCTTTTGGGCTCTTGTCTTCAGAGATATCACTATTTTCTGCTGACTTATCTTATCGGGAATATTAACTCTTTCCGCCGATCGTTGTATCTTTCGAAGTTTTAATGTAATTATTCAGACGAAAAGAAAAGAGACTATCCAAGATTGACAAAACAATCTGTCCATATAATGGTTTGATTAAGATATGCAATTTTGCCAGGTTATTCAGATTGATTACTCTTTTTGAATAATAATTACTCCAGCAAGATTTAGCTTAAATACGATATTTTAGGTGTGTATATTTTAAAGTTCTTTTGTTTACATCATAACGTTCTCTTAAAGTGGATATATATATAAGCTTACTTTATCAAAAAATAGACCAGCTTTATCAAAAAAAAAAAAAAAAATTGTGCCAGTTGTAAAAGAAACGCCATGCTAATGAAAAGCTCCAAGGTATAGTTGTTTCACCTAAAACCATTTGACAAAATTGTATTTTTATTATTAATTTACTACTTAATGTGATAATTTTTGAAAAGTTATATTAGATTAGAATTAGATCTTAAATTCTATAAAATTTTCTTTAGTAAAACTTAAACCCTTATTATATATATATGAATTTTTGTTTTGCAATTTTCCCATGCAAATATTTGATTGTCTTTTTCTATCTATAAAGCTAGGTAAGAAATATAAAAAAAAAAGTGAAAAAATACTAATGTTGATGCCTTCGCAATTAGCATAGAGACAAAACACAGCCTGTTAATGTTTTACCTGCACCTTTTGAGATCTCATGAAGTTTTATTTTTTGCTAAAGAGATCTCATGAAGTTGGACTTACTAATATTGGTAAACACATAAATAAACGTGTATACATGTGCTTGTATGAAAATGAGGACACTCTCAACATCAGTGAATGTTCCATAAATTAGTTGATTAAGATAAAAAAATATCTCAGCATCTGAAAAAAAATGATTTCGTAGAAAAATTAAAAACTAAGTTCACGTGATCAGATCTCAAAAAGTCACAGGAACAATACATATCTTACAAAGCAAACAAGCTTTACAAGTTGTCTTTCTCTATCTCCTTCTCTTTAACTCATCATATTTCTACCCAAAAGTTTTCTCAAGACCTCAAAAAGAATTCAGAAATGAAGAGATTCCATCCATCAAGATCGATCTCAATAGCTCTGTTTCTGCTTTTGTTAGCTTTCTTTAGCAGCAAGTTTCACACAGAGGGTCATAGAGATTTGAGAGATTTGCATATAAGTAAGGAGATGAAGGAGAAGTCTCTTGGTGGTGAAGGAGATAGCTTACGAAAAATCCCAAGGAGTCGCTATAGCCCTATACAGAACAAGTAAGTGAACACACTACCCAATTAAGTTTTTCAAAAAAAAAAAGGCTATTTGTTTTGAGATGTAATTTAACATCAAGATTGTGTATTTTTGTACCAGGAGAGGTCCAAGTAGGAAACATCAGATCACATCAAATGAACCATAGATTTCTTCTCTAATTTTTTTACTTAGATCTAATGGGTTTTCTTCTGGTTGTAGAATAGTATTGCCTACACTTGTTTGTGAATGCTGCAATGTAGAGTTTGATACTGTTACTATTCTTAGAATGTTTTTTTTCTTACTGGAAAGTCTTACTCTGACACTACTGTTCTATTGAGTCAAGACTCTTTGTTTAGACCTCTAAGGAGTGTTTATTGGATTTTGTAGATTCGTAAAACATCTTCAAGTTTATATAGATTTATTACTTGATTGCAATAAGAGTTTCAAAAGGTTCCACGATATACTGTGATGTATCTCTTTATCTTTCCTTCACTGAGAGATCTTTGAGAATTTGTTGAGAACTAGTGTAAAATTTGGTAACATGCCTGCAAGAGAAGATCTAGTCCGGAAGAACTTCAACTATATGCAATCAATTCGTTGTCTTATGTACTGAAAAAAATAGTTAAAAGGAGACCAAAAAAATGGAGCTTAACTAAATATGTTTGGAGTATGCAAACTTCTCAATCATCTCACTAGAAAGAAAAGATAGTCTGCTAGAAACTGGTTTAAATCTGTTGTTTCACCGGTTTTGTTCTTCCTCTGTTTTGTCCGATTTTCATCATTTATCTGCTCATCTTGATTTCAACAGATCAGATTCTGTTGGCACAACAACAACAAAGAAGTTATAACATAAATATCACCTCTCACAATTCACAAAATGCCATTGATTAAAAAAGAAACAAGAAAACTTGAGAAATTTCTTGAAGGATCAAACCAAATTAGTATAAAGATGCCGTGGGACATTAAGAGTTGTCAGTTACGCGTATGAGAGAAGAATGACATCCCTTGTTCAAGGAGATCACTGAATCTTGGAGATAAACAAATAACTCTTTAAAACTTTGATAAACATTTCTGTATACTAACGTTCATCATGAGACACTTCTAAAATCACATCATGGAAGCCAACAGAAAACTTTTTTTCATTTGCAGAAGTGATTGAGAATCAACAAACAGTTTAGAAAGACATAAGAGATACTGGTCATCGATTCGAAGATACTTCATGTCTTCCTACTAAATTTAGGTATTTAAATTTGTTTAGGGGTTTCTCACTTTTATTTTTCTATGTTTTTGCCTTATGTTCCAAACTTCATCATCATCCTACGTATTCTCTTCAGGCTCCTTGTAAAAGAAGAGATCGTTCTATACAACAAACATACCATATGATCAAAATACGAATTCTTGTAATAACATAATCAACTGGAGCTTGAGAGATATATATTCCCTTTACAATGACATCATATTTGTTAGCAGGACGAATGATTCCACGCATCTGAAGGACGATGCGAGCTAGAAGCCACAAAACAACAAATGATGTGTTTTCTCGTTTGTTCTTGGTAGGGATCATCCCAATGTTCACTACCAGGAGTGTCAAGTGTGCACTGAGTGAACTTGAGGACATCTGTCTCTTCTCATTGTACAGTGATGTCTTGCGTGTTCTCAACCGCAACGATAACTTAAGCAACCATCTGCAGCTTCTTTGATGTTTCCGCCAGATTTGTAATTTCGGTTCAGTGGTTTCGAACCTAACCGATTACTGAGTTTCTATGCTTCCTCTTACCGAGTTAAAAACCGAAACTAAACCGAATTGACCAAACTTTGGTTTGCGTCAGTCCAAATGTTCAGGTTAGTTTTGCTTTTCATTGCTTTCTCGTGCCATTCTCTAAAAGATTCTGTATTTTAACAGCCTTGAGCCTCTTGTCTTATTCTTACTTTTTGGGTGAATAAACTAAAAATAAACGAAAGTATCAAATTTTTAGCCTTCATCTCAATATCGCATTTAAAGATTAATTGTTATACGCCTGTGTTACATGGTTCTTGTGTAACGAATTACGAAATTGATATTGGAATACATGTTTTTTTGTTTGACAAAATTGATGGCTCTTTGTCAATACTTGCATCAAAAACTATACTATTATTTAAAATAACATGTCATTTTAGTATCAGAGAATTCAGAAACGCCCAAACTAATTAATTAAGAGAAAAAAAAAAACATTAACTTTTTTCAAAAAAAAAACTCAACAGTCAAAGAAACTGTTGGCATTTTTAGTCATTTACTTTAAAAGCGTCAGAGCCGTTACCGCTCACCATGATTATCATCAATCTCCACCGCCACAACTTCACCGTGGTCGCCAATCTCCGCCGGTACCGCAATCCACAAATCCAACGGCGTACATTCAATCTTATGCTTGGCTCTCCAATCCAACGCCTGACAACCACGTGAGCAATAATTAACCTTCCCACAAACAGAACATCGCCGGAACTCATGAGCCCGAGTCTCCGGTCTCCCACAACCACCATGCGAACACATCCTTAACCCTTCCGCTAAATCAACCCGACCCGAACTAAACCAATCCTTCAAAAACCGGTTAACCGGATGAATCTCCTGAACCGGAACCACGCTTAAATCAGTAAAGATCTCGTCTCCAGATTTCAGAGAGAGGTAAGAGCGAAGAGAACACGCGAGCTCACGTGCGTTAGCTTGAATCAAAAGACGACGACCTTCGGAGACGTCACGAGGAACACCGTAACCGTCTTGAAGACAGTGACCAAGCTCTCGTAACGCATCGACGTGGCCTAAATAAGCAGAGCGTGCACAAAGAGCAACGCCGGCGCGGAGATTCTTATCGGTTTTTGAACCGCCGCTTCCGTTAAACTGAATCACAGATAATGAATAAAGCGCCGGCGCGTGAGATTTAATCGCGGCTTTAGCCATTAAAGACGCACCGCTCACTGGATTTTGAAGACAGTAAAATCGGATCTGAAGAAGAAGAAGAAAAACAAAATCAGATTTGAGAAGAGAATCACAAAAATCGAAACGGAGATTTTGAAGGTAGCGAACGAACCATTCCGAGAGCGTAATAAGCGTCGATGTTTCCGGCATTAACACAGAGTTTGAGGAATTTATGAGAAGAATCTGACCATTTCTCCGCCGTGACGGCTAGGGTTTGAGGACCGGCTTTTGATAAAACCAGAGGATGTAACGCTAACCGATTCAATCTCTTGCATCTGTAATACGACAAAAGAGAGGCTGTGTCAAGAATTAGTTTCGGAGATCGAGAAAATGCATTCGCCGGAGCAGAGACTTACGTAGAGAGAACGGTGAGGAAATCGGAAGGAGAAGAAGCGGAGGAAGCGAGTTTACGGAGGATAGAGATGATGAGATCGTCAGGTAAGTCATCGAAATGGTTATGGTTATGGTTCTTCTCTAACCTCTGTTTTTTGTTGCGATGCGTCATCGGAAGAAGAAGAAGAAGATTAATTATTGTTGGTTTTGTGTGTTGAGAGATTTGAGATGAGAGAGTGGAGAGAAAATCTGGAGAAAGGAGATGGTGTGTACATTTATAGACACACACACACTCGTGATTAAGAAAACTGCTTTTGGCTTCAATGGCGTCGTGGCTCTTTCTTTCTCGTTCCCTTTTTTTTTTTTTAAACACATTAGGTCAAAGCCTTAAAAGGGTAATAGCGTAATTACCTTCTTCATTTTTTCCCCTTTTACCGTCGACTATTTTAACCACCATGATTTTTTTTGTCAATCGAAGGACCAAATAGATTTTTTACCATAATTTACATTTGTTTGAAACTGAGGGAAGATATTATAGCAAGGATTGGGATCAATTGTAATACATTGACTAAGAATTAAATAGAATAGAGTATCTTTATGAAGAAAATAATTAATACTAGAATAATAACAACATGGGTAAAAAGATAAATAGTCAAAATTTACTGATTATTAAAACTCGTTATAATTACTTCTTATCGTACAAGAGGTTTGTAAAAAAATCCACTTGTTTTTAATTTTCAAACTATATGATAACTTTACTATAAAGTTTAGATATTACCTATTAAAGTATTTTAAGAAATATATTAAAAACATATAATGTATAATGATAAATAGATAAACATGAATTTTAATGATATTTAAAAAAAAAGATTTATAAAAATTTAATAACCTTTATTCAATAATTTTTAAAAAGTAACTCACTTTCATGTAAAGATATTTTTCTTGATATTTTTAATTTTTATTTATTGATAAACATAAAATATTATCTTGTAAATTATATTTTATCGACAAATAATATCGTATTTGTAGACATCATCGAAAATGAGATGTAAGTCATGTTCGTTTCATAGTGGTCCTAGATCTTATTTACTTTGTAAACTTAAGTTCATTGAAATGTTTTAATAATCAATTTTGTCCGATTCATAGTTATTGGTTGTAGCTAGTGACGAAAGATCGCTTGTTAATAACTTTTCATAATTTAAAACGATAAAGTTTAGCGTTTAAAGTTTTCAGTCGCTAATAGTTTAAACTTATCGTTTTCAGTCGCTAACTTTTGTAAATGTGTCAAATATGGAGTATTTTCTGTACAGTACTTAGTACATGAAAAAAAAAAGAGAATAAAATTACAGAATAAAAAAATAAAAGACTATTATCTTAGTTTCTAGATGCATTTTGAAGATTTTACAAACAAAAGATAGAATTAATTACATGCTAACAATTAAGTTTATGTTTCGTAATACAGTATAAGTTTATGATTCCGTTGTGCAACCGCGATTAAGTTCATCTTATCACACGATCAAATCGCAAAGCCATTAAGAACATAACCGATGATCAGTGTGGATGCGAACATTTTCCCTAATAATGGTTTAATTAAAAAAAGGTAGAGTGTTATATATGTGTGACTGACTTTGGTCAAAATCAAAATATTACATCCCACGACATGGCTTTGGAAAGAAAATATCAATAAGCAAAGATGAAGAGGGACACATTAGTACGGAAGAGAAAGAAAAAAAAATCATGTGGCCGTCACATACGAACACATATGGTTGGCCATCGTTTAATTGTAAGCAAAGTTACTAAACACGTTTTCATTTGTTATTCTTTTGTGTATATTTTTGGAGTGAACTTGTAGAAAAGGGCACCCTAATCATTACATATTGGTGTAGACTAAGAAAACAATATAAGCCTTTCACTTATAAGGTTATCTCTTCAGATAAGCATATGGAAATATAATAATGTATATTTCTTATAAATAGTGAATAGTTAGTCAAACTTTTTTTTTTGTTGGATCTATATATATTAGTCAAAGTTAAGGATGCAAATAGTCGATGGATTAGGACACAAACCTCATGTTTATAATGCTAAATATAGCATATTCATAA